CCGTTCGAGATATCAAAAATCCCCTCGCAATTTTTCATCCTCAATGTCTTGACTTCATGCTGACCGAGTTTCGTGGCATTTCTTTGAATTCTCTAGGAGAAGTACTTTAAATTCCATTGCATGCGTTTTACAAACAACCCTAAATAGCCGACTTCCTGTTGGGCTGGGGTAAAAAGTAAGAGTATGAAGTATATATGAACTGATGAGATCTATATGTGTACCGAGTTTCATATTCTTACATGCAAGCGTGTTTGATTTTTGGACCAAGTTTTCGGACCCCGTTCCAGGGGGCGCTGTCGAGCCCCCCTGCCACGCCCGGGTACCAGCTTCAGCCCGGCCCTGATGGCCGCGGGTTCTGACCCGCGTGCAAAGTTTCAAGAGTTTTCGGGCACGTTAAGGGCCCCAAAAGTGCCCGAATAGTCGTAAGAAAAATAAAAGAGGAGAAAAAAAAAAATAATCCTTAGGAAAACAATAGGGCCTTCGCCCTTTGGGCTTGGGCCCTAATAATCCTAAGGAAAACAATAGGGCCTTCGCCTTTTCAAGGCTTGGGCCCTAATAATAATCCTTAGGAAAACAATAGGGCCTTCGCCTTTTCAAGGCTTGGGCCCTAACAATAGGGCCTTCGCCTTTTCAAGGCTTGGGCCCTAATAATAAATAATCCTAAGGAAAACAATAGGGCCTTCGCCCTTTGGGCTTGGGCCCTAATAATCCTAAGGAAAACAATAGGGCCTTCGCCCTTTGGGCTTGGGCCCTAATTACACCAGAGGTTACGATGTCTGAGACTTCACGTGTGGAGGAGCAGGCTGAACTCAGAAGGTCCAAAAGGACGAGGAGGCTGCCCAGTTATCTGAAAGATTTTGCTTTGAGTAGTGGTGAGTTTCCCAGCCACAGGGCAAGAATGCGTCTTGTAACTCATTGTTGGAGGCGGTCTACCCGAAAAAACCCTAGCTTAGGCTGTGATAACGTTCTTAAAAAAAAAATATATATATATATACAGTATATATGTATATATATTGTAATGTTCATAGAACGTCATTATACTGCTGATCATATATCTGACTAATTTGTTGGGGGACTAGTGTTATCAGGAGGAAGGGGATGTAGTGAAGTATAAGGTTATTTGGGAGTGTGACCACTAGAGGGCATGCTTGTGCAACAGGTGGCTGAATCTCTCAGAGTTAGCAGTGTTCTGACATTAGACATTTTGCTCTGTCTTGTTTGGGTTTAGGAAATGGAATAAAATAAATTCCATTGCCCATCCTTTTCAGGATACCTGGAATCAGTGTTACAAGAACCCCAGGCACATCATTTTACCATTTTTGTAGCGTAAACACCATAAAACAGATAAGAGCTTTGGATCTTCTAATATTTCTCTATGGCGCTGAAACCTAAAGATGTCCGAGTTCCCCATGCAACTGATACTCAACTGCCATTGGCTCATCTGCGTTCGAGGGGAGGGGCTTACCGATAGGTCAATTAGTTGTACATGATAGTATGAAAGAAGCCAAGGCCTTTTCTTCAGCACTTGTCAAAATTCACCTCATTACTTCACACTGTTACTCTGCATTTGGGACAGATAGATTAACTCCTCCAGCTACATCCACACATTCAAGCAGCTAACAGGCCCCTTGCAGCACTTGACCATATAAAGCTCTCCCTCAAATTTGCAGTTCAACATGTTTGTTTTTTTTCAGTTCGTCAATGGAATCAACTGAAGGATTAGGTTCTGTCCTCTTTACTTCTGCAGAAGCAACAGACCTTTACAGGCAATAGCCGTCATTTCAACGCCTCGGTTAACTATAGACGCGATATAGTCTGGCTATGAGTAAACCACTTCTAGCCTAAAATAACCTTGAATTTGGTTACATGTCGTTCTTGCCAAAATAACTTGCGAGATGTATGATATTCCATCAAAGTCAACAGTGATTACAAGGTGTTTGGTTTAATTTCTTTGACATCTAGTATGCGTAGCCTGTGTGTATATTCTTGGGCTATGGTTAGACATCTATTACATTTGCACTGACAGCCCACATTCTGCCTTGTTTTAGCCTAGACGTCAGGGCTATGTTTGAATGGCTATAAGACGTCTTTTTAAAGCAAAATTGCTTGCTGGGTATTAGTATGGTGGTCCCCACTGTACTGGATTTAAACACTCATCTGCTCCAAATATCAGAGTCAAGTAGTCATTGCCGGCCATTAGCCACAGCCCTTCACCAATCACTTTTAAAGAGCTTCTCTGGGATCTTTGTGAGAACCAAAATGGTTGAGCAAAATGGGAAATAGGACCAGTTCAACCATAATGTCTATTTCTTGGCGACAATGCTTGACCCTCAGTTTGGCCTTAACTGGGTTGATCTAGATGTAATCAACAGCGAGAATCCAGTATCCTGGCAAGTGCCTACGACTTCTAGATCGATATCGAGCCCACAAGCAGCTGAGCCTCTCAGCTAAGGATGCATGCATTTAAGCTCAGACACACAAGTACTGGTGCCATTCAAGACACAGACACAAATACAGCACTTAAATTTTGGTCTACAAACAGGGAGAGATTCCCAGAGCTCCACTCTCTGCCAGTAAAAGTATTGTCTATACCAGCCTCCTCTGTGCAGGTAGAGATTGTCTTTAGCAGAGATGGCCTCATCATGAGACCACATTGTGCACACTTAACTCATAAAATGGTCACAGCGCTGCAATATGGCCCTGGTTTAGTGCTTGATTGTGTTCTACAGTACATTGCATTTTCAGTGTTACAAGATAAGAGCTGTGTTCAGAAATGAGTTTGTAGTCATTCATAGACAGATTAAGCAAAGTAATAAAGCATGAAGCTTGTTGTTTATGACTAGCTGGATATTTAACTCTCTCAGCCTATTATAAATGTGGGGGAGAGGCATCAAATAATTGAAATGTCGGCTTGAACTGGAGAACTCAATATAGTGTGATACAATAACAAAACTGGTAAATTTGTATTTTCATACACTTGTAATATAATAAAAGTCTATAATAATCTACTATATCTCTTCTTTTCTTAGGAAACTAGTTGAGGTTCTGTTGACATGAAATAAAAATATTAAACGGCAATGGCAAGATGTATTAGTGGTATTTTTTGTCAATTTTGTTTTATTGCCATTGCTTTAATGGGCTGAAAAGTTAAAATATGAATGGAAGATTAAAATTTACAATTGAAATTTCTTATCTTTTTTCAATTTAATGACTTTCTGGACTCAAAGTTTTTGAGACCTTCTCTAAAATGGTTGGTCTCCAGTCATGTAGACAGCGATATTAAGGGTTGTTAGTCAATATGAAAATCTAACAAAATCCCTGTCTGATGCCATCGCTTTCTGATCACTTCTTGCTAGGAGGCTAATTTTGTGTAAATGGAAAGACTCTTCACCTCCAACATACAGACACTGGATTAAAGATGTCATGAAAAGCTAGTTGGTGAACCACTGAACTCAAATGACAACCGAAGGATGATAAGATATGTATCTTATCCCAAATATCACAGTCACTTAAAATCCTGGGTATATCTGCCACCAAACTCACCATAGCAGAAACCCACATAAATTAATCAACACATCAACTACAAAGGCAGTCTTGGTTTGCAAAAGATCAAGCTTACAGAAACTTTTGGAAATTAAAAGTTTTTATTAAAGTGAATAAAAACATTCATAAACACAAGCCACTGAAGAAAGATAGACAAGGCAAACAAATCCAAAAGAGTGCTCTATCTTTGAGTGACACAGGCAAGATACAGATGACTGAATATGACAACACTAAATCGGATAGTAGGAAACCGCGAGCTTCCCGTTCAGTTTCAGGCTTGAGGTGAGGGCTCCATCTGGTGGTGTAAAGGGGAATTTAAAGGCACATTTATTAAATGGTTCCACTTTACAGTGTTGCTATAAACCAGTACAGGTTAATTAAATATAAAACGACAACATTTAATGCTTCCATCAAGGCAGGAATCAACAGTATTACAATAAAGTTAAAATGAAGATACCAATGTTAAAAAAAACCCCTGTTCATTTAAAGTAAAAGTGTGCTCATTGCATGCTCCCTTCTTTAGCTGGTAATTTATTTTATACATGGCTAGAAACACTAAAACTACATCTTAGTTGCTTGTTTATTAGTCCATTAAGTGACAAATATACATGGTTAATGTACCCTACTAGAGCACAAACTGACTAGCCTGGGAAAACCCAGACAACTTCCGGCAAATTTAGATTTGCTCTGAAAGTTAGTCTGGCAAAGAGCTCATTCAAGCCCATTTCCAATCCGTCGAAATCGCGGCACCAATCAGAAACGTTGGGGCGGGCTTTACACGATGACGACAGCGCTGGGATTTTGAAGCAGATTTTGTAGCCTACATTACAAAGATGGATGCCGCCGTCGAACATCACTCGTTTGAATCAGCTATCGCGTCTGTTTTAAGCGATTTGAACGTTTCCTTTTTGTTAAAAACCAGCAAAGAACAACAATCGGAGATGTTTCTCCGCCGCTCTGCATACGTCATCTCCTTCATCGCTCTGATTGGTTTTAGGTCTATCCGCGACGTCCGTTGGTGACGTCATTCTGGAAATGATTTGTCTATGACGCTTTGCCAGACCATAACTCAGTTACAACTGAGAATGGTCTGGTTTTAACCAGGCTACAAACTGACACATTTCAAGCATGATTGATTTTTGCAATAAAAACAAATGATACTTCAATCATTTACAGTACTGAAGAAGAGCTATAATTTACAAAATTACATTTGAAAGATTTATTAAAGATAAATAAACTGGGAAGAACTTAAAGACCGTTATGCATTAACTAACATTAACAATGAGCGAAACATTTGCTACAGTATTTATTTATCTTTGTTAACGTTATTCAATGAAAACTCAACTGTTCATGTCAGCTCAGGTCCATTAAATATCAACTAAATTTTGAATTTAATAATGTGTTAGAAAATGTTGAACTTGATAAATGCTTAAGTAGTATTTTTAACTTTTTTCTTTACATAATTCCATTGTTAGTTCATGTTAACTAACGTAGTAAACCAATGTTAAGTAATATAACCTTATTGTAAGGTTTTACCACACACTGATATCAGTATAGTTGATAAATGCTACCACGTGCAAATAATAGTAATCATTTTTTATATTTCTATACAACTTTAAGGAGAACTTGGCTCACTTTCTCAACTTTGGGCAAGCCTTTTTTAAATGTTTCCCTAGACTACCATATCGGCTGAAAGTCTTCCCACATGAAGGGCAGAGGTACGGCTTCTCTCCAGTGTGCACTCGCTCGTGCACTTTCAGGCCTGATGACTGAGTGAAACTCTTTTCACAGTGTGAACACTTGTAAGGTTTTTCTCCAGTATGGATTCGTTCATGCACTTTCAGTTCTGCAGCTCTAGCAAAGGTTTTCCCACAGTCCAAGCACACGTAGGGTTTCTCACCAATATGTGTTTTCTGATGGTCTTTAAAACCATGCAGCCACAAAAAACTCTTCCCACAAAAAGAACACACGTAACGTCTTTCATCTTCGTGAATCCTCATGTGTGTCTTTAAGTGAACGGCCAAAAAAAACTTCTTATCACAGCGCTCACAGTTAAATGGTCTTTCTCCAGTGTGAGACAGCAAGTGAGTTTTGAGATTGCAGGCCTCTGAAAATCTCCTGCCACACTCAGAGCACTGGTGTAATTTCTCTCCAGAATGAACCTTCATGTGAACCTTTAATGTGCTCTGTTGTGTGAAACTCTTCCCACACAACATGCATGCGAAAGGCCTTTCTCCCGTGTGAGTTTTCGCGTGTTCCCTAAGAACTTCTTTTTGTTTGTAACTCTTTCCGCACTGAGGGCAGGTGAAAGGCCTCTCTCTAGAGTGAATCCTTATGTGCCTCTTAAGCTCTCCTGAACTTGGGAAACTCTTTCGACATTGTCGGCAGGTAAAAGGCCTCTCGCCTGTGTGAATTCGTATGTGCCTCTTAAGTCCTCCTGAATTAGTGAAACTCTTGCTACACTGAGGGCATGTGAAAGGCCTCTCACCTGTGTGAATCCTAAAGTGATCCTTAAGGCTTCCTTTGCATGTGAAACTCTTCGCACACTGAGGGCAGGTGTACGGTCTCTCACCTGTGTGAATTACCATGTGAACCTCAAGGTGTCCTTTACGTGTGAAACTCTTTCCACACCGAGAGCAGGCGAAAGAGCTTTTAGCTTCAGTTCTTTTTTGTGAAACGTTCTTTTCAGTCTCTGAGCAACTTGAAGACTTGTCCCTCATTTTTAATTTATGAGGCTTCTTCTTCGCCCCATTCAGGTCTCGACTTTCATCTTTCACTTCCATTGGGTCTAAAATGAACATAGTGAACAAAAAAAAACTATTTAAGTACACCAAATATAACAAGACGGATAAAGAACTAAACAAAATAATCCCAAATAGATTGACATTTGATGCGTTCAGGGCTGTTAAAATGGACGTGTAAACGTTCGATTCAAGCGTGATAAGACAGAAGAGATCTCCTGTCCGTGTGACAAATGTGGCATTTATTATAATGGGTTTATGTGAAGATTGTTTTAAGTTCACAAAAATTAAAAGCCGTTATATTTTTTAAAGCTTAATAAATGTTAAAATGATACTGTCATGCTGAATGTCTAAAATTAAGGGAGGAAAAAATCTATTTCATAGAGACATCAGTTAGCAGTGTTGGTATCGGAGATACTGGCCTTCTTTCATAAAAAGATAAAATATTAAATGTGAAATTATTACAATATAAAAGTAGATTAAAAACTTTAATGTTAGGTGTGATTAATCACAATTAATTACAGAATAATTTGCGATTCACTTTTTATGGATTGACAGCTCTAATAAATACACATTTTTATGCCATTTAAGTTAGCCTCTCTGAGGCTTTGTTACTTTAATGTTAATAATTTTATTAATCAAGAATGATCACCAACCTCTTTGTTCCTCCGTATCTTCATCTTTCATTCTGCATGCTTCTGTCTCACTCATGTCTCCACTTTCCTCTTTAACAGCCTCCATCTTTACAGTATGTCAGGAAGAGCTGTCAAAACTCAAGACTTCGTCACGTTTACAATTATAATATCAACGGAAAGAAAATAAACAACGAAATATATCAATCTGTTCCACGTGAGGAGACATTTCACTGATAGAAAAATCAATGTAAGTTACGATATTTACAAGAACTCAACAAATAAAGCATTAACGTTACAATATTAAAATCGAGAATAAAATCTATTAGTAAATGAATTATCGAGAATAATAATGTATCTTGGATACTTTTGTAAAACATAAATCATTTAATGTAATTTTGTCCACCTTACATGCATATTCTTCCGCTTAAAAACACGAACCTCTTCTCGACCGATTTTCAGCAGAGCTGGCGCAGCCCTGATGACGTCACTGGCAAGCGACCGAGGTTCTTCTAAATACCTTTTAACGGCGGTTTGCAAACTAAAACAGTGCATTGCCGCCACCGTCTGTTAGCCAAGATTAGAAATAGAAGAAGATAGTAAAAGACTAAACGAGAAAAAATGAAAGAAATCAGGACATATCCGTCAAAAATGGACACATTTGTAAAAAATCGTATGCATTTTAAGTTTCCAGAAATTGTTCAAATTCTCCAGAAAATGTCCCACTTGATCAGAAAAACATACAAAACCATATAAGTCTATTAGAACATATGATCAAATATTACCAAAACCCTCTATACTGCTACTTGGTCAGAGACACAATCTTAACACAGTGTGGCAGTGTTTGCAACTCACCTACAGTCTTGTTGGGGCTACAGGTCACTATGCTTGCACTTCGACCTGAGTGGTGTTGAATTGTAGGAAACACTGAGTGTATTGCAGTACAAACAGCGTCAGACGGAGCTAGGAGAAGATGCTGATCAGAAGTACACTCCAGCAGACTGAACTGCTTGACTGTTGCTAAATGCTACAGCAATTAAAACAGGTCTCTTTTTTAAAAATTGTATTGAAATAAAGAAAGAAGAAACTATAAACTTCAAGGTGAAAGTATTTATTATGCATTTGTTTTCATACAAAAATGAAAGTGATAGTAGCGCATCAAATCTCTGACCAGCCTCCTATCTCTTACGTCTGTTGGGTTATTGTGTCCAAACTTGGCCTTCACCTGTAGAATAGATTAAAGTAAGCTTGTGCTTTAACTTCAGTGTCAGTGAAGGAGATTTTTCAGTGAGGGAGGGCAGTCTTTGTAACCAAAAAATAATCAATTGTCCTTTAACTGCACAGGGAATGAGATTACATATAATTCTTTTAAAATGCATAATCTCTTCCTACAGGTAATTCTGCATCATGTATTGATGGCCATTTTGCTTCCAAATTTGAAATGCATGACAATTATATAGTGGATAAAAGTAATGAGTTCCATTTTATTGTATAACCATTGGACTATTAGACAAATTATTACATCACTATCCAAATTGATACAAAATGTTATACTATTAGCATTAACCCATACATTCACACTTCTGCTGATATGTACAGTTCTACATCTAGAATCGCATAGGATTCATTTAATTACAGACATACCGACAAACATCACACATCTAATGAGATTATTTACAAGGACTTGCCCAAAATTATGCAAGAATGTAAATTCTATAGAAAATTTTGCTTTGAAAAAATAAATGTGTGAGATGATGTCAAGCTGTAGACAATTTCTGATGGGAAGTAATGACTGCTGTGTATCATATTCATAACAATGCTTTACAGTCATGCATATTCACTTCACACCCAGTGGATTCTCATGAAAAGCACAAGTGCGCTGAAAACCTCAGAGGCTTAATGACGTTTACTATTTCTAAAGTGTCTTTCAGTTATAGCCTGTATACTATTCTAATGATTGGAACTTTCTATTGTAAGCACTTCTTGTGTTGTTGCCCCCATAAGATGAATCATTGTATGTATTCCTCATTTGTAAATCCCTTTGGTTTGCTAAATAAATATAAAAGGAAGAGTAAATCAGTGTATTGGTAAAAGTACTCTAGTGTACTTCCACAATCCAAGCACAAACAATATTCCTACATAACAGAGAGAGAAAAGATGCATTTGACTGGCTGTGAGTCATTTTTTCATCACTTGTTTCGCATCATAGTGTTTCATCATCACTTTTTTTCCATCTTAACTATATGCATTTGTTGTCTTTCCATGATTTATGCAAATAAAAACAAAGTAGGAAAACCTTAGACCCTTTTAATCCATACAATAATAGTAGTTGATGGCTAAGCTTACAATAGGACACTGATTGCAATAGCACTCAATTTAAAAAAAAAAGTAGTTCTTTTTTTCTTCTATGATGAAGAACTATGATGACCAAAATTACATTTTAAAGATATGATAGAGGATATAAGAATGAATAACAGGCTTATATTGACATTGTTTGACCAATGATGTGCAAAAAAATAGTAGTCATTTAGAATATTACTATTCTCTTAGACTTAGAGCATCCCTAGTAATTTTGTAGCATTTCACAGAAATACACTTTGTCCTCCCTTAATATTCCTGTCTAAATTTCCACAAATGCTTTTTGGAGGATATTCTGTCAAGTATTTGACTTAAAGTTAGAGCTGCATGTTGGCGCTGCCGCTGATCCAGAGAGAGCAGTTGTCATGTGTGAAACAGCTTCACAAACAGTCTTTTCAACCACACAATATTTGTGTAGCAAATATTCAAATTATCACAGAAGTGGATACAAGTTTATAGTTCGGATATAAACACTTCTGTCTACGGAAGTGATCAAAATAGAGCAAATCAACTTTTGGAAGTAACTAGGCACTTCAAATAACAATTTGTGTCATTGAATCATTCACTGAAACCATTTTTTTTTTTAAAATAATTAATTTAAATGAATTAAACATTTTAAAAAAGACTGCAGCAATTAACATTTTGTCAGAACCTCTAGTAAATTACATGTTATTTTGTTATTGTGTTGTAATATTTAGAATCGTGATCTCTATTTGAAGAAAAAAAAAATCGTGATTCTCAATTTATCAAGAATAGTGCAGCTCTTCAAGGTGAACTTTGCTCAGTTTCTCAACTTTGGGCAAGCATTTTTTAAATGCTTCCCTAGATTTCCATATCGGCTGAAAGTCTTCCCACATGAAGGGCAGAGGTACGGCTTCTCTCCAGTGTGCACTCGTTCGTGAATTTTCAGGGCTCCTGACTGAGTGAAACTCTTTTCACAGTGTGAACACTTGTAAGGTTTTTCTCCTGTATGGATTCGTTCATGCACTTTCAGTTCACCGGCTCTAGTAAAAGTACTTCCACAGTCCAAGCACACGTAGGGTTTCTCACCAATATGTGTTTTCTGATGGTCTTTAAACCCGTTAAGCCACAAAAAACTCTTCCCACAAAAAGAACACACGTAACGCGTTTCATCTTCGTGGATCCTCATGTGTGTCTTCAAGTGAACGGCCAAAAAAAACTTCTTATCACAGCGCTCACAGCTAAATGGTCTTTCTCCAGTGTGAGACAGCAAGTGAGTTTTGAGATTGCCAGCTTCTGCAAATCTCCTGCCACACTCAGAGCACTGGTGTAATTTCTCTCCAGAATGAACCTTCATGTGCCTTTTCAAGCTTCTTTGATGTGTGAAACTCTTCCCACACAACATGCATGCAAAAAGCTTCTCTCCAGAATGAATTTTGGTGTGTTCCTTAAGACCTTCCTTTTGTGTGAAACTCTTTCCGCACTGAGGGCAGGTGAAAGGCCTCTCACCGGAGTGAATTCGCAAGTGCCTCTTAAGGTCTCCTGAACTTGTAAAACACTTTTCGCACTGAGAGCATGTGAACGGCTTCTCTCCAGTGTGAATCCTTATGTGCCTCTTAAGGTCTTCTTGACGTGCAAAACTCCATCCACACTGAGGGCATGTGAAAGGCTTCTCTCCAGAGTGGATTTTGAAGTGATCCTTAAGGCTTCCTTTGCATGTGAAACTCTTCGCACACTGAGGGCAGGTGTACGGTCTCTCACCTGTGTGAATTATCATGTGAATCTTCAGATGTCCTTTGCGAGTGAAACTCTTTCCACACTGAGAGCAAGTAAAAGAGTTTTTGGCTTCTGTTTTCTGCGCTGTTTCTTGTGAAAGATTATTATCATTCTCTGACCAACTACAAGACTGTTCTTCATTTATGAGATGATGAGGTTCCTTGTATAGATCTTTCTTCTCCACTTCATTCAGTTCTTGATGTTCCTCTTTCACTTCTATCAGGCCTAAAACATGTTTAATTGTCCAAATCAATTCAAGAATGACACATTAAAATGCAATCTAACAATTTCCCAGCTAACGGGGAAACATTCTCAGAACTTAAGCAAACCTTATGGTTTTCTCAAAGTTATGAACAAACGTTCTTCCAGTAACGTTAATAGAACATTCGTCAAAACGCTAGCACAAAAAAAAAAAATATGTATACATTATTAATGGAACTTTTTTCTGAAATGTATTAGTTTTTCTAACTTAAAAAAAAAAAAAAAATCCTAGTTGGTTCAATCAAATTTAACATTCCAATAATGTTAGCAAAATTATGAATGCAATATTCCCTAAAAGGGATACTTCACCCAAAAATGAAAATTCATTCATTCATTACTCACCCTCATGTTGTTCCAAACCCGTAAGACTTTTGTTCATTTTCGGAACACAAGTGAAGATCTTTTTGATTAAATCTGAAAGCTTTCTGCCCTTCCATTGACAGCTACTCAACTACCATTTTGATGATTCAAAAAGTTCATATAGAGATTGTGAAACTAATTCATATGAATTGAGCGGTTTAGTCCAAATATCCTGAAGAGACTTGATAGCTTTATGATGAACATGTTGAATTTAGGCTATTATTCACATATAAACATTGATCAGCAAACATAAACAGAAGCTCAACCGAGCCTGCTTGACGTGCGAGAAGAAACCTCATTGGTTCTTGCTGAAGCTCAAACGTGCTGCGTAACACGAGAATAAACCTCATTGGTTCTTGCTTAAAGGGATAGTTCACTTTGAAATTAATTTTTGGTATGTTTTAGCTTACCTCAAGGGCATCCAAGATGTAGTGTCTTTGTTTCCGCAGTATTTTCAATTTTGATATTTTTAGGTCAAACCGTTCTTGTTTGTCAGTGATATAATGCAGGTCTATGGTCACCACCTCAAAGAGCATGCACAGAGAAGTCCAAATTAAACATGATTTAATGACTCGTAAATGTAAGTACACATTGATGGCCTAAGACACGAAACGAGCGGTTTGTGTGAGAAAACGAACAGTATTTATATCGTTTTTACCTCTTGTAAACACAGCCACGTCCAAGTGATCTGAGGGCGCGGGCGCTTCGGTCTGGAAGTGATCTCTCGCGCGTATACGTCACTCATTGTTTACACAGAGATTTCGGAAGTGTTACCTTTCACTGTGAAGATCTAAACATATTTAGATATACAGGAAATCACAATGGAAGACGATTTCGCTATATCAACAGATAACGTTGAGGGTTTTTTCGCAACCGCGCGAGAGATCACTTCCGGCGCTTGCGCAGACCAAAGCGCCCGCGCCATCAGATCACTTGGACGTGGCTGTGGTTACAAGAGGTAAAAACTATATAAATACTGTTCGTTTTCTCACACAAACCGCTCGTTTCGTGTCTTAGGCCATCAATGTGTACTTACATTTACGAGTCATTAAATCATGTTTAATTTGGACTTCTCTGTGCATGCTCTTTGAGGTGGTGACCATAGACCTGCATTATATGACTGACAGACAAGAACGGTTTGACCTAAAAATATCAAAATTGAAAATACTGCGGAAACAAAGACACCTACATCTTGGAGGCCCTTGAGGTAAGCTAAAACATACCAAAAATTAATTTCAAAGTGAACTATCCCTTTAAGCTCAAATGTGATGCATTACACAAGTGAAACTCATTGGTTCTTGCACGTCAAGCAAACATGCTTGAACTTCCGTTTATCATAACTGATTTGTGTGTTGATGAATGTTTATATGTGAAGGTTTGGAATGACATGAGGGTGAATAACTAATGACAGAATTTTCATTTTTGGATTGACTATACATTTAACATTTATATAACCAATAAAAAAAACGTGTTTTAAAGCATGTTTATAAAGCAAAAATGTTTTAAACGTTCAGAGAAACAGAAATAAAGTTTTAAAAAATAAAGAACATTAGCAGAACGTGCTTTGAACATGTTTTTGTTAGCTGGGTTAATGCCATCTGAGCTGTTATGATCATTTATGCATTTTGTAACATTTTCACTAAAACACACTGTTTTATTTAACAGCTCCTGTGAACTGTTCCAAGAATTTATTCATTGTCAGCAGTCATTAATGAAGAATCAAGAATTGACACCAACCTCTTTGTTCCTCAGTATCTTCATTTTCCATTCTGCATGCTTCTGCCTGACTCATGTCTTCTCTCTCCTCTTTAATAAACTCCATCTGTATAATAATATGTCACTCAGATCTCAGCTGGGGTTTTACTGCTTGTTTGGAAAGGAGACTTTGTCACATTTGAGATTATGGAAAAATTTGAATGGAATGATCAAAGCTAAATAAATATGCAAAATAAATCCTTGTTCCATAATAACACTCATAAATGTTGCGCCATTTGAAAGAGACAAACAGCACTTTACAAAAAGCATTACAATAATATGGCGATAATCTACGTTCACATTACATTACGCTAAATGCAGTAATACTGCCATGTTGTTTCAGAACATTTGTAAATAACATGAACTACTTTCGAAGGTTTCGTAACTATTTATACACCTTAAACCGTAAACACAACACAAATTTCACAGCAGTCTGAGTGCGCCGCAGCTCGTGTGACGTCATTTCAACTACGCAGCAAAATAAAGGTCTTTAGGAAATAATACAAAATGTAAGTCAGAGGGTCATTTTGGTGACATATATTAAAAAGCTACATTTGTTATCCAGTGGTATGGTGATATATCAACGTTATAAGAGCATACAATGTCATTTTAGTCTGTACGGTTTTCAACGTCCTCTCCAACCCTGTAGGTGGCGGAAATGCACCGAGATCAGTTTGCAAACCTCTAAAAAAATATAAAGAATTAGAAATACGTTTTCGCATTTAGCAAGAGGAGAAAGGTTTTGTAAAGCATCTCCGATCTGGATAAGCGACAGAGGGTCGATCCGTTTAAAGATGTGATAGTGTTGGCTTATCATAAGCTCGGAAGTGAAAAACGTAAACAAACGCGGCACGTGCTTTTAGCGCGTAATAGATGTGTATGAGTTGGCATTCAGGCCAATAAATATTTTCGAATATTTTCATCTCCGTAAACGTGGCAAAGTCTCGTTACCAAACGAAACAGGAAAGGTACAGGTGTAACAGCTCACATATTTGATGAAGTTTGCATCATTGCTCGTTATTTTCCTTTTTATATTACTGTGAAGCAGCATTGAAACAATCAATGCTGATATCTGTCTGGCATTCTCGTAAGGATGGAGTTTATTAAAGATGAGAGTGATGCAGAAGCATGCCGAGTGAAAGATGAAGATACTGAAGAACAAATAGGTTGGTGAGTTTTCACTAATGAAACTGTTAAGTTCTAATAGCGTTGGTTTAGAAAACCATGGCATTAGTGGAGACGGGAGTTTTTGTCCATCCATTGCTCTGTGTTTTAGCCCTGTCTCAAACTCAAACTTACATGGAATTTCTCCTTTCTATTATATTTACATGCATGAATACTTTGTTAAATGCACTTTCTCACAATTGTTTTTGTATCAGCCCCACACCCCATTTCAATTGAAGCATTTTAATTCAAAGGGTAAACATGGGAGGAATTCCATTTTAATTTCAAGTTGCGAAGTACTGAACTAATATATCAAATATTTAAAGATTAAAAAACAGCAGAGTTAGTTACTCTCACAGATGTGGCAAATGTAGTTACACTAAACTTTTTTTATTCATGCTTTGCGGTTTCAGTAAAAGTACATTGGAAAGTGTTACACATGTTATATCAATCACTAGTTGGTCAGCTTAACATTTGTTTTTTCAAGTAATTATCATAAATTATAGATAAATGCAGATGCACATACACATTCTGTCAAATAAAAACCTACAATTGTAACATCAAATTATACCACAGAAGTGAAATGTTTTTTGGGGTTTTTTCAACCTCAAATTGAGTTTTGTTCTGAAAATCCTTTCAGATACTTACACCATCTGATGTCGTGTGTGTGATTTAATCCCTGTAGCTCATTTATAACTGGTTAAACTGTTTCACCTTACCATTTGATACAACACTCCCTGGTCACTTACTAAAATAACATTGTTAAAGAGATAGTTCACCCAAAAGTGAAAATTTGGTCATAAAAAGCTCACCCTCTTGTTGTTTCAAACCCATAAGCCTTGCATTCATCTTCGGAACACAAATGAAGATTTTTGATGAAATCTGAGAGCTTTCTGTCCCTCCATTGACAGCTACGCAACTACCACTTTGACATAAAGTTCATAAAGAGATCCATATGAATTGAGCGGTTTAGTCCAAATTTTCTGAAGAGACACGATCACTATATGATGAACAGATTGAATTTAGGCTTTTATTCATATATAAACATAAACATTCACCAACTCACACATCAGTTGTGGTAAACAGAAGCAAGTATGTTCACTTGACGTATGAGAACCAATGAGGTTCATTCTCGTGTTACGCAGGTTTGGTTGAGCTTCTGTTTATGTCCGCTGATCAATGTTTAATAAAAGCTTAAACTCAATCTGTTCATCATAAAGCAATCGAGTCTCTTCAGAAAATCTTTGGACTAAACCACTCTATTCATATGGATAGAACACATTTTTTGAAGCGTCAAAGTGGTAGTTGCGTAGCTGTGGAGGGACAGAAAGCTCTCGGATTTCATCAAAAGATCTTCATTTGTGTTCCGAAGATGAACGGAAGTCTTGCAGGTTCGGAACGACATGAGGGTGAATAATTAGTGACAATTTAAATGTTTTGAGTGAATTATCCTTTTAATAATATGAGGACAGATACCGCAATGATTTGTATATTTGCAGTGCATCATTCAGCACATCAAAGATCTGATAAAAATAGATACGTGACAGCTGTTGCTTTATGCCATTAAAGGGATAGTTCACTTTGAAATTAATTTTTGATATGTTTTAGCTAACCTTAAGGGCATCCAAGATGTAGGTGTCTTTGTTTCCGCAGTAGTTTCAATTTTGATATTTTTAGGTCAAACCGTTCTTGTCTGTCAGTGATATAATGCAGGTCTATGGTCACCACCTCAAAGAGCATGCACAGAGAAGTCCAAATTAAACATGATTTAATGACTCGTAAATGTAAGTACACATTGATGGCCTAAGACACGAAACGAGCGGTTTGTGTGAGAAAACGAACAGTATTTATATCGTTTTTACCTCTTGTAAAGCACAGACCAAAGCGCCCGCGCCCTCAGATCACTTGGACGTGGCTGTGGTTACAAGAGGTAAAAACGATATAAATACTGTTCGTTTTCTCACACAAACCGCTCGTTTCGTGTCTTAGGCCATCAATGTGTACTTACATTTACGAGTCATTAAATCATGTTTAATTTGGACTTCTCTGTGCATGCTCTTTGAGGTGGTGACCATAGACCTGCATTATATCACTGACAGACAAGAACGGTTTGACCTAAAAATAACAAAATTGAAAATACTGTGGACACAAAGACACCTGCTAAAACGTATCAAAAATTAATTTCAAAGTGAACTATCCCTTTAACCTTGGATCATTGTTATTTTTGATTTCCCCTTTTGTGAATTGATTTTTGACCGTATTCTGTTTTCTTTTAGACCCGGTGCAAGTGAAAGAAGAAAGTCAAGTGAATGACACAGAGGAGACATATCTGTATCAAGAAGCTCATAGTTTCAGAAGTGGAGGAAAATCTTTTAGTTGTTCAGAATTGAAACAGAATCTCTCACAAGAAACGAAGCGGAGAACAGAAGCCAACAGTTGTTTCACCTGCCCTGAGTGTGGAAAGAGTTTCACACATAAAGGACACTTCAATGAACACGTCAAAATTCACTCCGGAGTGAAGCCCTTCACCTGCCCTCATTGTGAAAAGAGTTTCACGTGTAAAGGACACCTTAAAAGGCACGTACGGATTCACACCGGAGAGAGGCCGTACACGTGCAGTCAGTGTGGAAAGAGTTTCAAATGTGCGACGAACCTCAAAGATCATCAGCGCTCGCACTCTGGAGAAAGGGCGTTTAAGTGTGATCAGTGTGGTAAAAAATTTATTTTGGCATCAAGCCTAAAGGCCCACATAAAAATTCATACAAATGAGAAGCCGTACGTGTGTGCTGTGTGTGGAAAGGGCTTTTTGCGCTTGGGCTGTTTTAATGATCATCAGAAAATCCACACTGGCGAGAGAGCTCATATATGTTTTGAGTGTGGGGACACGTTTACTAGATCCAGTGCATTGAAACAGCACCAAAAAATCCACACTGGAGAAAAACCTTACAAGTGCTCGTATTGCGGAAAGGGTTTCACCCATTCTGGAGCCCTGAAAAGACACGAGCGAGTGCACACCGGAGAGAGGCCGTATCACTGCACTGCGTGTGGGAGGACTTTCACCCAATCCAGTGATCTACAGAATCATATAAGAAAGCCTTGTCCAATGTTGTCACACAGTGAGCAAAGTTCATCTTCAGTTGCAGTTTAAACAGTGAGAAGTTGCAGTTGTGCTGAATGAGCTGTCCTTCTGTGTAACAACTTGTTTGTACTTGCTTTACAAAACAAACTTTTCCTTTAGAAAAGCAAGGGTGTGCTGTCGCTGTCAAATGCCACAAGTTTGAAGGAACTATTTTCTTCTCTGATGGGAGTAGAAATACAACTAATTGGATTGTTAATGCACCACTATTCTTTTCCTTTCATTTGTCGTAGTTATTCAATCGGTCTGGCTGAAAATATTTCAAGACATAAAGTCAGTTTGGTCATTTCGTTTTTTTAACTGTGGCTGTCTCGTACTGTATCTTCTAATCGAAGACAGACACTAACGTCTAGTGTGGTGACTACATGCCATTTCCAGAAATAAAGCTACATTAATCTTCTACTGTGTGTGACTTATTTAATGAGCACAGAAGCAGTTTAATCAAAATTAATGTAAATGTTGTATCTCAGTTCTGCATTAAATAAATAATTATCATAGGAAGTGCTCCAGGGCCTGTTTTCCTATCATATAAGATCAGCTTAAATTATTTAACTGTCAATGATTTGACACAATTCCTGTGGCAATTGTTTCGTTATTCATAGTTATTCCTCACAGGCTTGTAGTCGTAGCCCCAGGTCCATCACCTCAACCTGTTTAATGTAAACAGAATCAGGGTATGTTTACATGATGACCATGTACTAAAAACGGAAAAGTTTTTCCACGTACAGACGACATTGTCAGAATGATCCCCGTTCCCACCACAGATCCGTGAAAACAACTAAAAACGCTGTATTATTCATGCCAGGGCAGTAGTTGATTTCATTTTGTGAAGAAACACTACGTGCCTGTAGACTTGAACACGTAATACACATGCGCAGGATGGCACCGTTTTCACAAATTCACATTTTTGTCACATTTTTCTCTGAACGTTGAGACGATAACGGTATCGTTTTCAAAAACTTGCACTTTCAGGCCCCCGAAACAATGTTGTCGTCTAAATGAACGGCTACAACATGTTAAATAAAATCAGTTTTTAGTTGCAAACGGTGTCGTGTAAATGCCCCCTTAATGGCGTCTTTTATGGAGATACTGAAAACAGTCGCTGCTTCAGTCTATCAAGAGCAGCCAGTTGGAAATAATAGGCAAAAATATATTGTATTAGATCAAGAAAGGCCACTCAAGTGCTTTATTATTTTTGTGTAAAAACAAACAAACAAACTGTTAACATTAAACAGTGTAACACAAATGAAAAAAAAAAAAAAAATGAAAAAAAAAAAAGTTCAATACGGATGGGAAATAATGTGCAAACTTGAATTGTCCACCAAATTATAATTTCCTCTGGTCAAATTGAACAATAATGCATTACAGTAAATGAGTTAAAATAATCATTGTAATTTTGGTTTGCTATATTTTATTCCTTTTAAAAAATCAATTGATGACTTCAATCAAAAAAAAAAAAAGTCAAAGAGGGCATTTCAATGAATACAAAACCTTTTATCGATTTAGTATCAGATAAAGATATGCTCTCTGATTTCAATTTTGTTTTTACCTAATTGTTACAATCACTGGTAATAAAAGAATCGCCTATATGCCAAAGTAATTTTTCAACAGAAGTGTAAACATCATTTATGCAACAAATGAATTCACGGGATAAGCTACAATCACTTAACTAACAATTTGGATGAAACTGTTTCCTTTTAAGGGATGTATTTTTTGTGTTGTGTTCAGCAGAATTATCTATTGCTACATCTTTAAGACAGAGATGCACAGACACAGTGGAAAGGAAGTTCAAAGGAAAGTTTTATTTAGCAAATATATGCAGAATCTTAAGTGAAACTAGTTTTTGATGCCAAATCAATTTTCATAATCAATGCGTTTGATGCAGGAGAAATGTGCAGAAATAAAGACCTGGGTGACTTTGACAATGGCTAAATTGTTATGGCAAGGCGATAGGGTCAGAGTATCTCTGAAACGGCAAGGCTTGTTAGGTCAGCAGTGGTGAGAATTTACCAACAGAGGAGGGACAAACCACAACTGGCGACAGGGTGTTGGACGCCCAAGGCTCATTGATGCAAATGTGCAACGAAGCCTATCCTATCTGGTCCGAGCCGACAGAAGGTCAACTGTGGCACAAGTCACACAAAACTTTAATGTTGGTAATGGGAGGAATGTGTCACAGCACATCTCTCACTATGAGGCTGTGGAGCCACAGACCAATCTGAGTGCCTATCATAACCCCTGTCCACCGTTGAGAGTGCCTTCAATGTGCATGTGAGTGTCGGACCTTGGAGCAATGGAAGAAGGTCACCTGGTCCGATGAGTCTCGTTGTCTTTTTACATCACATGGACGGCCTTATACATGTGGGCCATGTACCTGGGGAAGTGATGGCACTTTTTACAACAAAAATGAACCATCACTGAACTTACTTATGCTGGACTATGACAATATTTTCTTCTAGAGCTGCTGTACAGTTGAAACGAACATACAGTTGCATTATTTCCCTGTTATCACTGTAAAGCTGCTTTGAAACAGTCTGTATTGTAAAAAGCGCTATATAAATAGGATACACTGTGGGACGACGACAAACCGGTGGAGGGAGTGTGATGCTCTGGGCAATGTTCTGCTGGGAAACCCTGGCACATAAATTTGACATGTGCCACCCACCTAAACATTGTTGTAGACCAGGTAAACCCCTATTACAATGATGTTCCCTGGTGGAAGGGGATTATGCACCCTGCCACACTGCACATATTGATCAGGAATGGTTTGAGGAACGTAATGAAGAGTTCAAGGTGTTGCCCTGACCTCCAAATCTCAATCCAATTGAGCATGTGCTGGACAAAAAGGTTCAATCCGCGGCGTCTCCACCTCGTATCCTACAGGACTTGAAGGATCAGCTGCTGATGTCTTGGTCAAGTCAAGTCAAGTCATCTTCATTTATATAGCGCTTTTAACAATGTAGATTGTTCCAAAGCGGCTTTACAGTGATGATAGGAAATTAAAGTAACAGAGATTGCTTTGGCTATATATAACAGCTCTAGAATAAAGTTGCTAAAGTTAGTTTTGATTGATTCACTTCCGTCGCAACGATCATTAGTTATTAACTTAGGGGCCGCTAACGCGACACCGTTCTAACAGAAAACTCTTAAGTTCTCTCTATGTAAACTTTAAAAACGCGAACCTGTGAGAACGCTGATGGCAATCACATGCTTATTAAGAGTTCATTCTATAGGTATGCGCGTTTAAATATATGTGCGCAGGCATGTAGTTCTTCCCTAAAAAACCAACCCTCAACAAACTACTTGTCTGGCCTTAAAATTTATAATACAGAATGTTATCGCTTCGACGTAGCCACGTGAACCGGAATTATCCCTACAACGATTATCTGTACAGAGGTAAAGGGAAGGGAAGGAGGGCTTCACAGGGAGGGACTAGTGACACTTCAGGACTGCGTTGTCGTCGCGTCCAGACGCAGGTCCTTCATCAGATCTGGATCCGGCGGACTGCGGTAAACCTCGGGATAAACAGAGAGACTAATATTAGCGTAGATGCCATTCTTCTTATGATGTAACGAGTACATCAGGATTTATGGGAAGTGTTCCCGGTTCCGGCTGACCTAATCTATGCAGCCTAACATTGAATTATAGAAGTCTATAATGTGCTATGTGTACGCTAGGTCAAAGAGATGTGTTTTTAGTCTAGCTTTGAACTGACAGAGTGTGTCTGCTTCCCGGACAATGTTAGGAAGACTGTTCCAAAGTTTTGGTGCTAAATAGGAAAAGAATCTACCGCCAGCAATCGATTTTGATATTCTAGGTATTATCAACTGGCCGGAATTTTTAGATCGCAATAGGCGTGAAGGACTATAATGCGTTAAGAGCTCGCTCAAGTACTGGGGAGCTAAACCATTTTGTAGTAAGTAAACCGTGCTTAGTAAGTAATCAGCAATATTTGAAAATTTATACAATGTTTAATAGGGAGCCAATGCAGTGTTGACAGAACCGGGCTAATATGGTCATAATTCCTAGTTCTGGTAAGAACTCGAGCTGCTGCGTTTTGGACCAGCTGTAGTTTGTTTATTAAGTGTGCAGGGCAATCACCCAGTAGAGCATTACAATAATCTAGCCTTGAGGTCATGAACGCATGAACTAATTGTTCCGCATTCGTCAATGAGAGCATATGACGTAATTTAGATATATTATTAAGATGGAAAAATGCGGTTTTACAGATACTATTCACGTGACTTTCAAGATTTCCATTACACGAGAGTAGATGTTAAAACTTCATGCTGATTTGTACTCGGCTTTCGCCAAGATAAGCAACACTAAGATGTAGCTTTACAGTAAACTATGCTTCATCCATTTACGCTTCTTTCCATATGGTGGTGTGACTCCCCTTCTGTCCGGCGTTAACGGCTGCAGTGTACTTGGCGCGTCAGCACACACGACGGCTGCAACTACAGTGTGGTCTCCCTAGTGAACCAGCACGACAACCGTCTGGATTGAGCCGAGTAGGGGACATCTCTTGGGTCTTCAAGTGGGCACCTTCCGTCCTCAGTGTTTCGTCGACTAGCCCACGACACCTCAAGAGGGCTCGACAGTGACTCTGGCATCCCAGAGTCACCCCCCTCCGTCCCCCACTCAACTCAGCCCAGCTTACTGACCTCTACATCTCTCCGCAACCCAACCATACGTGGCAACCCGTTTGACTAAGGCTGTCGAGCACCACTGGTGAGTTAATGCAGTTTCAGTGGCAACGGTTCCGTATGGCATACCACCTATCGCAAAACACAATATCTGCCCAACCACCCGTCATTCACGCAATAAACACAGGAACGTAATTACTGTAAATACTATACAATCTATACAAATAAACCAACAGACTCTTCAAGTTTTCAAGAATTCTACGAAACCGTAGCGTGGCGGTCTGTACACAGCCAGCTAGAATCTTTCCGTCTCAACCACAGCCAGTTGCTGCTCCTTTCTGCTGCTTCAGATAAGTTCTTTACTGTGCGACGCAACTCTTGGCCGCTGAATCCGACGTCTCTGAGGAACCGGGTTGTAGAGTGTGCCACAAAACCTCGACAACCCACTTCCACTGGATAAACCTGGACTCTCCATCCTCGCTGTTCTGCTTCAGTGGCCAGATGAGCATACCGCAGTTTCTTCCTCTCATATGCCTCATCTACCGCATCCTCCCTGTTAACTCTATCAGTTGAACAATGGCCTGGGAAATGGCCTTTATACACCTTATCCTCTCCTCCTGCTTTCGCACCTCGTTGACTACCAGCTTCCTCCTTTGAGCTGGGCCTGCCTTGTGCCATTTAGGAGGAGCTAAACTGAGCCCAAAACCCCCTCTTCCATGCTGTACCTGTCCCACGATATCCCCAATTTGAAGGTCAGCCTTTGCCTCTACTACAGATTTATTTGCTGACCACTTTCTACCAGTTTTTAACACAGGGACTGCCTCCCTTACACATTTGTCGCGTGACTCTACTAAGGTCATTTCCAGTCTGACCTTGGCGCACTTAAACTCCTCGGTTAAAGCAGAGACTGGCAGCTGCAATATTCCTTTACTATAAAGTCCCACTCTGCTGAGGCAGCGTGGAACTCCCAACCATTTCCTGATGGATGAACTTATTAACGCTTCCAGCTTATCCACTGTTGTCAAAGAAACCTCATACACAGTCAGTGGCCACAGCAACCTCGGCAGTAGACCAAACTGAAAGCATCAGAGTTTTAGTTTGCCTGGTAGAGCACAGCTGTTTATGCTCTTCAACCCTTCCACTGCTTGTCGTCTAACTTCTCCCACTTGAACTGTGTCCTTTAGATCCCCATCGTACCATCTCCCAAGACTCTTCACTGGCTTCTCAGAAACTGTTGGTATTGCCTCACCATTAATGAAGAATGTTTTATCTACTACCTTTCCTTTAAATATCGAGATGCTCCTTGATTTAGAGGGCTTAAATTGCATTCGTGCCCATTCAATATTATCTATTAACTTCCCCAATAACCGATCAGTGCAGGCTACATTTGTAGTCATGGTTGTCATGTCATCCATGTATGCTCTGATTGGTGGTAGTCACATCCCAGAAGCCAAGCGCTCTCCTCCTACTACCCATCTGGATGCCCTAATGATTACTTCCATTGCCATAGTAACAGCCAGTGGAGAAATGGTGCATCCTGCCATTATTCCAACCTCTAAGCATTGCCATGTAGTGCTGAATTTTGGAGTTGAGAAACTAAATTTTAATTCTCCAAAATAGGCTTTCACTAAATTTGTTATTGACATTGGTACTGAAATGCTGAAATCAAAATCAAAAATCAAATGCTGCCCAAAGAAGCTCATGTGGCACTGAACCATATGCATTAGCCAAATCCAGGAATGTCACATGGAGCTCCTTCCTCTCCTTTTTAGCTGACTGAATTCGTTGCCAGATAACATTGATGTGTTCTAAGCATCCTGAGAACCCTGGAATGCCCGCTTTTTGAACAGAAGTGTCAATGAAGCCATTCTTTAATAGGTAGGTGGACAATCTCTGGGCAATAATGCTGAAGAAAATCTTACCTTTAACGTTTAATAGTGAAATAGGACGAAACTTACTGATGCTTGTAGCATCTTTTTCTTTAGATATAAAGACTCCACCTGCTCTGCGCCATGCTCTAGGTACAACCTGTTTTTCCCATGCCACTTTTATCAATTTCCACAGAATTCGCAGAACTCCTGAAGCACTCTTGTACACTCTGTACGGAACTCCATTAGGCCCTGGAGATGATGAAGCCCTTGCCTTTCTCACAGCCTGCTCTATCTCTTTCCACTTAGGTGCACAGACCTCCATTTGGTATTCTAGTGGGTTGATAGGTGGTATGTCTGATGGAATTGACATAGGCTCATGCCTTTTTGCATCTGTATGCGTTTCCTCCAAATATCTCTCTAGCTCAACCCTAGATGCTTTTAAAGTGCCATTCTTCTCCCTGGTGAATAACTTCTTTACGAATTTGAATGGGTCTGAAAATGAAAATGAAAGATTGCTATCAAAGAGCACACCCAGGTTCCTAACCGACAACGAAGACTTAACAGAGCAGCCATCAAGTGTTAGACAGTATTCTAGGTTATTACATGAGGAAGTTTATTGTCCAATAATTAGAATCTCTGTTTTTTTTTTCAGAATTAAGTAGTAGGAAATTACTAGTCTTCCAGTTTTTTTTATATCAGCTATGCATTCCGTTAAATTTGTGAATTGGTCAATTTCGTCAGGGTGTGAAGAAATAAACCAGAAACCAGAAACCACAGCACATCTTCAGGGCTCTCGTAGAGTCTATGCCTCGGTGGGTCGATGCTGTGTTGGCAGCACACAGAGGACCAACAGCATATTAGGCAGGTGGTCATAATGTTTTGGCTCCTCAGTTATGTAATAAATGGTTATACCCATTTATACTGTGTTAGAAAAACATTTATTTGAATAATGTTTTTTTTAAAGACAACAGAATGGGAAGTCATATCACATCTGTTGCAATGTCCAAAGTAGACTTGCACTTGATATTATCATTTTGACAGGTGTTGTACAGTACAGTAATTATTTTTTTTATCTTTACCAACCCTCCTTGGTTGAAAATGGTTCCTCAGCATCTATAGCATTACAGAGCCTGTGATGATCCATTGCACATAGTTGTCATTGAGACATGTGGTCTTTTCCCTTGTGATTTATCTTATCTCATTGAGCAATGAACAGAGTAAGTCTCATCCATTGCGGTGTGGGAAATATCCCCCACATCTTCCTCTGAATAATATCTTATAGTTTTACATTAACTGCTGAACATAAGTACTTTGCTAATCCATCCCCAAGGTAACCCATTGATTCAGAATAAACTGGTAGTGATGGATGTCTTTGTCTAGGGTGTTGTTCACTTATGACACAGTAATGACATGCACCAAGAGCTCTGGCCTCCAGGAGTGAGTAGAAATGCTCTCTTTCAAATGGACTTTGCTGATATAGTAGTAAAAAGGTCCTTTTCCCATCGTGCCCCCCTTAGTCATGGTAAATATGACAGGCACTTTCTCTATTAGAAAACAAATGTGCACTGTTTCCGAAAAACAAGGGGTTCACCCAACTTACCCACTGGCTCATTTTACCCCAGCAATGTCCCATCTGATGTCCGTCCTCATCTATGCCAGATCTGAATGATTCTTCACCAGCCACATCATGCATCCTTCTGGTAGGAACTGGAACTCATTTTTCCCCAAAACTAGACTAGACAACCTTCTGTCACTGTTACAGTAAGTGATTAATTTACATATCCTCGTTGTTAATGATCACCTAAACCTAACATTATTAATGTTAATTAACATATGGTCAGTTTTCTCATTTGTGCCAGAGAAGAATGGGATCCCTCTGCTGAATCTTGGTTCTTCGTTGAAAGAAAAAAAAATGATGTTAGGATTGTTTTTACGAAAACAAACTCCCTAAATTTATGGTTCTATTTCTTATTTTCTAACAGCCATGTTTTGCAATGCTGTTATCTCTTAAAGTACATACTTTACTCATCTTGTTTCTGATCGGATCTAACATAACTCTATTATCAGATTTGATTTTGAAAAGAGAACCAATCAGATGAACTTGTAACATTTACTGCTCTGTCAATTATTGATCTGCTGTTACTCCCTAACAGGTCCATCATGCTAGCTTTGCACTTTTTTTTATCATTTTATGCATCTTTCACAACATTGTTGTGCTGATATCAGACCAAAATTCCTCTGTCAGTCAGTCTGTGCTTCATAGCCTCAAGCATGTTTCACATATTTTTGTTTATTTTGCATATCTTATGTCTCTTTGGCTGTCAAGGTAGATGTGAGGTAAGCGACTCTTTTACACATATAATTCATATTATAATGAATATTTCAGTTTTTGTGTAAGCAAACAGAACAACTGTATTTTTACTTATTCTAAAGTAATTCGGCATGTATCAATGTGAAGTACTGGTTGTCACCAAAAAAGTCTTGTGAATATGACCATTGATATTTCACCACATTTTTTTAATGATTTCTCTTATCATGTTTTGCCTATAGGCAACACAACGAGTGATCGGTAAGTGTGCTTTCTTCTTCTCTTCTTTGCTGAGAAAGTATTTTAAATGTACAGAATGTAAAAACTATGCCTAACTGCATTGGCATTGATTTTGCAGAATATAATGTAGATGGCGGAAAAGAAGATCTGTTTGATGTTAATGAAGGTAAGGTGAAGGTCATCATTAGGTCTATAAGTGTTTGTTTTGCTTTGCATGATGGTCAGTCTCATTGACCATGGCCTTTCTGTCTTGTTTGTCATGTTTTCAGATGCGGGTCTTGATCTATTCGAGGGAGATATTTTATATGATGAGGTAACTAATTTGACCTGAAAAACAAATTCAAACAGTTTGTGTGTGGTTTGCTGTTCTCATAGCATTAATGCTGTATGTGTGAATAAAAATAATTCAGGAGTGAATTTTATATGTGACAGAATGTAACGCCCAGTTTCGGTTTCAGAAATTGGGGAGAAATTCTATAATCGGGGATGAATACAGATGGCCAAAAACAATTCCTTATTACCTTGAGGATGATTTGGGTGAGTTTATTTAGTCCATTTTTTGATGAGGATACAGTATCACGAATATAGTAAAACAGTACAACAATACATCAATAATATAAAAAATAAAACATGTTTTTTATTGTAATATATTATAAAATGTATTTTATTCCTGTGATCAAACCTGAATTTTCAGCATCATTACTTTTGTTATGAAAAGAAAGTTCAAAAGAGCAGCTTTTATTTAAAAAAAAATGTAGTAACAATTTAAAAGTCGTGGCACTTTTCATCAATTTTAATGCAATTTTAAAGCAATGCGATTTTAAAGGGATAGTTCACCCAAAAATGATAATTCTGTCATTAATTACTCACCAATAAGTCGTTCCAAACCCGTTAGACTTTCTTTCATCTTTGGAAAACAAATGAAGACATTTTTGATTAAATCTGATAGCTTTCTGTCCGTCCACAGTTACGCAACTACCACTATGACACTTCAAGTTCTTAAAGAGATCGTAAAACGAAGCCATATGCAATATCAGCAAACATAAACAGAAGCTCAACTGAACCTGCTTGCTGAACATCAATCCTGTTGCGTAACACGAGAAAAAACGTCATTGGTTCTTACAGAAGCTCAAACGTGTTGCGTAACACACGAGAATGAACCTCGTTGGTTCTTGCTGAAGCTCAAACGTGTTGTGCAACACACGAGAATGAACCTTATTGGTTTCTGAGGAAATTCAACCATGCTGCGTAACGCAAGAATGAACCTCATTGGTTCTTGCTAAAGCTCAAACATGCTGCGTAACTTGGTTTAAACATGGTTTAAAATTCTGTCTGTTAGGGTGTGTTTACACATGGCAGGTTTGGTTTGATTAAAACAAACCCTGGTGCGATTGCTCTGTTAGTATGGATCATTTGAAAATGTGTGAACGCTGCCATCTGAACCCTTTTGCGGACCAAACAAGGCTCGGTCCGCTTCCAAACGAACTCTGGTGCGGTTCGACTGAAATATGAATGCAAAGACATGTAAACAAACCAAAAACATGACATGATGTCACAAGATCCAACCCTAAAAAGGACAGAATGCTCAAGCACACGTTTTTTTCTCGTCATAGTCGCAATGTTGCCCATCACAGTTTGGTACAGGGATCAGAAGTGCATCTCCTCACAGCAGATCTTCGTTTGTGTGTGTGATGGAGGGATTCCTGCCGCTGTTTTGACTACTTTAAGCCAGGGACACACCAAGCCCACACACCGACATTTTTTTCCCGGTGTGTTCCGGTGTTTATTTTTTTGGCAGATTCAACATGTAGAATGGGCGTCAGGCCGTCAGTGAGAGGGAGAACTCTGATTGGCTGTTCAGTTTAGCGAACGAGTCAGTGCACGAGAATAAGAGCAAAAGTGATGAAAGCGAGGAAAGAAGTCAAGACGACACAGGCAGAATGCTGTTATAATTTTACTTCATCACCTGAGCATTAATAATAATGGAATAAATAATGTGTATTCAAAATGGTAAGCAAGCGCTGCTTTGTTTGTGGTTTACCTGCAGTCTTAGTTTCACTTTCCCCTTTTGAATGATGAATATATATAGACAAATATATCTGCTTAAGTAGACAGTTATCTCTTTTACACGTAGGCGCAGAAGACAGTAGGCTGTAGTCCTTTCGGAGTGTTCAAGCACAGATTTTCTTCCCCGACCCACGCTTTCAGCAGCACTATCTTTGTTGTCAGTTTGGTGTGTCCCTACCTTTACACATTTCATAAGCACTTCACAAGTTCTCATCTGGTCAAAATACCATCAATTGTAGGCTACGCACATACAACGAGTGGATTTAGCCAAGCACACAGCATAGTTTTCGATGTTCGGTAAGTTCAGTCGCAAAATATACGTTATAAAGCTGACCAATCAGGTAGGGAATGTATCCCTATGCCTTTAGGTTGGTTATTTAGGTTCTGGACCAAACAAACCAAGTAAACCGAACTACAAGTGTGAACACACCCTTATTGTAGCAACATTTACCTGCCACTATACATGACGTTGAACAAAACAAGATGTTATAGGTCACTTTACATGTCAGTCAGATGACCTCTTCCTGTCTAAGTGGACAGTCATTGGTAATAAAGCGGCCAGAGAGCCCAAATCTTATGTTGCCAGTCAAAGGCTATGCCATACTAATTAGGCCCTAACAAATCAAGTTCTCTATGGACAGATATCAATGCAAAAGGGGTTATCCTGAAGGCCTTTGAACAGTATCGGTTGAAGTCATGTATCGACTACACACCATGGAATGGAGAAGAAAACTATATCTCTGTATTTAAAGGCAATGGGTGAGCAACTAAACACTTACATGCTGCTTCACACAATATGAGCTGTGTAGAAACCATGATAAAATATATATATGTATGTGTGTGAATAGCTGCTTTTCATCAGTTGGTAACCGGCGAGTTGGCAAACAGAGGCTGTCCATTGGCAGCGGATGTGATCGAATCGCCACCATTGAGCATGAGTTTCTCCATGCATTAGGCTTCTGGCATGAGCAATCTCGCTCTGACCGTGACGACTATGTCTCCATCATCTGGGACCGCATTTCAGAAGGTATTTTTTTATTCAATATATCCTATGCACACAAAATATTGTATTAGGTCTGGTATTCTGTCACAGTATTGGTGGCTGTATAATTCCAAGAGGAAACACGCAAGAGAACAGAATAAATCAACCACATCCAACATAAACGATACCAGACAATGAACAGAGGAAACTAAGAGTTTAAATACAGAGAGATAACAAGGTAACCAAATAAACAACAGGTGAACATAATCCAATCAGAAACCATAGAAACTAACTAGCAAACAGAATGAAAACGATACCAAAACAGAACAGAACAGAGCAGGGGTGCGTTTCCCAAAAGCATCGTTAAATGGTCGCTAGTTCCGTCGTTATCAGCATAGTTCAACAAGTCTGTGTTTCCCGAAAACATAGTTCCAACGAATATTTGCAAACAGCAGTTTAGAGTTGTGTGGTTGGAACGACAGCTGTCGACCTGTGGTCAGAAGCATAGTTTCTTGTTTGCATGACATGTGGACTCAATAAATCATTATCTTGAGCCTAATAAGCAAACTGACATTCAGTACAATCTATATCTTTTATTTAGAATACATACAAATGTCATTTACGTCTTTTAGTTTGTCAAGAGATTTAAAGCACCGTTTTTGAAAAGTGACGAAACAGTCGTGACTAGCTAGTTGGTTTTTTCAACGATGCATCGTACTATGGTAGTTAAGCAGCGAGTTACGTAATTTTACGGGAAACGTACCCAAGAACCGTTACAGAAACAAGAGCATGTAATAATAAAATGTAAAAAATATGAAAAATAAAGATTAGAACTGGAGAAAGTAGGAAAAAATGGGTGAAGAAGCATTCAATATGCAAAGTCTTCTGAAAGAGCATGCAAAACAATGTAAAACATATAGAATATAGAATAAAATATCTTAAAAACAGGATTAGAATCTAGTTAAGTATTATTTTTTTTAAACCTGCTCGCATACTTCCCTACTATATAGTAGGCGGAAAACAAGAGTAGTATGTCTGAATTCAAGTGTAAGGGGTAAACAGTCAAAGACCCAGAACCAGATATGAAGAATGAAGACCCGGAGTCAGAACTATAAAAAATTAAAGAAAAGTTTTACTGAAGATAGTTTGCATTTTCATCAGCAGAAGTCAGCTTCAAGACTCACACAGGAGTTCGTAGGCCGCCCCGCCTACAGTTACAAAGATCACAGCAGTTATACCATTTCCAAGGTCTAAGCTACGTCATTGCTTACAGGTTGAATGATTCTCATTGGCTAAGAAACATGAAAGCCTAAACAATTTAACACATGTGAGGAGATAGGGGTGCCTATCGCCATTAGTAAAGATAGTTGTCGTCCACTCATTAGATTTAGGTCTGTGGTGGCCTCGCAGGTTAGAGAAGGGCGCCGGGGTGTCTGGTCCGACCGTCCAGAACCTACATAGAATGTCATACGCACACACACACAAATAACAGACACGAGCAAATAACAGCTCCCATCAAGGCTGAAGAGAGTCTGAGCTCCTTATTATCAGTTAAGTATACCAAAACATAATGCCAAAACATTCACTCATTTAGGAGAAAAACAGATCACTGGCATTTACTCCCAAGGAAGGAAATATACTGGAAAGAATACATTTTAATACAACAATTAAAGTTTGATAGTAACGCTCAATATAGCTTGACCATATGTCCAGCGAAGGATCATATGTGCCCACGCTGCCTTTAGGACCCTCTAACCTTTCTACTGATCCCAGAGAAAGAGACAAACGGCCTTGTGGGTTACGTGGCCTTCGTGTCCTGCGTGTACTACGTGCAATCTCAAAGTAAGATTGGAATGCACCTAAAAGAAACTGGTTACTTACATCCATGCATTTAAGAAAATATAATTTCACAAGCACAAGAATATAAAAATTATTATGTGATAATGAATATATTTGATTATTGATTTTTATTAAGGAAGTATATAACCATTCAAAATGATATATGATTATATATGTATTTGAAGAGGCAAGGGATTTTGACCAACCCTTCAGTCCCCCATTTTAGACCAATGTGGGGTCCAATACCGCCACGTCTGGTCTAACCAGTGAGGTCACTACGGAAGGGAGGAGTGGTGACGCATGCTCCCCTGCCGGGTCACACTTGTCTCTTCACCTCGTCATGGACATGCTGGATACTAAAAATTCCAGTCCCCATTAAGAGGCTCTCCCACCTTCCACTCACAACAGGACATCAATGTCATTCTTCCTCAGTTTATCAGTCAGGTTAAAATTTTTATAAAACACATAACTGATTACGAAACAAGTACATATTTGTTCTCTGGAAGCCAGGCTAAATAAGCAAGCACTATTGCTGTATTCCTAGCATGGGCTAGATCCACAGTCACTACTCAGATCCTAAATAAAGACATTGTCTATAATCATGAGTACCAGAATATATGCACTAGTTTTTTTTATTTATAAAATTATGATTTCCAAATCCTTTTATTATAAACAAAGTTGGATGGTTAATCCATTATTTTCACTACCCCTTTTATAGACCCTTTAGGTTTAAAACACAATGGTTGTCTAACTAAAAATAAACAACAAACAATAGAATATTAATAATTAAGGCCCATAATAATCGATGTAAGCACTTTAAGTCTTTACTGAAATCATCCTTCAGTTTACGGTCACATAGCATGTACCATTTTAATTGTATAACATCTTATACCCTTTTTTGTTTGTTTCAAAAATAGAAATAAAATAAAACAAATTCACATCATCATTTCAGTCATTATTTTACCACTAAAATATAGAATCGTTCCCCATTTTGCTTAATAAAGCTTTTGTTCATTCCTTATCCTTATATCACTTGAATCCCTGTCAATCATACAATGTCTAACCCTAACCTTTTTCATACCATTTAAACTTAATTTGACTTCCATAAATCCTATCAGAAATTGTATTTTCATAACATACATTTTCTTCTACTATATTTCTTCCATCTTGCCCTACATGCCAGTTCCTTCTGCATCCGAGTCTCTCACCACTGTCAGCCTAGTGACACTTAAAGTTCCCTCGTTAGGGGAATCATGGTATTTTATTAATTCTTCAATACTCTTGTTTTCTTATCATTAACTTCAACTTTATTTTTCATTATAACTACTTCTCACAGTATTTGTCTCAGTTCCGCTTATCTTTACAGTTTTACAGAAACCAAAATATTATGTTACTCAGATCCCAGCCCACAGCCATATAGCTGCTTTCTCTTTTTACCTTTATTAAATTGTAGTTTTCTTAGACATCTAATGTCATACATACATTTAATGGATTGAGAAATAAAACCTTTTCTTTTTAGAAGTTATATTCACTCCTCCTTTATTCGCCCTCCGGCCTTTCAATAAAATGAGGGAGCTCACTCTGGATAATTTGGATAGTGACTTAGCCAATGTGCCACTTTGTCTCTCTGCCGTCAAGTCTATATATATATATATTTTTTTTCCTACGTTTAACCTTATGATCCCACCTAGTTGTCTATTTAAATTTAGACCCTCAGTTGAATTTAGACAAGAGTTTTACCCCATAATGGACGGCAATCTTCTTTACAATTCCAATTTATATAAAATACTAATCCAGAGAGTAATTCAGTTCAATATCATAAATGACAAAAGCATTCATAATTACCAATAGCAGACAGAGCTGGAAAACCACTCCAATTAAAGCTCGTCCCATGTTCTGCATTGTCTTTTCATCAGATTGTCTTAGAATTATCAACTTTTTTAAAGTTGGTCATTTCACTTAACCCATCTGTAATGATAAAACACTAATTCCAGGGGTTAATGTCACAATATCCTCAAAATCAGGAAATAATAGTACCCCAAACTAATACATACAAGACATAAAGTGCTGTCACCATCACACGCACTCATATTAGACACACATATGTTAACTGCTCATTTTCAATATTCATTTTTCTTTATATTATTGCTAAAAGATTTAAATTTTAAATAAGATTTTAAACTTCCCATTTTCCGGTAGCTTCTACCTAATTTTACATGGTCTCCCAACCAGTTTCAAAGCATGTCTTGTTCATTATTCATTAGAATTTAACAAGGTCAGCTGGGTTGTTTTGTTTCATTATCATTATTTTGCTTCAGCTTGCTCTAGCAGGCCGATAACAGAAAGACAGACACAGTTACCATCCCTTCCTCCAACTCAGGCAGTCTCTCTCACTATAAACAAATAATATTTTTCACCAGCCTCCTAAGGCTGTAACTTAGTCAAAATTTGTATTCATTACAATAACCTTTGACCATTCACCTTTGTCATCCAGACTTTCCTTAAATCAAAAGCTGTCTTCATCTTTAGCCACCACCATGTCTAACGACCTTCAAGAGTTAAAACTATGTTATAACATATTAGTTCAAAATCAACACTATGATTTTCCTTGCCCATAAGGCAACCAGTACATAAAAAAAATGTATTACTGTCTCCACAACAACTAATGGGAATCACTTCATGGCCTCAGCTGGCTCTTGAAAGCCCACTCCTGTTCGCCCTTTATCTATAATCTCCATCAGGGTGTTTTCCCCTGGCATATTTGCAGATGCTTGTCACAATAAAAAACAAGCCATACAACTAATGCGGTTTCTTCTGGCGAGTGGTATATATCGAGGAGCTTTGCTTTATTGGGGAGACATGCCGTGACTCGTCACCGCGTCATCTCCCCTTAACGCCATAAGGACGCTGCTGGCCTCACAGCTCCTGCTCAACCCTCATACCTGTCTCACATAACACACCTCCATTCAGGAGATGCCCAATGACTTTACGTGATCCACTCTGGCTTGGGTTGCCCCCTGTCAGGCCAATAGAAGGTCTTACCCGTCATTGAGTAGCCACTCGTGCCCACTGGTGACCGCTCTTTCCAATCACACAATCAGTTCTCTTCAACAGAACTCAGCTGTTTTCTGGAGCTTAGGAAAGGCACGTTCAAGAGTCATCCAGAGCCATTCGGATTGCCTAATAGTGTTCACATGGGGAGACAGTTCAATAACAACAGTATTTAATCACTTAAATCCATTAACTATCTTAAAAGCAGCAACCTAGCTACTTGGATTATACTCAGTGAATTTAGATCACAACCGTACATTCAGTGTACTTCATCTGTAGCCGGAGCCATCGGTCCTGAATGGTGGAGACTAAATGAGACAGAGAAGTTACTGTCCTAAAATAAGCTAATCAAAATGTCATCTCTATCTGTATTATTGTTTTAAATACTTCTTTAAAAAGTCATTCAGTTTTACTTCTAAAACAAATTGCTCTCTAAATGGTTTCTTTTACCATCTCTGTGTCTATGATTCTTCAACTGACACACTGTGCTTTACACATTATCACAGATAACAGCTTTTAGCTGACTCATTGAATGAGAGAGACTCTGAGACTCTATTGGATGGTACACTGCTCTCTCATATACTTCTAACATCAAACATTTATCTATCATCTTTTAACTCTATCCCAGCTTAAGGCATCTTTGCCAGATATTACATACGGTTTCAAATAAACATATTATTTATATTTGTCTTTTGCCCACACATCAGGAAATTTAGGCATTTCAAATTTCCACTCAGATTGAGTCTGTTGCACTGGCAGTTTCAGCCACAGCACACATCAGATTCAGATAAGCAAACTGTTTCATTACAGCCAATAACAAACTTATCTTTTGAAAGCAAAACATCAGCTTCTAGTTCTTTCATGGTCAACTTTTCAAGCTGTTTGTTTAATCAGCATTTAGCAACTGTTAATCCAGTACGGCTTCTGCTTATTTGTTTTACATAAAAATAATTATTCTAGTTCTCAATAACGTTTCACATTTCTCAATCTCAATTTTAATTGTCAAGTTCTCAACCATAGTTTAATATTTGACTTAAGTTTTCTCTTGGAGTTTATCAATCTCCAATTAGGATTCACACTAAGTTTGACGAGGCAAGCACTCTCTGCTTGTGATACTTTTGCAGTTATGGTAAATCATCTGTGAGATTAGTCTCTCTATATCATCTAAAACCTTTTTAACATGTTTGATTACAACAAAATCATCCTTTTAGTTACTTTGATATATTTTGCAACTCACATTTGTTGGAGTCATTAATTTTACATCAACCTGTATTCATCAATTCACTTATAAAAATTTGTATTATAGATCTTTTCTTCAAAAGGATTCATGTGTCAGCCTCAACGGCTCCAACTTAGTGCACGCCCTTGAAGCAGTGTGTGTCCCATTCAGGAATGTAAACAGAGCTACTGATTAAGCAGTTCTCTGTATTCTTTTACAGTCCACCAGTGGCGGATTTAATCATAATAGCCCAATCATAATCTTCATCATTATTATTGGCAGAACATTAATTTTCATAAGCTGCAAAATATTCTAAGTTGTTTTCACAAAGTGTCTGTTTAACTTTAGTCGCTTGTCCAGGGAAATTATCCCTGACCCAGAATTTCTTTCACTTGCTTCTTGTAATCATCGTAAGCAATACGAGGCTAAACATTTTAATTTTTCAGTTTGTTTGTAGCCAGTCAAGTTTTTTAAATTTCCAATCAGAATCAAAATCCTGACTACCATTTACTTAATCATTTCTGCAAATTTATTTAAAGTGAGGGCTTTAGAGCACAGCTGCTTACAGCGTTTGCTTTTCCTGTCTCACTATTTGTTTCAGGACTCTTCAGGTTACTGATTAAGTTATTATATTTTTCTGCCATATCTTAATCATGGTTCATACTCACCTGAAGTTATTGCAGAAATGGAGGCGGCGATCTTTGAACAACACAGCTTGGCTTCTGCGTGATGAAACTGCAAAGTATACTCCAAAATCACAGTTACATATACTGGTCCATGCCAATTTGGGTCACAACTTTTTTTAATTTTCTCTCGGAATTGTTCCTGATGCATCCCTGGCAAACAACCCTATTATTGTTAGTATCCCTAACTGCCTGATTCACTTCACTAAGTTCGGGGATCCCCTATCTGAGATGGAAGAGATTGAGCAGGTTTACGGTGCCACTGGACCTCTAGCCCAGGGACGTGCTCTGCTGGGGTGGTGCTACACCAGTAATGCCCAGCGGGGCCCCCACAGAGCACGCTTCGCTTGCGCTGTCTGCTGCCGTTACCCTTAACGACGCTCTCAGCGACTTCTTATACTGTCAGCAGTATAATTAACTTACTCCTTCACTCGCCTCATCGGAGTGAAGCTTCACTCGCCTCATCGGAGTGAAGCTCTCCCGCTCTCCTTCAAAATCTCTTCCAGTCAGACAGCCCTAACAATTAACAAAAGCTTACTACCTTGTTTGTTGATTTGCCAGGGGTGTCACCGAGAATAATTGCCAGCGCATCCTCCACCATAACTGTAAGGGGTAAACAGTCAAAGACCCAGAACCAGATATGAAGAATGAAGACCCGGAGTCAGAACTATAAAAAATTAAAGAAAAGTTTTACTGAAGATAGTTTGCATTTTCATCAGCAGAAGTCAGCTTCAAGACTCACACAGGAGTTCGTAGGCCGCCCCGCCTACAGTTACAAAGATCACAGCAGTTATACCATTTCCAAGGTCTAAGCTACGTCATTGCTTACAGGTTGAATGATTCTCATTGGCTAAGAAACATGAAAGCCTAAACAATTTAACACATGTGAGGAGATAGGGGTGCCTATCGCCATTAGTAAAGATAGTTGTCGTCCACTCATTAGATTTAGGTCTGTGGTGGCCTCGCAGGTTAGAGAAGGGCGCCGGGGTGTCTGGTCCGACCGTCCAGAACCTACATAGAATGTCATACGCACACACACACAAATAACAGACACGAGCAAATAACAGCTCCCATCAAGGCTGAAGAGAGTCTGAGCTCCTTATTATCAGTTAAGTATACCAAAACATAATGCCAAAACATTCACTCATTTAGGAGAAAAACAGATCACTGGCATTTACTCCCAAGGAAGGAAATATACTGGAAAGAATACATTTTAATACAACAATTAAAGTTTGATAGTAACGCTCAATATAGCTTGACCATATGTCCAGCGAAGGATCATATGTGCCCACGCTGCCTTTAGGACCCTCTAACCTTTCTACTGATCCCAGAGAAAGAGACAAACGGCCTTGTGGGTTACGTGGCCTTCGTGTCCTGCGTGTACTACGTGCAATCTCAAAGTAAGATTGGAATGCACCTAAAAGAAACTGGTTACTTACATCCATGCATTTAAGAAAATATAATTTCACAAGCACAAGAATATAAAAATTATTATGTGATAATGAATATATTTGATTATTGATTTTTATTAAGGAAGTATATAACCATTCAAAATGATATATGATTATATATGTATTTGAAGAGGCAAGGGATTTTGACCAACCCTTCACAAGGTACTCATAAAAGAGAAGGCAAAAAGTGCCCGGATAACCTACTACTTCCGACGAGATTTTGAAGTGTGCTTACGATGAACACTTTACTATCCCATGAGGCCACAGAAGAGGGTTTGTGAATGGCAGTGAAGCGACATAACTGGCGCTGGTAGGTCACATGATAATGACAACATCGCGAATATAGTACGTCCAGATTACACTCACACTACACACATTCATACTATATAGAACATACTTTTTTAGCGGTCGTGAAGTAATTACTTATTCAAAATAAGTACCTATTCAAGAGAGTATGCGATTTCGGATATAGCCAGTGTTTAAGTGGAACATTAGAGACCTTATTCCCAAGTGAATTATTCCCAATATTATTCCCAATTTTGGATTGGCGGTACCAATCGTACATGTCTAGACATAACTTAAGTCAGGTGTACATAGGGGAATATCTACCACACCATCCCAACCTTTTTCTCTTTCTTAATTTCGACAAACAACAATAAATAAGATGACGTCTAATGCAGGCACCGTTTTATAGTCATAATGCGTGCCATTTCACATCATGTGACTGCTGTCGGCCAATTGAATTGGCTCAATTTCACACATACTTCAGAGACCAGTCACGCTGAAGCTTTGAGCTCCCTCGAAGGGGAACCACATGATGAAGAATACACACTCTACAACAGACAAAGAACTGAACTGGTGGTATAATTACACAGGGCGAATGAGGGAGAAAACGAATAACTATAACAAATAGTCAAGTCAAGTCACATTTATTTATATAGCGCTTTTTACAATACAGATTGTTTCAAAGCAGCTTTACAGAGATAGGGAAATCATGCAAAAAAGTTTGTTTCCAGAAGAAAATAGCATCACAGTCCAGCTTAAGTCAGTTTTTGAAAAAAGTTATTAATTTAGTTCATTTATATATAAAGCCACTCTGGAGTAAACCGTGATGTCATCGTCCAGCTCAGTTCAGTTCATGTATAATAGTGTCAATGCAGGCAGATCGATGTTATTGTTGAATATTAAATTAAATGTTAAATTTAATGTCCCCAACTAAGCAAGCCAAGCCAATGGCAACAAAGGTGGAAAAAGGCGAGGTTAATAAATACCTATATTAACCAAGGACAAAGGGACTAAACGCAGATTAAGAAACTAAACTGAAAGAACCAAAACACAAACAATATATGACATTTACATTGTGTATCACATGTGTATTTACAGTATGCAAAAAAAAAAAAAAACATAATTTAGAAGATTATTATTATTATTTGATACAAGGAGATATTCTCAGGTATGGATTTATTTTCAAAACACTTTCATTTCACAGACAGGAAGCATAACTTCGTCAAATACGACGACACTACATCCAGTTCCTTGAACGTACCTTATGATTATGGTTCCATGATGCATTACAGTAAGAAAGCTTTCCAGAATGGCACTGATCCCACCATAGTCACCAAGATCCCTGCCTTCAGTGACGTCATAGGCCAGCGCATGGAGTTCAGCGACAGCGACCTGCTCAAACTCAACAGACTCTACAACTGCAGTAATGCATTTTACACACCATCACATCTGAAATGAGACAAAACCTCTTTCCTTCATAAAGTGTGCTGTTTAGTTTACGTAAATGGTTCTCAACCCTGTGTCTGGACTCCCCAACACTGCACATGTTGAAGGTTTCTTTTGTCTTAGACACACATTTCAGGTCCTGGAGTCTCTACTAATGAACTGATGACCTGAATCAGGTGTGTTTGATTAGGGAGATGTGCAGTTTACACATGACACCGTTTGCATCCAAACTTTGCATCCAAACCCTTTTTACGCGTGTTAGCCGTTCATTTTCACGACAACAGCACCGTTGTCAAAAGGGGGCCTGAAAATGCAAACTTTTGAAAACTGGCTTCAAAGCGCAAATTTGAAAACGATGCCATTATCGTTCCCATGTAAACAACAAAAACGCAAATTTAACTGTTAAATCATGCACATGTGTATTACGTGTTCAGTCTATAGGCATGTAGTGTTTCTTTACAAAGTGACATCGCCAACTACTGGCCTGGCATGAATGATATAGTATTTTTAATAGTTTTCGTGGATCCGCGTGAACGAGGATCGTTTTGACAACATAGGAGTCTGAAAACGCAAACGAAAAACTTTTCCATTTTTAGTACATTGTTGTCATGTAAACGTACGCTAAGTGGGGCTCCAGGAACAGGGTTCAGCACCACTGGTTTACTCCACAGTCATGAACCTGATGTGCTTTTTGCTTAGGGCTGGGTGTTGATACAAGTTTCAAGATTTGATTTGATTCCAATTCTTGCTGGTATCAGCAGGAGGGACGTTCTCAACATTAACAAGTTGACAATGGTCGAGTGTACTGGATACTTTGTTTGCAACAAGATCGTACAGAAGAACATGATGAAATGTATGAATGTTTAAAGTTTGCCTGTGCTACTGGATCACCTGACAGCTTGTGATTACTTCACAGAAAGCTCCTCCACATTTCTGGACTCCTGTAACTTCGAATCGGAAAATATCTGTGGAATGATCCAAAGCCATGAAAATGCTGCAAGCTGGCAGCGAGTTTCCAAAGCTACAGGTGGACCAGACACTGACTACACCAACATGGGACGTTGTGATGGCAAGTCTTGTTGATTTTTAATATTTAAAAACTTTAATGGATTCTTTATAATTGAAGATCTTTAAAGGGATAGTTAACCCTTTAAAACAATCATTTGTGGGTGAAGATTAATAAAATGCACAACATTAAATCTGTTAAATTCAGTGATTTGCATTGTGAATGTGACCACTCTGAACAAGGTGCTGGTGTAGAACACAGATTCTAGACCCTTGCACACACGGAACACATGTGAAAAACAATTCGGTTTCAAAATCCAGCAAATGTATTCTGATAACTTTGAAAATTTTGCACATGAATAACTTACCTGGCATGTGGATACTGAAATCTCTCTATGAATTTGATGTTTTCTTTTAATGTTCTCACAGTTATATATTTGTTAGTTAATACGGTATATGAATGTTATACATATAACATGTTATTTAATATATTTGGCATTCACAAACAATCACAATACACTCATACTACATTACAAATCTGTTATTAATGAATGCCAGTGAGTTGTTAACTTAGGGTACGTTAACAATTTACATGACAACAGTGTACTAAACACGAAAACGTTTTTCCTTTGCGTTTTTCACAAACAGACGACAACGTTGTCGAAACCATCTCCGTTCACACAGATCCGCAAAAACGATTAAAATCGCTATATTTAAATTTATTGAAGATAATCAACAATACAAACAAAGGAGCAAAAGTTAAAGAATTTGGCAACAAATAAGATTAGGTTTACTAGAAAGAGAGCACCATTGTCCTTCCCACAGTCACTAAAACAACCAAAAATTACATTTTTGTAGTACAGGGAGAACTCAGGAAGAATATTGTCAACTAAAAATGAATTAATGTCTTTCCAGAGCTTATATGTGCATTCACAAGACCAAAATAAATCTGAAATAGTTTCAGGATGTAAGCCACAAAAGGAGCATTTTACATCAATGTCATTCTTAAACTTATTTAAGCGTACATTTGTGGGGTAAAACCTGTGTAGTAACTTGAACGAGACTTCTTTAATTTTGTTAGTTAAAAGGAACTTCTGGGGTAGGGACCACACTTTTTCCCAGTCTATGTTAAGGTCAAACTTATTCCAATAGAAGGATGCAGGAGAAATAGAGACTAGGTCCGGCTAAAACAAGGATCTAATTTTGGAGTTCGATGCTTTATAGGTAGAGAAACAGACTTTACCTAACAGAAGCTGAGTTGGATCTGGAGGTGACAATGATAAAATCGCTATATTACTCATGCCAGGGCAGTAGTCGGTGACGCATGAGCATTGCGTCACAGTTGTCACAAAAGTGCATTTTTGTAGTTTACATGAAGATGATAACGGTATCGTATTCAAAAATAGCACTTTAAAACCAGTTTTCAAAAGTTTGCGTTTTCAGGCCTCCAAAATGCAGTTGACGTTTTAATGAACAGCCAAAACTAATAAAAAGTTTCCTGTTTTTTTGTTGAAAATGGTGTCGTGTAAACGATTCGAGCTGGTCAAGCCATTCAGGCTGATTTTCAATCAATCTGGATGAAAAAATGTTTCATCCAATTTGGCAGGCATTAGAGCATTAACAAGGGAATTATGCCAATCCTGACTTTGCACATGTATTTCACGGATGTAACAGGTGTTTTGTTTTGCACTAGGGAATAAATAAAATAAAATAGGTAATTTCGACTTTTTATCTTCTGACTCTATTGTGAGATTTAAACACTCAATTCTGACTCGCAATTCAGAGTTTAAAACTTTCGATTGTGAGTAATAAAGTCAGACTTGTGAGAAAAAAAATCTCTTCCAAACCAAACAGGCCTTCTTCAAGGGTGCAAAAAAAAATTACGCCTTTGTAAAATAGTAATTGCACTTGAGTACTATTGAAGCAGAAAGCTTGTACTTGTAAGTCAAACATCATGCTTTTTATTCTTTTGTACATTTTTACTAAACACACAAGCCAATCAAATCTGACTACTAAACTTTTAAAGTCAGTGACATCAAAACTGTCATGTAAACTATCTTTAGACACAAGTGTAATAATTCGACCTAGTGATGATGTAATGATCAGTCAATAAACAACTCAAAAGTTGCTGCTGCAGAATTTCACGTTAAACATTTTCAGGCACCAGGTTTACTGCATGGTTAAACAGGTGAATTTAAAGAAAAAATCGCATTAGTTACATTAATGATAAAATCTCTAAAATTATAACATGCAGAAAACGTTTGCAGTACAGTTAAATAAAGCAATAAGCCCCGCGAAGCCCTGATTTACAGTGAATTTAGAACGGCTAAGGGGCGTTGTTAGGCACGGAGTATATTCATTTTAATATTTATTTTATTAATAAAATAAACACCAGCAACAAAAAATATAACGTTATAACACATTTATTCCTCCGCCAAGCAATGTAGTTCTAAAAAGGTTGCCAAGCAACACATGCAGCAACAAAGAATCTCAAACGGCAGTTGCGCAGTAATACTGAGGCCGTGTGTCCACCAAAGCATTTTTTCGCGCGGCTGGCGTATTTTTTCAATTGTTTTCAATGGGAGCGCCTGTCACAGTGTCTGGTTTATGTTCCCTGGTGTCCACTAGAGGTCCTCTTTCCTCACGGTGTCATTCACGTTTGGAACTGCATTCCCCACAATCCTTGTCTGCGCTCATCACTGTTCATTGAACTCAGCTGTTCCCCATCATGATTGTCTTGTTCTGTGTATAAATACCCTGCCTGTTTAGTGTTTGTTACGGAGTCCTTGTATATTGTCACACCACTTCTGGTAGCCTGTTTTTGCCTGTTCTTGTTTGTTTTCTTGTTTTTGGATTGCCTTTTGGATTTGACCTTTGCCTGGACTAGTTTGTGAGTACGGATTACCCTATTAAATACTGCTTTTGGATGTAACCCCTGTTTCCCGTGTGTGGATCGTGACAGAAGGACTCCGTCACAAAGAGATCCAGCATGATGGGGTTCCGTATCCTCCCTCCTACCACGGAGAAAGAGAGGAGGGGCCGTGTCCAAAATTTGATGAGCTTTCGTCAGCAATGCCTGCCGGTGGGTTGCATTGCCCAGTCATTTTGGACGCTCTCGAGGGGAATGGGATACAGTGAGGCAGCATTAAAGGACATTTTTAATACCTGTCTTGATGACCCATTGCTGGGGTGGGAAATGAAGGGTCTGGAAGTCTTGGACTTTTGGAGTTTTACCAGATACCTTGAGCATCGGAGTCAGTGGGATGTATTGGAGCCTCGCCATGCCGACACCGTCACGAGTCCGGTGGTCCCAGTTCCGGTGGTCCCGAGTCCGGTGGTCCCAGTTCCGGTGGTCCCGAGTCCGGTGGTCCCAAATCCGGGGGTCCCGAGTCCGGTGGTCCGAAGGCGGAGGAGGAGGAAGAAAGAGACGTCTACCGTCACTTCTGCCGATTCAGAGACTGTTCACGCTCCATCTGCCCAGCCAGAGACTGTTCACGTCACGTCTGCCCAGCCAGAGACTGTTCACGTCACGTCTGCCCAGCCAGAGACTGTTCACGTCACGTCTGCCCAGCCAGAGACTGTTCACGTCACGTCTGCCCAGCCAGAGACTGTTCACGTCACGTCTGCCCAGCCAGAGACTGTTCACGTCACGTCTGCCCAGCCAGAGACTGTTCACGTCACGTCTGCCCAGCCAGAGACTGTTCACGTCCCAGTCAGAGACTGTTCACGTTCCGTCTGCCTTCATGGACCTGGACCACCTGGAGCGTCTGGCTCGGATCCTGGACATGCCCGTGTCTGCTATTCCAGAGCCGTTGCCCGTTCCAGAGCCGGAGCCGGAGCCAGTGACCGTTCCAGAGCCAGAGCCAGTGCCCGTTCCAGAGCCAGAGCCGGAGCCCGTTCCAGAGCCGGAGCCAGTGTCTGTTCCTGAGCCGGAGCCAGTGTCTGTTCCTGAGCCGGAGCCAGTGTCTGTTCCTGAGCCGGAGCCAGTGTCTGTTCCTGAGCCGGAGCCAGTGTCTGTTCCTGAGCCGGAGCCAGTGTCTGTTCCTGAGCCGGAGCCAGTGTCTGTTCCTGAGCCGGAGCCAGTGTCTGTTCCTGAGCCGTGGCCGCCCGAGGGTTCTTCACCGCCCTGGCCGCCCGAGGGTTCTTCACCGCCCTGGCCGCCCGAGGGTTCTTCACCGCCCTGGCCGCCCGAGGGTTCTTCACCGCCCTGGCCGCACGAGGGTTCTTCACCGCCCTGGCCGCACGAGGGTTCTTCACCGCCCTGGCCGCCCGAGGGTTCTTCACCGCCCTGGCCGCCCGAGGGGTCGTCTGCTTCGCCCTGGCCACCCGATGGACTGTCCGCTTCGCCCGGGCAGCCGGATGAACTGACCGCTTCGCCCGGGCAGCCGGATGAACTGACCGCTTCGCCCTGGTCACCGGCTAAATCGTTATTTCCCGTTTTTGTTCCCCTACATGGACCTGGCCCACCATCCCTCCCCCTGATCCTCCGCCATTCCACCTCCCTCCTGAACTCTTGTGTTGTGTGTTAGTTGTCTTGGAGCGTCTGGTAGCCGCTCCGTAGAGGGGGGGTCATGTCACAGTGTCTGGTTTATGTTCCCTGGTGTCCACTAGAGGTCCTCTTTCCTCACGGTGTCATTCACGTTTGGAACTGCATTCCCCACAATCCTTGTCTGCGCTCATCACTGTTCATTGAACTCAGCTGTTCCCCATCATGATTGTCTTGTTCTGTGTATAAATACCCTGCCTGTTTAGTGTTTGTTACGGAGTCCTTGTATATTGTCACACCACTTCTGGTAGCCTGTTTTTGCCTGTTCTTGTTTGTTTTCTTGTTTTTGGATTGCCTTTTGGATTTGACCTTTGCCTGGACTAGTTTGTGAGTACGGATTACCCTATTAAATACTGCTTTTGGATCTAACCCCTGTTTCCCGTGTGTGGATCGTGACAGCGCCGCGTTGTTAAAGCGCCATGATAGTAAAGCCCAATTTATACTTCTGCGTCCAACTCACGCCGTAGCTACGTCGTAAGCTGTGTGTAGCACGCGTACCCTTCGGCGTACCCTGACGTGCACCTCTCCAAAAATGTAACAACGCGTCAATTGTATGCGGACGCAAGCGCTGTGATTGGTCTGCTAGAACCCCTCCCTCGGGTTTCACATGCTCCCAGTGCATGTGTAATTGCGCACCAACGCGAACAACGATGCAGAAGTATAAATGAAAACCAACGCGTAGTCTATAGCGTAAAGCGGTCACAGGTGTATGTTTGTTGAGTAATTTACAATGGCTTCGAACGCGGTTTAACCAATCAGAATCAAGGACCGGAACTATCCGTTTTATAACACTCCTTTACTTTGACTACAAACAACTCTCATAATCACTCAACGTGAGCATTTTTGAAACGTGGAAATAGTCCTTGCAATTGTCAGTTCGTATACTATCTGTATAACCATCATGTTTTCAGGAAAGGGTTATTTCATGCACTTGAGCACAGCGGTTGGGATGGAGGAGGACAAGGCACTGCTGGAGAGCAGGATTCTTTACCCCAAGCGAGGATTCCAGTGCCTGCAGTTTTTCCTCTACAATAGCGGTCATCCTAGTGACCAGCTCAGGATCTGGACGCGAGAGTTCGACATGGCAAACCCGAACGGGACCCTGCATCTCATTCAGCAGATTGAAGGTACAAATGTTTAGCCTTGGATTAATGAATATCAGGCGCTATTTTAAATGTGACTGGTGTCAAATACTTTTTATTTGCACCACACGGTTTTATTTATTTATTTATTTATTTTGCATTAGTCTTATTACACACCTCAAATGTCTTGAATGAAAGACATTTGATTTCATTCCATTTTCAGGGAACTGGGGTTACACGCATAGCCCTAAGATGTTCCCTTTTGAGGGGAACTCGCCGATGCGTCATGGTGTTGATGGCTTGGGAACACTAATACCCACTAATGCTAAGGGAATGCCTGCTGCAACTAAGCTGTGAACTGTGCACAATCATAGTGACCTAGGTATAACAACTCTACTGACAAATTTGGAGGTAAACGTCAACACTTTACAGGGCGCATCCCCTGTGACTTGTATAACAGCCTCTTCCCCTAACAGCCAGTGACAATAGGTGCTAGGGAATATATGCTTAGCCATACACCAAGCCAAAAGAGGAATTCGGAGTATAACTCTACGAAATACTCTTTTTCTCTGTTGCAGAAAGCGACTCTTAAACAGGGGAGTATAACCCTACTTAAAATCGTATTAACTATAGAGGAGGGGGACGAAATGAAGGAATGAAAACTGGAGAACCCGCCCAGATAACTCTCATTCTTCCACTTAGCTTTCACTTAGGGAGTGGCTCTACAGACTAGTGCGCACAAGACATATCTCTTTTTGCCTAGAAAGATGCCATATAGCAACCCATCCACAGGGGAGCATAATATCCTTCTTACAACGCAACAATAATTAGGGAGGAAACAGAATGAGAACTTGGGACACCTGTCCAGCGATAGTCCTTTTCACATCTCCATCATAGTCCTCCAGGCGATGAAGCAATTGCACTCACATCCTGCTGGAGGGAGGGCAATCACAACAAAGAGGTAACATAACAACCGTACCTTCTGTTAAAAGATCAAACTAAAATGTAAGGGGTTGCATCAACTCACTGAGACAACTCCTTCAGTAGGCTGCCACCTCACCTTCATATAGAGCAGGGATGGGCAACTTCGGTCCTGGAGGGCCACTGTCCTGCAGAGTTTAGCTCCAACCCTGACAAATTTTTTTTTTTTAGTAATCCTGAAAACATTGATTAGCTTGTTCAGGTGTATTTAATTAGGTTTGGAGCTAAACTCTCCAGGACAGTGGCCCTCCAGGACCGGAGTTGCCCATCCCTGATATAGAGGGTGAGCAACGGAAAGTGAGGGGGATGTAAGGTTCTACTGCCACCAACCCTATTAAGAAATAGTTGTCTCTCATCAGTTTCTCCATCTGAGCAGTAAGAAGCGCAGCTTAATTGTGAAGGGGTCACATCATCTAACTGCAAAAACTCCTTTAATAAGCTCCAACTTCAGCAGTTCATTGCTAACACTTCAGATAATACTGAAGCTAAAGCAACATAAGTTAAGAGGTCGCATCATCTCACCGCGACCACTCCTTCAATAGACTGCTGCCTCAGAAGTTCATTGCTAACACCTCCAGTCAAACCGAAAGGAAGGCAACCGCAAGTCATATCGTCTCACTGTGACAGTTCCTTCCATAAACGGTTGACCCTCAGCAATTCCCATCCGTTGGTTTCTTATGCTACGTTCACACCGGACGCGAATAGCGCGTCAAATTCGCGCCTACCGCGTCTAGTTATACGCTTGACCACTTTGAATCCATTCGCGCATCAAGAGCGAAATTCACGCGCGTAAAAAACAAAACTTTGAAGCGAAATTTACGCGCGTCTGAATCGAAACCCGTTGGCGGCCATCTTTTTTTATGTTGATCGAGCATTCATCGAGAGAGTCACCGCTCTGTATTTGCTCTGAATAGCATATATTCTGAATACGAGAGCAGAACGGCGGCGTAGGGGTCATCGTCGCCGTATTTGTGTCCACCAGACCCTTCAAAGGCGAACCCAGTGTGGCGAGTTTCACCATTTGCTCGCTCCAGGAGCTGCGCCTGGATGACGGCCGCTGTCAGCGGTACTTCCGCCTGTCCCGCGCCCAGCTTGATGACCTGTTGTCCCGCATCGGAGCGAGGATCACCCTCGCCCTCATCCACCTAATCTGTCATTTATTTTTGTTTTGATGATAAATGGAGCCAGCCTCCAAAAGTGATTAATCTGTCCTGTGATTTTTTTCTCTCTCACACACATCACTGTCCAGACACGAATGTTGGTTGTCTTTACATTATAATAATATTTCATATAGGCCTAATCTAGATATGGAATAAATAGCATTTAATACAAAATGAATATGTCTCATAGGCCTATATTGAAATCAAGTTTTATGTGATAAAATATTTGCTTTGTTGTGCATTAGAACTACATTAGAACCACCGTCAAATTACAAAATAATTTATTGAAGCATCCAGATACTTCACCACGTGATAGCAGCAAGCAGCTAGGCTCCTGATTGGTTAACGCGGCGCGAATTGACGCAGAAGTTCAAATTTTTCAACTCGGGCGGCAGACGCGAATTCGCGTCAAACGCGTGAATGCACAAAATGCACCATTCGCGCGTAACGCGCCAGACGCTCAATTCGCGCCATACGCGCGAATGAGGCGTATATTCGCGTCTACCGCGCCGCGCTCTACGCCTCATTCGCGCCGCGGGAATTTTTTACGCGCGTAACGCGTCTTTGCATTGACTTAACATTGAAATCACTCGCGCCTGACGCGCTATTCGCGTCCGGTGTGAACGTAGCATAATACTAAACACCTCTGCTGAAATATATATCAACCCTGGGTTTATAATAACACCCACTCCCAAACTCATATGTGTTAAGCACAAACGATCTAGCTTGTCCCTAAAAAGCCAGAATGCAAAAGCGAACATAATATGTTTTTCGCTAATGATTCTGCTTCAAACAACCTACTGTGCCCCAATACCGTCCTCTGAGGGTGAGGGAAGGTAAGGGAGAAGGGAAATGGTGGAGGTGGGGGGAAGGTGATGAATTATATATTTACTTTTAATCCTTTTTAACCAGTCTTTCAGACTGTTGTCAATTTGGACTTCCCTCAAATCTTGGCTTCAACTGCACCTACGCCTCTCTGAAGTTTCCCACCACTGTCTCAACAGCAGTGTCGAAAAGTCCAGAGGGCGATAACGTGGCATCAAGGAGAAAAGATATCTCCCTCTCCTTGATCCCCAACAGACTGAGCCAGAGATGCCTCTATGAAACCACCATAGTCACCATTAAGCAGCCAATGGCAGCAGATGTCTGTTTAGTTGCTTGGAGAGACAAATCCGCAGTACGGTGTAGTTCGGCAACTGCTTCAAGCGACAATCTCAGCCCATTATCCAGGTCCTTCGGGAGGTCAGCCTGGTAAGCCTGCAACACTGCCATTAGCCGTGTTTCCACCGTCGGGCCAAAAGTGAGCGTGCTAGTGCATGCCAGGGCCAGACGTCTTTCCAGTGTCACTTCCGGGGCTTAATCGGGCCTCATCGGGTCTTCCTCTGGGCCAATGGCCAGTGGTTTTTGGCCCGCTGAATACCTTGGTCCAAAGCGGGCTAACTGGGACTTGAGGAGTGGTCATGAACAAAGGTGGTGTCAACACTGCTGTTCATTTCCCATGTTATCATATCAGGCTACCAGCTAACCCTTAGCATTTAAGACATTTAAAAGAAATTCAGCTCAAAACTCACTTTCAGACACCAGCAAGTGTTTGAAATAACTTCGGATTGCGAACCGATGGGGATTGTGATCACCATATGAGGAAAAAATATATTTACGCTAAAGGCTAGTTATGCTAACCATTGTGATAATAAATACACATGTGTTTGATTTATGGAAAATACCAGAGACTGTTTGAAGAATGTAGACAAATCATATATTATTATAATTGTGTATTCATTTGGTTTCATCTGTCTCTTCCCTATGCCTTTGTTGATACCGGACTAATGCATAAATACCTAGTTCTACAAGAAAGACTCAGGAGGCAAGAGAACGTATGAATAAGATTTATTTAACAGTTGTATGCAAATTAGTATCAAATAGATGAAATTATAAAGGTCTTTGGCGTAGGCCCTCTCTGTAGTCCAAATCCAGGGGGGAGCAGATGATTGCAGAAGTTGCAGTTCCTGCCTAAAGATGAAGGCAGGGGCAGAGCCTACCCCCGATGGGTGGACAGGGGCCGACCTGGTGGTGGTGGAGAGGATGGGGTTGAACGCCGGTGTCAGTATCTGCGAACGTAGTAATGGGTGTTAACCGGACTTATATCCTCCATATGCTGATAAGTCTTTGACTCATTTGGTAGCGATCCCATTATCTACATGGCACAGCTGATTGGTTGCTGTTGTATCAGTGATAAATGAGCTGCAGCTCAACATTCAAACAAATACCGGGGTGTTGCAGTCTGCAGCGCACTTTCAGAAACCCTCCACCTTCCCCAGATCCACCTGTATAGATCTGCGACGGGGTTTAATTCATGAATGATACATGTGCAGCAGCAGCATGTCTTACCTGCTCACAGCAATGTCTGTGAATGTATTGGCAGTAGCAAGTCTCTGTACTTGCTCTGCAGCAGCAGCAGCAGAATAGCAGATCTTTTCCGCCAAGACCAAATACATTAACATTGCATATCCATTACCATGCCAATCTCTATTACCAGAGATTTGTAATCTCCCAAGAGTTGTCATGATAGAAATGACATATATTCTGGTTAACTCATATAACTCCTGTTTTCTTCTCATAAGCTCCCTCTGTTGCTCTGGCTTGAAAGGATCACATTATAGTGACATGGGAGAGATTGCTCAAACCTCCCCAGATCGCATAATGTTGTGGAAAATGAATAGAAATGCTCACACTTTCTAAAGAAATTTAACATAATTAAACATATTTTATCAATATTTTTCTAAATGTGTAAGTTCAAAGTAAATCAAAGTAACTTTGGACTTAAAAGCCTTAAAGGGGTCATATAATGCCATTTTTATACAAGTTAATATGATTCTTTAGGGTCTAAATAAAAAGTTTGTAATATACTTTGATTAAAAATTCTCATTAGTATTGTAAGAAAACACTCATTTTACCTGGTCAAAAACAGCTCTGTTTTCAGCACGCCATTTCAGTGCATGTGTCTTTAAATGATAATGAGCTTTAAACTCCGGCCCTCTGTTCTGTGGGGCGTTTTGACTTAACACACGCGGAGTGTTACCTTAACAGTTGAGGGTATATTTTGGAACAAGAATGGCAGCGGGAGTCTCTGAGGACACATCTGTACAACCGTATCAATTTGAACCAGAGTCGGACCCGGAACAAGATGACGGCCGCAAAGAAGTTCGACAATTAAGGCTCGAACAGGACGTTTCTGAATGGTTGGTAAACGTAATGTCACTTTGATCTATCTTTGTATGTACTGGCAGAGTAGAGTAGTGAGATACAAACACTATGTGTTTACTGATGTATATGTTAGTTCATTGACAGATTGATGTTTATAGCTAATGGTCATGAAAAACTTTTTTTCGCGATTTGCAAAGATTAATATAAAGGTTAATAAAACTTTACACTCACTTCTTCTGGAGGTGCAGCAGGAACACGAATAGTTGGTACCGATTCTTTTTTCAGGAGCAGCTTCTTAGCAAAACCAGCTTTATACTGACCCTCGTTTATAAAGCAGTCTGGTGAGAAATGATTTGCGCAAACATAAACGCATTGGGGAATATTCCCTTCGAAAACAAAACTCAGCCACTGCGTCTTCAGCGGTTCGGATTTAGGAACATCAAAATGACTGCTGTGTTCGTTATTACACCAAAGAACAGAACACCACAATCGCTTAGACGCTATTCTGCTCCAGAGTATCAACAATAGCGGACTATGATGACAGCTCGCTCAGGGCGGGTCTGTGTTGTAACGCTGCTGTCAATCAACAATCGTGGGAGGGGCGTCCGACCGTGTGACGTCACATGGTCGAACGGCTCGATTTGAGACAGGGGAAAACATATAAGGAGATTAAAACAAAAACACTGGATGGATTTTTATCATTATATGATGGTTGTGTACAGGCACTGCCAACACACATTTCAGTACAATCAACTTGTAAAAGTGCATGTACCATTATATGACCCCTTTAATGGAGTTGTTTTGTGCAACATAATTGATGTGCACTCCTGACACAAATGAATAAATTACTGTCACTGGCTCAAGGTCCGAGGCTATTAGCCCAACCTGGCATTTTGTTAGCCCTGGCCCGACAGTGGAAAAGTGTGCAGGGCTCCACCAGCCTGACCTGCTGATATGCTTGGCCATGGGCTGCCCTGAAGCGATCATCCAACCTTAATCCTACTCTAGCTGTGGCACGGGCCATGAGCTCTAATAATTTGTGTGTTGTGGCATCGTTACCAGGAGATGGGAAAATCAAAGTAAATTTCACGCTTTAAGAGATTTCCTTGTTTATTTTAATCAGAAAAAACATCTACTTTTAAATTGGTATCTATCCAGCCGATGCACCGTTTTCACAAACTATAGTTGTGAACAGAAACTATAGTTAACTTTTGTATTCCCATTTAGCAAAAGAAACAATCCACTATAGCCGGATGACTTTACAAAAAAGGAGGAAAATTTCGAGAGATTGATTACATTGGTCATCATACAGAAATATGTCAAGTTTGCAGCTGTATTTGAAACACCCATGAAGCAGTATTACACGTTTTCTGTAATTCAATGCTAAGCCAGTATAACACAAAGTAAAGTATAGTGTAATGAATGCATGTACTGTACAGAACTTTTTTTAATACCTGTGGAAATGTATAATCAGTGTCTAAGAAAAGGGTCCATTGGTTCTGAATACACAGGAGCTTCTCAACAGAAAGAACAGCACAAGAAAAGTGACTTGTTGCTTTTATAAAACAGATACTAACTAATAAATAAATTTAGGAGAAAAAAATGTGTGAATCAGATAGATCGGATTTGTCCTTCCACTTCATGTTGGGTATAAGGTTAATAGTTGGGCTCTATGAGTGCTATGCAGTGACATACTGTACAGGGTAGCTATTACTAGATAACCACTGGAACTAGAACACTAGGTTGACTGAATTAACAACACAACCAGCTGCTTTATTCATTAACAGTGACTCTTTTATGTCTTTTATTTGAAAGCTCCTCCCGGTGGCCTGTGGCAAATCCACCACGTGAGCCTGAACGTCTCCAAAAAGGTCCGTGTGGTGTTCGAGGGAATTAAAGGGAGTGGAAACACAGGCGGACTCTCACTAGACGACATCAACCTATCAGAGACGACTTGCCCTGAACATGTATGGATGATTAAGGACTTCAGAAGCATTCTGGAGAACACGCCAATGGACACTGCTATTTATAGCCCGCGTTTCAGATCTAAGGATGGCTACACCTTCCAAATGAGCCTGTATCCCAATGGCACAGCTGGATACCCAGGCGAGCTGGGAGCTTATGCTCACTTAACGTCAGGGGACGATGCCGTGAATGACAGTCTGGTCTGGCCTGCCCGCTGGAAGCAGATGACCATGATGCTGATGGACCAGAACGCAGACATCCGCAAACGTATGTCCAACCAGAGGAGCGTAACAACAGACCCCACGATGAAAGTGGAAGGTGAGGTGTTGTTGATTTGGGTGTATGATTCCCATCATGTCCTGCTAGATTTCTGAAATGTTTACATGCCAAATTTAGTGTTTCCCATTAATTACGTAGACTAATCTAACCACAGTGTCATAATGAATTGACAAATATATTTACACTCCCCAATATTTGGTCACTGAAAAGGGGTTGGAGGTCTTAATTGGGAGCTCTCTTGATCCCAAGGTGTAGATTATCAGATTGATGCTGGCCTGAAACACCGAATCATCACTCTTTTGTTCAAATTTCCTCTTTAGGGACTGAACATTTCTTCTGGGATGATCCACGTAAAGTTGGGATGAAAGTAACAGAAGACGACGGGACAGAGTACTTCCGTGGTCCAGGTGCCGGGACCCCCGTTTACCTCACCCAGGCCAGAGCCCTGAGCCGAGACTTCATCAAGGGCGGAGATGCCATCTTCCTCCTCACAATGGAAGGTGAGCACTGAGAAACACAGGGCCATTTCACAACTCAGTGGACTTATTTCTCATTAGCTGATCATTTATTCAAAAAGACTTTAAATGCTCAAAGGAATAGAATGAAATCTCGTTTACTTCCTCTTATTCGATCTAAACCTACCGTACACTCTTAAAATAAAAGGTTTAATTGGGTTCTATATAGACTCAGTCAATTGTAAAAAACACTTTACGCCAAAAAGGTTGCATATAAGGAGAAATGTCATAAATGATTGCGTATACTTTCATGTTTAAAGGTTTTTTTTCTAGTTGTGAAGTATAAATACATATAATGTAATCAAAATAAAAAAATAATCAAAACAAAGTAATTGATTAAAACTAAATCCATAAAATTATCCCATGATGGGAACTCCTAATTGTCATGAAACTGATATGACAGGGTTGAAGATCCAAATGCAGTCGTTTAATAAGGGGTAATCCAGAATCGAAAATCCATACAGGCAAAAGGTCAAAAGCACAGAGTCAACAGTCCAAACTATGACAAAGTCCAAGGCACAGGCGGACAGAGGAATCCAAAACAACAGGAAAAAAGAATCAAAAACCAAGACACAGGGAAACAGAAATACAGTACATAGAAAGTATATAGAAAGACTAAACCAGTCTTTTAAACTCCTTGATTTCTCTTAACAACTTAAAATATAATCTGAATGCACAATAAACTATAGTAAAATTTATTTACATCTCTCGACAGAAAGGTTTTTGCAGGTTTTAATAAAATGTTATTTTTAATAACAGTAGTCATAATAAGCATATGTCCAGTACGTGCCTCAGGCTTGCATAGTAATCGCCAACTCAATAATCCTCGGCAAACTTCGACAGCGGGTTGAACCGGCTCATTCGGTTCTTTTTGAGTCAGACGTGCTACTTCAGCTTGTGCGTCTTGCGTCATCAACCCAGAACTAAAGTTCGATTTAGTTCGATTAATGAACCGGTTACTTCTTATGAAGCAGCTCAAAAGAAAGATTCCTTCAAGAACCGAACATCACTAATGTGTGTTGGACAGGGTTGGAACTAAACTGTGCAGGGCTGTTGCAGCTCCAGTGTTGGCCAGACATCAAATTTTGGTTGAAAATGAAAATCGGGTTGACGTCCAAACCCAACATTTGTATCATGTCAAGCAACATTGTTGGCAAGGCATGAAATTTTGATTGAAAGTTTATTTTGATTTGATATCAAAACCTAATGTTGTCTTTACATCAAATTCCAACGTTGAGTTGGAATAAACACCAGAGATCTATCAAACCCCAACCTTTAAAGAAAGATGATTACATATAGTTAGAACGGAATTTGTTGGCATGTGTAACGAATCACACAATAATAATATACATAAAATGTATTTAAGGGGGCCGGAAGGCCAATTTAGCTCAAAAGGAATGATTCATCGATTTGCAATGAATCTTGACCGAATCACTATGGAACCGAGCAAATGACTCGTTTAGAGTTCATTTGAACGGGCCGTAATTATAACCTTGGCAACAGATATGAATATCCAATCTATAGTGAAACACTATGTATTAGCAAGGTAACTTTAGATCGACAGTACAAGACATTAAATGTGCAAGCACAACACAAGGCAAATATCTTTTCAAATATAATGACGACTTTATTAACTATTCTAAACACATAAAACTAAGGTCTAAACACAATCACACACACACGCATTCATACAAGGCGCAGAGGAAGAGAGAGAGAGTGAGTTTTCACGTGAGATGCACTTTGTAAGACATGACCTGAACGAACCACCAAGCATTAATTTAAACCTTCGTTTCTTAGACAGGTTATTCAATTTACATTTAAAGCACCAGTCAGTTAGAGTCTGGAGTAAGTTACTTGCTTGTCTTTGTGTTGCTCAGGGAGTTCCGTTTTTGCGGTGCTTCGTCAAAGGGGTTTCCCGACCGGGTCCGTGTGGCTGGTTGTCTTTGAAGTGCCTGGATGGAAGTTTCTGAACAGCCGGTCACGTGTGGTTGGCAGGCGAATAAGAGTCTTTACAGTTTGAAGCGCGTTGCAGGAGAGACGTTTAAACGAACTTCGCAGCAACTTAACTTTGAACCGAGACTTTTACGAAAACAAGAAAATAAAGGAAGAAATGAAAGTAAGACGAGTTAGATGGCTTGAATGAGCTGTTTTAACCCCGATCTTGATGGGTTATTTGTCTGCTGGTCTAATTTGGTCTGGTCGATGTAGAAGCGTGCGAACACGCTCTTTGGTGTTTTCAGAGAGAAGCACGAACAGGAACACTCTCTTGCTGTTGCTAGAGAGAGGCGCAAACTTAGTTCAACACCGAACCGAACTCAAAACCCCGAACTGCTCTCTGAACCGAATTTCTTTTTCTAACTCTTACTCTAACTCCTTTGTTCGGGTCTTTAACTTAAAGTTAGTCCGACCTCTTTTGGAGAATTCTGACCAATGAGACAATGGCATCATTTTGGGAGGTGGATCGAGTTCCTAGTTATCGTTATCTGGGATCTGCTTGGGTTCCAGCACTTAGCAGAGAACAAGAGACCCCAGTTTAAACATTATAGATTATTATAATCATACAAAACATTTTACACAGATTTCAAACAAGCCACCTTTTGAATTAAAGACATACGATTCTTTTGATTGGAAGCACGATACTCTTTCATCCATACACACAGTTATATCACAATTACATGATTTATATGTGATCTACGCATAATACAAACATGAATTGTAGGAACAACAAGAATTATGATGTTTGATTAAGTCCACGGAGCATTGTTCTGCGTGAGTTTTAATTGGTTTGATATGTGAAGTCTGTAAGTCTCTCACGTTCCGTGAAAGCGTGGTCTGTTTTACATCGCTGTCCTGCTCAGCAGTGGTGGTGCTGAGGGAGGTCAAAGGTTGTCAGGCCCCTTGGTGGTCAGGCCTGTTTCACCATTTTTGAGCAGCTTTGTCTTGCTTAAGGATGAGACAGTGACAACGTTCTTCCTGTTTAGGCTTATCTCTTGGGCCATAAAAGTCTTCTCTGGGGGGTTTTCTAGACAATTTGGAGCCAGTCTTGTGACTTTGGAATGTGGTATTCAGATCCGAAATGCTGAATCACATTTGAATAAATCCCATGAGAGATTAGAAAGATTAATTCGTGTTTGGTTCATCCTTAAAGTCTCTACACATGACACCAAACTTTTAACGAAGCCAGGTTTTTGTTGTAATTGAAAAATCAGCGAACTGTGAAACTTGAATACCACAGTCAGGCAAATGTCAAGATCCACTGTCAGCCCGACCCAAAGTATTTATTTTAAGACATCAGCAGAGAACGTTAACAAATTTTTTAATCTTCTCATCTTCTTATGGCCCAACGTCTGCTAAACGTCATAAGGTTTAATGTCCACACAACGTTAAATTAAAACATCATTACACGTTGATATTTTGTTGGTTTTCAGTTGTGCTAATAAGGAAAATCTAACATCTTCCAAACCCTGGCGACATCTAATTGTCTCATGCTAACGCAGTACTGACAACAAACACTGACCGTCTTCTAAACGTCTCATAGCAACGCCAATATGTCATTTGCATGAGACATTTGGAAGATGTTGGATTTTAATTACAATTTGATTACGTTTACGATGTCTAATGATGCTATAATTTGACGTTGTGTGGACGTCAGTCTTGTGACTTTCAGCAGACGTTGGGATTTGGTTACTTAATACCTTAACTTAAGACCAACAAAATTGTAACGTCTAATGATGCTATAATTTGACGTAGTGTGGATGTTAGTTTTATGACGTTTAGCAGATGTTTGGTTTTGGTCACTTAACCCCTTCAGACCTGAATTATGTTTCAAGTTTCTGAAAAATATAAAAGTACATTTTCCTAGCTCATGAGGCTTCTATAAATGAGACCAAATGAAAATAATAATAAAAAATATTGGCTTTCATTGTAATTTTTTTTGTCCATTCCAATGGACGTCAGGTCAAAACAGGTGTACTTCCCAAAAATGTACCAACATGAAATAAATTAATAAACATAAAATTTGTTGGTCTATACTTTAAGCTTTTTCTCAAGGTCAAAAAAATGTTCAGCAGTATACCATTTCAACTTTAATTTTGAGGTTTTTGTTTTACAGATTACACATTGTTTGTAACAAACTAAATATCTTTGAATCAATCAATATGGTCATATTAAAGTCATTTTCTGTGTGCATCTTTCTTTTTTTAGATCAAAAACTTGAATATTATAACATTGCAACTTTAATTTTAAGGTTTTTGCTTTATAGATCGCACATTTGTTTATTCATAACAAAATAAACCTAGGAATCAATCAATGCATTCACGTTAGAGTCATTTCCTGTGTGCATCTTTGAAACAATTTCTCTGTTAACGGTTTTCTTGTATTTTTGCAGTACATTACTGGCAGCACGGTTGCCAGCAAGTTACTGTATTTCGATTTCCAGTAACTGTAGTGTAATTCACTTTACAGTGCACAAGATCAGTACTGTAAAATACAAAATAGAGTACTTTTCAGTATTTTTACTGTATTTCGTAATTTGGTCTGCTTCTGCTGTAATTAATTATACGGCATTGTACTGTAATATCTATATTGATACATTACTGCTAAATATTATTGTAATTTTCAAAATAGTTACTAATAATGATAATATTATATTATAATAATATAATATAGTTATTCGGAAAATATATAGTAGGAAGAAAATACTATGGAAGTCAATGGCTACTGTCAACTGTCTTGTTACCGACATTCTTCAAAATATCTTATTTTGTGTTCAGCAGAATAAAGAAACTCATACAGGTTTGGAACAACATGAGGGTGAGTAAGTGATGATGACAAATATAATTTTTGGGTGAACTATACCTTTAAAGGGATAGTTCACCCAAAAATTAAAATTAGCCCATGATTTACTCATCCTCTAGCCATCCTAGGTGTATGACATTCTTCTTTTGAACACAATCAGAGTTATATAAAAAAATGTCCTGGCTCTTCCAAGCTTTATAATGGCTGTGAATGGTTGTTTCTCTATTGAAAGTCCATAAAAGTGCATCTGTCCATCATAAAAGTGCATCTATCCATCATAAAAGTGCATCTATCCATCATAAAAGTGCATCTATCCATAAAATAATATTAATATAAAATAAAATATGAAAAATATTCATATTCAAGTTGCGCGCTTTAGATTTAAGTCAAATCCGTATGTTGGTTTGGCCGGAAGGTAGTTATTTTACTTTATAAAGTTTTAAATACGGATATTTTTCTTACATCTCCATCTTCCTCATCACTCCACATAAAGTCAACATCTGAGATATTTCCATCAGCTATATGTTCAAGCACTTCAAGAACTGTTTATTCTGCATATGAAAAAGTTTCAAAAATGTATCGGTACTGTGATATAGATTTTTTTTATATAAGAAATTTCAACCAGCATAACTGAAAATGTGATTTCAGTAACAGGCATTCGAACACTGTCCATTCTAATGGACAGACACATTTGAAAAAATCCTGATTTAAAACGTGCAATTCTACAATCGATTTTTAACTTTAATTAATAAGTTCAATCTTTCTATTTTACATACAAACTATGAAATACTGGCAAATATATATAAAAAATGTAAATAAAACCATATAAAATGTTGCTTGCTTCTGTGCTTGGAGTGAAGTGCTGCCATGCTTCTCTTCAATGTAGTGTTTTTTTATATAATTACTACATGCAGAGCTTTACTCCCATTTGATTGGATGACAAACGTCCAATCTCATGGACTGCAGGCTTTAAACTAGGTGAAATGCTCCAGAAGTTAAAAAAAAAGGGGGCTAACATGTGATGTCCATTGTAATGGACGCAGGGTCTGAATGGGTTAAAACCCTGACTTAAAACTAACAAAATGTCAACGTCAGCAGTCGTCATATTCTACATCAAATTGACGTTGACATTGGACGTTGTTCTGACTGTCTAATGTCTTGAATTTCAACCACCCAACGTCAGAACCTATATTCAACCAATTTGCAACATCTTATGATGTCCATTGCCTGCTGGGTATGAAGGTATTTCTTCCATGGAACACAAAAGATGATGTTTAACAGAATGTTCACACTGCTCTATTCCATACAGTCAAAGCTGACAATGATTGTCAAGAGGCAAAAAAGCACCAAAAAGTATTGTAATGTCCAACATCACTTGTTTTTTAGGGCAGTCGTGGCCTGATGGTTAGAGTCAGACTGGTAACCCGAAGGTTGCAGGTTCGATTCTCAATACCGGCAGAAAATGACTGATGTACCCTTGAGCAAGGCACTTAACCCCCAATCGCTCCCTGGGCGCCACAGCATAATGGCTGCCCACAGTGTGTGTGTGTGTGTGTGTTCACTACTCCTAATGTGTGTGCACTTACTAACTTGGATGGGTTAATAGTTCACTTCAAAATGTAAATTCTGTCATCATTTACTCACCCTCAAGTTTTTCCAAACCTGTATGAGTTTCATTCTTCTACTAAACAAAAAAGACGATTTTTTTGAAGAATGTCGGTAACCAAACAGTTGATGTTCCCTAATGACTTCCATAGTAATTTGTTTTCCTACCATGGAAGTCAATGGGGTAAGACCTCAATGGAAGTCAACTGGATGCTATGTTACTTGTGTGCTCACGTTTGTCCATCTGTTTGTGTTCTCGTAGATATCTCTCATTTGGTTGCTTCACAGCCCTTCCCTTCCACAACCATGACTCCAACAAACTCAACTGCGGCAACACCCGGTCCAACAAATTCAGACAACACGTCAACCAGCACTACATCTGCCACCACCACCACTACACCTCACGACCCATGTGTGTCAGTGCAATGTGAAAATGATGGCGTGTGTGTGCTGAACGACGCAGGAGAGGCGATGTGCAGGTAATATGTGAGAGGCCAGTTCGCTGGACTTTTTTAGAACCACTTTGGTTCTTGGAAGTATTTTTCCAGGTAATTTTTTTCCATTGGGTTTTCCAAAAATTCTACCCTAAAGAGTGTAAGCCATGAATAAAAACCAACCAGCTCTCAAAACAAAACATGAAAAAAACGTTTAAATAAATCAGATAGAAGGACACTAAAATAAAAAAAATGACAGTATGAATCTATTATAAAGTATATGGATGTTATTATAAAGTATTTAATTATAAAGTATTTGATTGTCTGTATAAAAAAACTAAAAGATAAATGAGACACTAAACTACTCAAATTGAAATACTCAATTGATCTACTTATACTACGCCCTAAAAGTATGTACTGCTTTTCTTTTGTAAAGAAAAAGTACATTGTTTTGAGTGTGTAGCACAAGAGTAGGCAAGCTTTTGGACAAACTACTGGCTCATTTCCGTTGTGTTGTACATGTTCCGTTGTGTTGTGAACTTATGCTTGCTTTTTTAATTTCGTTGTGTTGTGCACTACTGGGCCACCGTAGAATAGAGTCATTAGGCGATAAATTGAAGCGCTCGTCTGTGTGAAGACTGCGCACGAGCCACAAGAGAACATTCCTCCACTGATAACATTGCCAACAAATACTCAGCACGATTTCAAAAACAACACATTTCATTGCCGGATCGCCTCTTATTTAACACAAATGAACGTCAACTGGACATGTTTCACTTGCATTAGGTATAGCCGTGCAGCGAGATGTTTAAAAAAATGGTGGGGATAATATTGACCCTGGCAAAAAGTGCCACCCATCCATCCCACCCGCAAATTATGCATGTGTCATTATCATGTGACCTACCAGCATCAGTTACTTCCAGAGTAAGGACTTAAGATGTTTACATGACACTCCCGTTTACATACAATTTTCATTATTCTGATTATTCGCTAAGAATTTTGGGTATTTTTACCATCATTATTTACATACTCCAATGCTCGGCACAAATGATAACCTCAAATATAGTATGTGTGTTACTGGCCACTGTTTTAATCTACTTATGTCGAATGCAAAACACATTTCTGTGGATGAATTGGATTTGTTTCCTGTGACGCACCTAAAAGTGTCTTCATTTCGATGTTTTCGACAATCAATGTACTGCGTTATATTTATATGGCACAACGTTGTCAACAAGGCTTGACATTAACACCCATCAACCCACTGAATGCAGGTGAATACCAGCAGTGGCGTGTAACGCAGTCGCTCCTACTAGACACTTTGGCGGGTTGAATTTCATTTATAATATATAATTTTTTTTTATATACAGTCTTTTAAAAAGGCATCTGAAATAATAAACTAAGTGCAATGTTGTGTTGTCAAAAATTGCAATTTTTCGATACATATCGATACTGAAATACATGAATACTTTCAATACTCATTTCCCACAGAATAGATACACAATACCAGCTGCACTTTCTCATCTCTCCAACAGCGAGTGACACAAACCCGCCTCTGCTCACTCACTCGTTTCATTTGCTCCGGATGAATATTGTTGGTGTTACAGCGCTGGAATTCCAGTGAGGGATTGCGCGTATAGTGCATAAATTGACTCATCCCTGCACCCAAAGTGTGTGAACATAAAGCCGCCTCTCAGCACTAAATTGAATTATTTTTCGATGATTATTGCGCTTAAAAAGTCAAATACACACATTGGACATGGCGGGTATCTGTGAGTCAGGTCTTAAAGTGACAGTAGCCTAATTAAACCTGCTGCCACATTATGAGATAATATTAAAACTATCAATATGGCCATTTTTCCCCGATGGTATTAATGTCACAATTGGCTAGCAACTATGGAAAACCACTAACCACAGTGGCTGGTGAGCAAAAAAGTGAATGTCAACGTTACGATTATGAGTTTAATCACATCAATGTGGTCAAAGTATTGTGTTTACATCATGAGGTAAAGTGTAAATGCAATATTACCTAAATCTCATAATCGCATTATGACCTGGATAATTGAAAAAGGGATGAGTGTTCATGTCATGATTAGTTGAGTCTTGAATAACAGAACATGTTGTTGTTGTGACGAGCAGCATGTGTGTGTTGTGTGTCCCTGCAGGTGCGCGGTGGGTAACGACTGGTGGCATTACGGCGACAGATGCCAGTTTAGGAGCTCTGCCCAAAACAACATCATCACCGCCGTACTGGCGTCTGTCACGGTGTTTGCCATCATGCTGATCGTGACGATAGTCAGCGTGGTCTGTGTGAAGAAGCACCAGAGGAAAGCACGGCTTGCTGGAGAGGGAATCACCATGAAAAACATGCACTCGTTCAGGGCATGAGGATCTGACGCGTTTCTCTAAAGGCCCATTCACACCAACACAGAAGACTATACGGATAACTGTGAGCATTAGCGCACACACTAGCGGACGACGTCGTTCTGTTTATTCTAAGCGGTTTTGTCACCTTCCGCTTTAAATGCTCTTTAAATCATGAAGGATTCTGAATGACTGTCAAGGTTTTTATTGTTCATCAGCAGGAAAATGCTGTTATAGTTGTGGTGTGGACTCCTCTTTTATATTTAGAGCGATTTTTAAGTCAAGTCACCTTTATTTCTATAGCGCTTTATACAATACAGATTGTTTCAAAGCAGCTTTATAGTGATAACAGCATTTCGGCTGTTGTTCAGCTGAAGTTAGTTCAGTGTTGATTCAGTTCCGTTGCGAAGATCATCAATTATTAAATAAGTTCATTTCATCTATAAAGCAGTTCTGCAAAAACTTGTCATCGCTCAGTTCAGTTCAGTTCTCATACAACAGCATCAGTGCAGTCAGATCAATAATATCGTTGAATATTAAGTGTCCTCAACTAAGCAAGCCAGATCGGCGAGAGTGGCAAGGAACTAAAACTCCATCAGTGACAGAATGGAGGAAAAAACCTTGGGAGAAACCAGGAAACTCAGTCGCTCAGTTCTCCTCTGGCCAACGAACGAATAGTGTGATTATGATTCAGGCTGCATTGAGAACTATATCATTATCAGTATAGTTATCGTCCTTGGTGTGAACTATGGGATTAGATTTCGGTCACAATTCTGCGCGCGCAAGATCACATTTTGAGCGCGCAAAAGGGCATTTCGCACGCGCGTGAACTGAGTTTTGCGGAGAAATGTTCGTCTCGCAGATAAGAAAATATTTAGAGCGAACGAAAACCAATTTTGCATTTAAAATAAGTATTTGGATGTGCGCAGACGTTCTCTGTCGCATGTGCAAAGTTTCACTTTCTTGCTCCTCTCATACCAGCCATAAGCGCTCTCGAAGCGCAGACGGCTCGCGTGCTCAACACAACCCAGCGTTACAATATGCCATAATGCCAGCCAATCAGAGATGAGGCTGCTAAATTCTGATTGGCTAGATTGAAAACCAATCACAAGACTCCCTGCATCACCGACAAATCTCAGTTTGCGATCATCCGCAAAACTCAGTTCATGCGCGTGCGAAATGCCATTTTGCGCGCTCAAAATGTGATCTTGCGCGCGCAGAATTGTGACCGAATTCTAACCCCATAGTGAACGGGCCTTAATGTGTGTCTTACACAATAATGCTATGAGAATGATTCATCCTTTTATAATTGATTCTTTGATGTAATTAATAGGACAAGACGTGGTTTGTTCATTGGCCCCAAAAAGCATTTGTTCACTGTCTGAATGTCATAACATGCATGAACACACTTATAATAAAACGTCTGATAAAGAACCAGGGTAAGTCACTATAAGAAACACATTTCTAAATCCAAGAAACCTGGTTGACAATAAGAACAATATTAATTCTTCCTGACAGAGTTTTTCTTTGAGGTTTAATTTGAGTTTTCCAAATAAAATAGAACAACTAAAGTGTACGATGTTTCACATTTGTTCCAGTGAGAGAAGTTTTGGTTACACTTTATTTTAAGGTGAGTCAGTTACATTGTACTTACTCAAGTACTGAGTAATATTAATGAACTACATGTACTTACTATAGAGTTACGGTTAGGGTTTTTTTTTAGGGTTAGTTACTTGTAATTATGCACAATTTACTGTTATTACCAGAGTAAGTACATGTAGTAACGTGTAACTACGTCACCTTAAAATAAAGTGTTACCAAAAAATGTTCTGACTCTTGATTTCACTTCCCTAGGATTCACTACCAGAAGCCTTCAAAAGGTAGAAGCCCGTAACTCGTCTCTCAGAAGAGACACAAATCATCAGCTGGTCGGTTAATTGAAAGTGTGTTACAATCCATCATCCATGTTCAACCTAAGAATGTCTTATTCATATTGGCTAGAAATAATAATACATTTAAAACGAGCAGATTTTGCTACTTTTTCACTGAAATGAGCTAAACTTGGTCCATATGTGTTGGGATCACATGAATTCAGCATGCTTGGAATAGAGCGGAATTAAAAGAGTAAATGTTAAATTATGTTATAAATTATTATTTTATGTGTTATTGAGTAAAGGGGAAAACCTGTTCGTTTTTAATGTACAATTATGTTTGACATTTAAAAGAGTTTCTGTTATTTTGATGTTTTTGTGGTTACCAAAGAGTAGAGGAAAAAAATCATATTATGCACCAAAATATAAAATATAACTTGTTACAGCCAAATTTATTAGTTCTCAAATTATATTGGTTCAAACCTTAAATTGCAATGTAATATTAATAAATAAAAAAATTTCCAAAGACAAAGAATTAAATTCATATAAAGTATAATCAAGAAAATAAACTGAAAAAAGTGTTTATTACATGATTTAACAATGCACATCAGTAACAGACAATGTTTCCACGTACCTTCAATGAATTAGGTTATTATTAAGTGACCAAATTAAGTGTATAAATTCAGTACATAATTTAATATCAATGAGATTGCAAATTTTAGAGAATAACATTCATTGAAATCAATCAAGTTTAGAAGAAAAACTATTTTGTTGTGTATATCACAAAAAAATATGACTGAGTAAAGTTAATGTCTGAGTTAGACATTAGCTAAAATGTAGGCCAATATGACTTTTTTTGGGGGGTTTTATAAATTCATTTCACTATAAACAAAAGCTAAATATATCAACCTTGATTTTTCACTTAAGATATGTCTGTTCTGCACATCAGCACTCTTGTGTCAAGCCTAAATACTATTTAAACAAAATTGTATTTTGTTGTTGTTGTTTGTATATATTTTCTCTATGGGGAGTGTTGTTTGCTTTTAGATAAACTGAACAAAATAGTTTTAAACAAGAATGGTTTCTGATTAGACCAATATAAAACGGCACTTTAGATGACACGGTCATTTAAACGTTTTCAGTGTACTCATTAACTTCATGCTTCAAAAACTTCAACATACCTCCAGAAACTCTTTTAAATGTCCAACATATAAACATTAAACACTACCCAGACAGCAACATAGTGTCGGCCCAGATCCGGCCCACATCTGGTGCGTGTGGATCCCACTTGTACTGGATCTATAGGCCGACACTATGTTGCTGTCTGGGTAACTGTCCTTGTTGCTCTCTGTAGGGCACCAATTTGACCAGCGTCACTGATTGGATCAACAAATGTGAGTTGTTGAGGGAATATTCACACAAAAATTGCTGTGATCTCATTTAAGTTTAACATTTTTACTCATCAGTACAACTCACCTAGTTTGAGTTCAAATTATTAAATTCAACGGTGTGAAAATGTGTAAATTTTATTAATTTAGACCAGGGGTCTTTCTTTTTTAGGTGACAGAGACGTGTCAAACAGAGCTACATATTAACCATATAGCACTTCAGTATAAATAGAAACCAACCATTTCATGATAGTTATATTATATTAAGACTGGAACTATGCACGTTATTGTCGTTGCACATGCATCATTGTCTGTATATTACTTTTTATTGTTAAAATTGAGATTTAGGCATCATGACAAGCATACGTTAAAAATCACAATTCATTAGTCATTCACAGTTGTTATTTTAAAGGATTCGCAGATCCATACATTTTAAGTTTACTAGTGTAGTCAGATGGACAATTAAACAGTTACTTGACTGCAATTTCGAGCATGAATCCCGCATTTATATGTAATTTACCGTTGTTCCTCTTAGCAGCATGAAAAACAAAACTTTAATTCAATGGATTATAGAGGATATAGCTTTGAAAGCGTGCAAAGAGCACTAGAAAGCTGACACTCATCTCAGTTCGCGATCTCACAAAGTTCCATTAAAATCAATGAAGTTGTCTACACTGCAAAATTGATCTCTTTCTTGCAAATCATGTTTTTGTCTGTTATTGAGAGGATTCGCGAGTGTGAGGAACTTTGGCGTTTTGAGCGGTGAGTGGATTCTAACTTAAACACCTCTGATTGGCCATTGCGTTCAAGAGATCAACAAACATTGGCGGACCCCTGCCATACCAGTGCAGACCCCCGGTTGAAGACCCTTGATTTAGACAAATTATTATTTGAGCGTACTTACCTCTGTATATTACAGTTTTTACAATCACTAGGACACATTTCTCAATAATTTTTCAAAACTCTCCACACAGTTCTCCTAACCAACTTTTAACTTGGCAGAGCAGTTAATTTCACATTCAAAACGCACTAAAGCTACCAAAACACTTCATACACACGTGTCTCAAATCAACTCATTCTTCTATAACACTAGCAAAGTTGTCAAAAGTAGCATTATGCAGTGTTTTCTTTTGTAAAACTTCTTTACAAAACAAGAATTGCACCTCTCTGCTGTTAAGAATACACTGCAGTTTCTGTTACATGATGTTACATGTTTACATTACAGTACAAAATTATTCTATAAGTTTTTCCCCTTTTGTATAGATGGTAATGAACTTGAAAGATGTAGGTGTTCATCTACATCTAATTGTATTGATAGGATTCCATTTTATAGATTAGAAATATATTGCAATATGGTATTACTGTAGAAATGTAGCAAATTTTGTAGCTGTGTCGAAGTAGGAACAGAATGAATGTAATTTGAAAGATGTAGTCATTGACTGCATTTTGTGCCAAAGCAATGGAAAAGAATCCAGTTTGTCTCACAAAGACTGCTGTTGTGCTCACTGTGTGGAGAGTTTTGAAAAAGTGAGCTAAATATTGAGAAACTGGTCCTAGTGATGGTAAAAAAAAAACTGTAAACTGGGATACATGGAAAAATATATGAATATAATATAAAAATATATTATTTCAAACACTCATATCAGAAAGCACCACAAGAAAAGCTACTGTAGAGTCATAAATTTAAGATTTATTGTAACAAAACCAGGAACTGTTTGTGTGGTTGGTTGGAGCATAATTTCTTACAGGTAAATTGGATTGCATTACAGGACTTGACACAGTCATGCTGGTGTAAAGAGGCGGATGAGTGTGTGTTTATGTGTGAGTGTGTGTGTTTATGTGTGTGTGTGTGTATGGCTCATTGATCAGCAAGTGATGACAGCACTGGGCAGAATGCACAGTTCATTTACAACTGGTGTGTGTGTGTATATGTTTCTGATACATATACATCTATTGGCATGTATGCATAAAGGGTCATCTTGTTCTAGACACACAGTTCCCTTAAAAAGCATTGGTATACAATATTTTTCTTATTTACAATCATTGGAAAGAGAAAAAGAAACAACAAAAAAAAAAAATCACCATTTCTCGCAGAGAAGATTAGTAAAAAGTGACGAAGTCACCATAAAAGAGTAAGCAACTCCTAGGAGTTAGTCTTTCAAATTTCCACTAAATTTCTAGTTTGTATACAGGCCCGAAGCCTTGATTTACTGAAGAGATACAGTATTACTTTAAGTGCCCTATCTACAACAGTTAAGCGTGGTATTACTAGTGTGTACCGTACAACACAATTTAATGTCAACGCAATCTTCTGTTTTTAAATCAACTTAAAGTCTGTTGTAGCTTCTCTCACATATGGTAACTAATAAACAAAATCAAAATATCCAGAGACTTGATGTTGGTAATGACAAGTTAACATCGCAATAATAGTGTTGAATTATATAGGTATCGGTTTAAGGTAAATAAAAAAGTTAAAACAGTCAGTAATCAGTAGTGAACTGCTCTTAAAACTCTAGTGAAATGGGTGAGGCACGGTAGAGCGCAGGTCACTCTTGTGTTCTCTTAAAGGGATTGGTTGAGATCTTGGTGGACTTTGGGGGAAGTGGCGTCATAATACGTTGCCTATTTGGCCCAGTCTCGTGACCTTTCAGAGCCGTTGTAGGTAGATTACTCACAGCTTCATATTGGTTGACTGCAGTAAAGCAGAATATACTCCACTTGAGTATTGAGTGAACATTCAGTCATCATCCACTCGGCCTCATGTCGTTCTGACTGATTTACTCAAAAGTGGCGGCATTGGTGCAAGAAATGCTGTCAGAGTACGTCAGTATTGGGCAAAAGACCAACAACTGCGTAATAAAGCCAACGACATGAAGGTGAGTCGATGATGGCAGAATGCAACGACTCCTTCAGAGCGGTGTGTCGTAGTAGTCCGCAGGTCGCTCACTCTTGGCCGGCCTCTGTTGGTCCTGCTGATGTTGTTTCATGATCTCCTTCACCTCCTCCTCCAGCTCCGGAGGTATGATGAACTGGTCGTCGGGGTCGGGTTGAGCGGGGGCCGTGAAATAACCCCCAGATTTCTTGGAAGGAGCCTCGGCCACCTCAATCAAGTTGTGGCTCTGCTCCTGCGGCGCCACCGAGCCGTTCCCCCTTCTCTTCCCCAAGGTTTTGCTCCAAGAATCAAAGTTGCCAATTTTGTCCGTCTCCAGCACATGCTCCGGAAGCTTCTCTGGGGTTTCCGGTGTGCAAGGTGGAGGTGGCGGAGGCAACAAACAGTGGACGTCAGCCTCCACTTCCACTTGACTGCCGTTAGAGAAGACGCCGGCAATGGGCTCCTCGTCCTCGCTGTCCAGGCCGTTGTCCGAGAGTGCGCTGGAAAAGGTGGCGCTTGAAAGTTGCCTCTGGAAGGAGCCGCTGGCATTGGGCGCTAGGTGGAGCGAGCAGCAGGGCAGGCGCGGGTTCAGCTGCGGCGCGTGGCTCTGCGGATGGAGGTGGATGTGCGAGTCCTGCAGGAGGAGAGGCGGCTCGTCCGAGGACGCGGTGGATCCCACTTCGGAGCTCATCTCGGAAGCGCTGACCTCGGAGCTGATCTCGCTGCAGGAGGACGGGGGCACGCCCGCAGAGGAGGCCGGGTACAGGCCCGGCCCGGGGCTCGGCGGGGGCTGTGGCGGCGCGTGGATGCTTTCGGACGCCGAGCAGCAGCAGCAACAGCAGTCCTCAGCCACGCTGAGCTGCACCACCACGGCGCTCAGGCTGTCCGTGCAGCCGTACGACTGCGCCAGAGTGCACAGCTTCTTGGCAGCCGCCAAAGCGTCGGGGACCTTCCGAACGGCCTCCACCGCCTCGCTGGGGTCCATGACGTCGAAGAGACCTCTGCTGCCCAGGATGAAGAACTCATCTCTGGGGGTCAGCGGGAGCGTGTTGACGTACGGCCGAGGCAAGACTGCCGGGTAGAGGAATGAATAGCCCATGATGCGGGTGGAGTCTGTTACACCGTTCACTTTGTTGTCCTGTTTAAGAAGAGGAATTTGCCGTAGTGGCGCACTTTGGTGAGTGAACACATAGCTCTTTGTTAATTATTATAGTAAAACGATGTTCAAAGACTGTGTTTGTCTGAGTTAAAGGAATGGTTCACCTCAACATTCAGCCTCAAAGCTGTGTGATTTTCTTTTAGTTTTTTTTTTTTTTTTACGTTTGACGAATCGTTTAGCTGTTTTAGCCAGTCACTGGGATTCAGCAGTTTCAAGCCCCAAGAAGCATATGCTATAAAAGTAGGGTAAAGGTGGTTTAATCCAGGTCATCTGAAGGGATATGATCACTCTGCATGATGAACAGAGCAAAATTTAAGTTGTTGTTCAGTATTATTCACTTGTTTCAAGACCTGAATAATTTAAATTTTACTTTCACTGTTACACATTGATTGCAGCTTCAGAGGAGTTGTGCGGATTACTTTCGCCCGATCATTATGTCCTTTTGGAGCTTGAAGCTGCTGGACTATTATTGTACAGACAAAAACAGCTGAAAGATTTTTCAAATATCTTCTTTTGTGTTTCACAAGAAGGAAAAAAATGACACGAGTAAGGGCATGATGAATGATAACAGAAATTTAGTCATTCGGTGAACTATCCATTTAACTTCTATAAAAGCAACAGATAAGCAGAATCCACCTTAGAGTCAACATGAAATGGCATTTCACTTCCTTAATGTGACTTTCGTCAATGAGAAAAGACAGGCTTTTAGTTTCTCACAGTGAATTGGTGTGCTGATGTAAAATGGGCATTTCATATCAGAATGGAGTCAGAGCTGAATGTGAGCAGCCAGGTACCCCTATGCTAACGCTATTTTACAATCTATCCTTATTTAACCAGCATTCAATTACCGCAGTAACTATTGGGGTGGTTTTACAAAGGCAACAGCCTCAAACAAGGGGTGTGTGCGATATTGACAAAAATTATATCTCAATACTTTTTATATTTAATAAGACACTATAGTGCTGTTACCAATCAAATGAAATATCAACAAAATCCATTTTTGCACTGTATAAGTGGCACAGAAGCTGCACCTAAAGCAGCATTTATTTACACTGCAATTACATTATAAATAATGCTATGAGATTCATTTATTAAATAAAACTAAAACAGCAGTAGGTGGCAGCAAGTCATGTCTTAACTTAGTGAACCGCTGAGTCATTCATTCAAACGATTCGTTCAAAACGGCCGATTTATTCGCAAGTCGCCCCAATGTGCATGATATACAGTAGTCAACATTTGAAGTGGATCAAAAAAGTTAATCAAAGTTGTCCTAAGACAAGACCGGGTATTGTTCAAAATCCATGTATAACTTTGATGAAAGGTTTTGATCCACTTCAAATGTTGACTAGTGTATATTTTAAATAGTATATGTGTTTTTCAATGCATAGTATGTTGAAAAGTGTATGCCAAAAGTCTCCGGATGGTCTTCTATTTCCGGTAGATTTTCAAAGTGTGGATCTCTGCACACTCGGCTAATATTGGCCACAACCCATTGCGCTTTAAAGGAGGATTTGGTTCAGAACTACAAAAATTAATAAAAAAGAACTACAAATATGGTGGATGTGCGCGAGACCAACGGTTAAGTAGAGACGCCCTGAAAGGGGTTTGATTTAGCAATATCTAGCCTGATGAAAAATATGTTTGTCATATTTGTTATATGTCATCTGCAACAACATTGTGAACTTGTATTAAGACACAAATAGCACAATCGCAAGACGTTTGTAGATGCATTTGACAATTAACTATTAAATGCATCATTTTGCAAAAAAAAAACATGAGCAGAGTTCTCCGTATGAAAGAACCACAACTTGCAGATCAGTGGGAAGAATTGTGTGAGTAGCATAAATGTAATATAAATAAAATGTGTATATGAGGATGTTAACTGTGACAGGATGATTGACAGGGCGATTTACGGTGACAGAACGCACATAACTTTTTTGACGTGGTAGTTCGTCCCAAAGCTTGCCTACTCTTCTGCAACACACTCCACAGTATATACTTTTTCTTCACAAAAAGAGTACATACTTAGCATAGTATACGTAGGCAAATTGGGATGCAGCATCCGTCTTAATGAATGTATTGTTAAAACATTGATTTGTTCAAAAACTCTGATTCATTCAGGAATGAAACACCAGTGTGTTGATCGGAGACACAAAGAGTTCTGTTGTCAGTGTGATCGGAACTATTTTCTATGCCAAAATATAGCAAAAAAAGTTACTAAAATTAATATGAACTTTTTCTTTACTGACCTGTTGTATAAAATCAACATCACATTTGCAATGGTGCTGATATTCGTGTGATATTGCTTAACTATATCATATATAAATCTAGTGGGGGGGGTTTTGTTGGTTTTTTTTTGCAAAGTGAGTGACATACTCGATAATGTCAGCTTTCACACCGTTAAAACAACAATTATTATTGTAAAAGCACACCTCTACCTCAAACAAAACTAATCGACTGTGCAGACTCTTATAACATTCTGATGCAAAGAGACATTGTTTTTCTATGGAATAACGTGCACAGATGAATAGAATAGTTCACAATAAGATCGGGAACAGTGAAACAAACTTTCATTTCATGTTGACTTTAATGCCAGAGGGAAGCGTTCCTCATACCTCAGTGATGATGGCTTTATGCTGTCGCACGCGGTCGTATTCCTCCTTGATGCTGATGTTGTGGAGCAGTGACAGCGGGAGCGCCTTGCCGTCGCGACACAGCACGGCCTGACACTTGCCCACGTTGGCGGAGGTCAGGGTGAAGCAGCCAGCGGGGTCTGTGGGGTCGTGGCGGATGTGACAGAGCGCTGCCGAGCCGCCCAGCTTCTGCCCTGCAGTGCCTAACTTACTATTATATGGAGAGGGAAAAGGACAGACATGTTTAGTATCAATCAAAAGCTCTCCATACTGATTGTCCCCACTTAGTGCTGGGCGGTATACCGTTCATACCGAATACCGGTGTTTATTTTTGTTATGATATGAATTTTTAATATACCGCAATGTCTGTCGCTTTAACAACGTTGGGAACGCGGCGCGACAGTGTTTGAGAGGGTCTTTACACTGTTGCACTGTGGTGATGCACAGCTGCATGTGTTACTAAGCGTGACGGTGAAGATGAATAGGTTCAACTATAATTGATAGCTGTCAAATTATATTACAGTATTTCCCATACTTTGGTTCACACTATCAACAACACAGCCTTTTGGAAAATCGATTTGTGGTTGGCATTGACATCGTAGAATAAACATGAGCACTGCGCGTTTTTAAAGTCAAAACGCGGCACGGTGTTTTTATATGAATGTATCTTTGAAGGAAACTTGTCTTTAGAAAAGTTTCTTTGTTATTACGATTGAATCTTTCTTTATCTTCCCTAAATAAAGCAGCGTTTATGAGCACTGCTGCTTTGTGTACAGGCGTTACCGTGGAAACCGGTGTTTCTGCCGCTCCTACAGCGCCTCCTGCTTGACCTCTTTGTAAACAGCCTTGCAAACCTGTATTAACTAGTGTGTTTTTTCTACAATATTCACTCATGACAGTAAAATAGGGCATTCTTAAGCAATCTACTGCAGTATTTCCTCTCTCACTCAGTAGAAAATGTGGTTTTAACCCAGTCAAGCTTGAAAAAATAATAATAATACCGTCATATACTGTGAAACCGGTATAATTTTGACAAATACTGTGATATGGATTTTTGGTCATACCGCCCAGCACTTTCACCGCTTATTACGCGTGCATTTACCGCTGCATGACCAGGAAGGTGTTGGTCATGTAGTCTTCCTCGCTCTTGGTCCTGTGCAGTTCTTCTGCCAGTATGTCATTCATGGTGCACTGGAGTAAATACGGCACCTCCACGTTCCTGTCGCCGTCGAACACACCGTACAGAGCTTCTCTACTGCCGCAGAAGCTGTTCACAGACAGCGCAGCCACACACAGTCTGGGCAACGCAAACAGCACACGTCAGACACTCAGAAAGCGTTCACACACAGGATCTCTGAAGTCTGTCATCCAGTGGTCACTCACTTGTTTTTGACGCCTGAGGCTTCGGTGTAGCCGTGACTCCAGACAGCTGGCCCTCCTGCGCTCTCATTGGCTGAGAACGACGAGGGAGGCGGATCGATTCGGAAACAGCGGATGTTACTGTGAGTTGAAAGATGTGGAAGTGATCATGTGTTATCAAATATGAATTCTTACAGTAGGTTGAAAGCACACGTCAAGTCACCTTTATTTCTGTACAATACAGATGGTTGCAAAACAGCTTCACAGTAATAAACACGAAAATAATTATTTATTTTACAACATCAAAGGGATAGTTCACCTAAAAATGAAAATTAGCCCATGATTTACTCACCCTCAAGTCATCCCAGGTGTTTATGACATTCTTCTTTCAGACGAATACAATCAGAGTTATATTAATAAATGTCCTGGCTCTTCCCAGCTTTATAATGGCAGTGAATGGCCATTATAACAAACTCCGCATATTCATATTTAAGGATGACTTCAGGGTGAGTAAATCATGGGCTAATTTTCATTTTTGGGTGAACCATCCCTGACACTTTCCTGTTTATTTATGTGAAGCTGCTTTGAAACAATCTGAATTGTATAAAGCACAATAGAAATAAATGTCACTTGAATATTGGTTTGACTTCAATTTTAATATTTGTCATCATAACATAAAATAATCAAAAAGGAAACTGCAACTGCAGTACAATTTTGATTTATTTGTTGCTTTTGTTTTCTTGATGTAATTGGACACTTCTGAGCTTCAAAGGTGTTCATCATAAAAGGTATTAGTGAAGTTGTCTGAGGTCAAACAGATGAATAACAGTTAGTTGCATATATCAATATTTGCTAAGAAAGCCCCCAATGAAGACAATTCAAAGGGTTATTTGATTATTATGTCAGACAAAAACACTGGACAGAAGTGAAAGAACATGCTTCTAGAAATGTAGGAAAATCCCTTATTGGAAAATTCATGTTGGAATTTGTACATTTAACTGCAGCTTTTTTTTCTTTCTTTTTTTCTTTTTTTTTGTGCATCATCTTTGTAATTAATCTCACTAAACTAATGTGATAATTTGACAACACACTCAATTTAGGAAAAAGAAAAAAATCAGTTTCATAGTTGCTGAGAGATATGTACACCTGGGAAAATTCTGACTTATGGCATTGACAGAAGTGGAAGAACATGCACGTGTCCCCTTACTTGAGCTGCTCCAGGGTCTTGTGGTCCAGGTTCAGGCGCAGGTTTCCTGTTAGATCCAGCTCCTGGAGTTTGGGAGGTAGACTCTCCGGTAAGGTGATCTCACTCAGCTCATTACAGCTCAGATCCACACACTGCATACACAACACAAGCGCAAACATATGAATGCCATACAAGCCGTGTAGCGCACAGTAGGATGTTTGATCGTCTGATATAGTGGTTATTCGATCTAACTGCAGTGATCTGAGATCAATTTCAATCACATTTTGCCAAAGTTTATAAAAAAACACACATTGTAAAAGTACATAAAAGATAGTCAAGGGTCTTCCTTCATACAAAATGAAGTTTGTGGGTTTAATCAGACTGCATTATTATTAATGTATTAGGCTTACACTTGCTATGTTTCCATCCAAAGTTGGAATATTGCATAAATGTTTGCGAATAAAGCACCGTTTCCATCCAGTGAGTAGCAGAGAACAAAACTTAATATCACCAAGTAAAGTACGAGAAGCCACTGAATATAATAAATGAAATGCGTCTCAGAGCGCCCAGACGAACTCTTGCTTTGGGACGCAGATGTTGCTGTTTGGGAACACAGTCATGTTAGAGAGTTCAGGGAGGGAATTATCCTGAACCATTTTGACGACAGACTTTGCTCAGGCATTTCAGAATGACCAAAATAGCAATTCAATTGTTAAAGTCCCCCTGCAGTCAATAATTGTATCCCTTAAAACTCATCTTTGATCCCCAAAATGACATTTTTCCTCATTCCTTAAAATAGCTTGAATGCATCTCTACACCCTTGCCTCATTTAATATACGCGGTTCTATGAATATGCAAAATAGCCCCGCCTCCACTCACTCACACCAGCTCAGAGATCCACTCGTTGACGATCACACGTTGATCTGATTGGTTACCAGCGATTTCAAACCGCGTGTTTGCGACTGTTCACTGCAGTTTTAAGCAGAAAATACTCAGCAATGCTGTTGACTTATGAATTTACACATGGTTTGTCTTCAAGCATATTAAAAACACCACATAGACATATAAATAACATTAAAAACGGGATTTTCACCACAGGGGGACTTTAATTGCAATAATTTGTATGACAATTAATAGCCAGCACAAAATTCACGATCGTGACAGGCCCAGTGCTCGGTGAAATCTCACTAGTCCAAAAATAATCCATAACATAATTTCCATAACTGCATATTAAACATCACATAGGAAAGTTTTGGTGTCCTGCAGTATTGTGGACAGTAGGGCTGGAAACGGAGGAAAAAATCTCGCAACTGAATGACTTTCATGGCACAATTTGTTTCCATAAACAGTTCTCGGGCACGCATCGTTCTGCCATGCTAAAATACACGGACAGAAATGAGTGAATTAAAGCTAGTTTTGTCAACTGAAATGTAGTGAAAACGAGCACAACGCGAGTGATCTGACCTTCATCTCCATGAGCTGCATGACCTCGGGGAAGACCTCGATGCAGTTGGAGTGAGCCACCAGCGTGTGCATGCGCCTGCAGTTCAGGATGGTGGTGGGCACCGCCTTCAGCCTGTTCCCACTCAGGTCCACCTCCTCCAGCTCCTCCAGCTTGGCCATTTTACTGCACAGCAGACAATATTGATTTGCTGAATATACTGAATATAATATACTGTACCGGTACATACACACATATTCTATGAATCAGACTGAATTTCACTGGGATGAGATTAATGTGTGTGTGTGTGTGTGTGTGAAATTTGGCATGCGTCACTTCTGGTAATTTGCCGATTAAGCAGGTCATTGTAATTGAGAATTTTTTTTAATGAGTAATCAAATTACACCTGTTATTTAATCCATCTATTTTTTCCATTTTCAACCACTTCTGATCTAATGGACAAAATAAGCTTTGTTTCTGCTCTGACAGCCGTAAGACCAGCCGAACCTGAGTGTGTGTGTGTGTGTGTATGTGTTAGAAATCAGGAATGATGAGAGAACATTGTGCCTGCTACGTTTTTCGTCTTCAAACCAAACTTGGGTCTCCAGCCCAAGTTTAAACCCGTCTGTCCCATACTGCGCTTCCCATAATGTTACGCATTAGGTCAGTTGGCGTAGAGAAGACGGTCATTCGTGGCAGTTTGAACACATTCGACCACATGAGCGTTTACACTACGAAAGCAATCCGGGCGGATGAGTTTTCTATACATCTGGAAGTGGTGGAAAGTGGACAAGCTCAAAGAGACCCCGTTTACTCCTGTATTTAGCGTCGTTCACTTCCCATCCGATCGACCTGAAAACGCATCTTAATAACAGGAGTAAACAGGGCCATAGATGTGACCTTAGGCTATCAACAGTATTTTCAAGCGTGTGTGTGTATAGTAGCTTTAGTCTGGGAATAAATTTGGACGTCTTCAATGATTTATTATTCAATTATTGATATATAAACACATGTTTGAGAGTGTCACCTGGCTGGGAAGGTCTGCAGGTGATTGTAGGCCATGTGCAGGATCCTCAGGTGTGTGTGTCCCGTCAGCTGAGGCACACACTTGTCCGTCAGGTGGTTGTTGGTCAGATAAAGCTCCTGTAAGATACTGCTGCTCTCTTCTGACAGACTGGATGCTGGGAGATTCTCCAGCTTGTTGGCTGACGCATTCAGACACCGTAAACTGAAGACAAATCACGTTATTGACAGTGAGTTACTGACAGTCTCACTCGAATGCAATACGTTCAAACGCTAACAATCAACTTCTGAAACACAAAAGCCCTTAGAGTAATGGTGTTTTCAAAGTTTTCAGCGGTGGAGTTTTTATTTTTTTTACTGCTTTAGGGGGCGTTTACACGACACTGCTTTCAACTAAATTTGGACAACGTTGTCATCTGTATGCGAAACATTTCACAAAGTACAAAGGATTTTTTTTTTTACACTTTTGGTACATCATTGTCGTGTAAACATACCCTTAGTTTGCAGTGCACACGGGACCAAACTAGATCCTCCCATTCATATAAGATTACAAAAAAAGATTAAAATTCATAAACTACTGTTCAAAAGTTTGGTATACGTTAAGTATTATTATTTTTTTTTTTTTTTTTGAAATTAATGCTTTTATTCAGCAAGGACCCTTTAAATGGACCAAAGCCAACAGTAAATTGGTTTTCAACATTGATGATAATAATCAGAAATTAGACATCAGTATTAGAGTGATTTCTGAAGGATCATGTGACTGAAGACTGGAGTAATGATGCTGAAAATTCAGCTTTGATCACAGGAATAAAATGACATTTTAAAATATATTCAAATACAAAACAGTTATTTTAAATTGTAATAATATATCGCAACATTATATTATAATGTTGGCTGGTTGAATCGTTTATTTTTTTAGCAGGCCACATACAAACATTGAGTTTACTGCATTTCTGATCAAATAAACGCAGCCTTAGTGACCAGAAGAGACTTATTTTAGAGTAGTTTAACTGATTTCAGGACAGGTTAATGTATGCAGCGATTGAGAACAGCACATCTAAACTCTGGTCCAAACTCCTGTGAGCTCGTACGTCTGACGGAAAAAGTGCGCAGACACTGCGTAGACAGTAACTTCCACGTTAACAGGTTGCTAGTCTAATAACGTGAGCTGGTTTGCTGATCTTTCGGCTGGTCTTCTGGTTTTAGAGGTGTCTTGGAGACTTTTCAGCTGGTCAGGACAGCTTAAACCAGCAAACGAGCTGAGGCTGGTTGAATCGTTAATTTTTTTAGCAGGCCACATACAAACATTGAGTAAAATAATCAATGTTTAACTAGATCTTTTTTGGATATTTTCAGCACTGAATGGAAATATTTTTACAATCAACGTTGCACAAGGAACTTGTCGCACTGCCTTCTGGGATTGTTTTCAGGAGCATGTTTATAATGTGGCGGCTCACTGGTGTTTGGAAGAGAGCTCTGATGTGCTGCTGCTCTTCTGTGTGTTGGTGTTTCACCTCTCTGATTTCAGGAAGAGATTACAGGGAAGCTCGATGAGATGATTGTGCTGCACATCCATCACCTCCACGACGGGACGCTCCACTCGCTCCGGCAAACGCTTCAGCTGGTTATGACCGGCCAGGATCTTCCTCAAACTGCCACTGCACAGCAACCTGATGGTGGAGATTACAGGGAGGTCAGTGTGGCAGTGCAGAAGCTCACATCAAACACACACGTTGTTTTTTCATGTTTTATGGGGACTTTCTATAGACAATGATTTTAATGCTGTACAAACTGAATATCCTATCCCCTAATAAAAAAAATAAAAAAAACAAGACAATAAAACAAGAATCAACATTGGCTTGGCTTTTCAGAACTGAGGGATTTGAAATGTTGTAAAAACGATGCAGAGAGGACATTTTTATTACTCAACAGGTGAGTAAGGTCTTTTATTGAACAGATAAATTACCATATGTAGCTATGAGTCCACCCCCCAAGATTATTGTTATAAACATGAGCCTAGTCTGAAAGGCAAAGGGGGAGGTTTTGCTGTAATTTATAGTAATATCTTCAGTATTACTCAGAGGTCTAGTTTCAAGTATAATTCTTTTGAATTGATGGTGCTTAATGTAACACTATCTATTGTAAGTGATAAATCCTGTTTGACATTTGTGCTGGCTACTGTATACAGGCCACCAGGGTACCATACAGACTTTATCAAAGAATTTGCTGACTTTCTATCAGAGTTAGTCCTGGCTGCAGATAAAGTCCTAACTGTTGGTGATTTTAATACGGTATCCATGTAAATATGTAAATAATGAAAAAGAGGCATTGGGATTGGCATTTACAGACATTCTAAACTAGAGTTAAACTCGAATATTGCGTAAGCAACACTTGTCAGGACCCACTCATTGTCATAATCATACTTCATATCTAATATTGTCACATGGAATCGATGTTGATGGCGTTGAAATTCTGCAGCAGAGCGATGACATCCCAGATCATTATCTAGTCTTGTGTAAACTCCATTTAGCCAAGGCTGCAAAACAAACTCCCCGTTACAAATATGTTAGAAGAATTATCACTTCTACCACTAAAGATTGCTTTATAAATAATCTTCCTGATCAGTTTGTACTCGTTGGCATCCCAGATAGCTTAGAAGAACTCGATGTTGCAACAGAAATTACTGACTCTCTCTTTTTCAGAACTTTAGACACAGTTGCTCCTTTGTGCTTAAAGAATATTGAGGGAAAAAGTCTGACGCTGTGGTATAACAAGCACACTCGGGCCCTCAAAAGAGCAGCCCGGAAAATGGAGCGCAGCTGAAAGAAAACAAAACTAGAGGTATTTCGCATTTTGTGGAAGGAAAGTGTTATTGCATACAGAAAGGCCTTAAAAACTGCTAGATCTGCTTATATTACTTTTCGACTCTCTTAGAAGAGAACAAACACAACCCTAGGTAGTTATTTGATACAGTGGCTAGATTAAAGAGAAATAAAGCTTCAACTTCAGACATTTCCTAACAGCAGTAATGACTTTACAAATTTCTTTACTTGCAAGATTGATAATATTAGAGAGAAAATTATAACCATGCAACCGTCTACTACAGTATCGCATCAGGCAGTGCGTTGTAGTCTCCCTGAGGAAAAATTATATTAATACATTGCTATAGGAGAGGAAGAATTGTCTAAACTCGTTAAATCATCAAAATCAACAACATGCATGTTAGACCCTATACTGACTAAGCTATTGAAAGAAATACTTCCAGAAGTTATAGATTCTTAATATTATTAATTCATCATTGTCATTAGGATATGTACCAAAAACTTTTAAGCTGGCTGTTAGTAAACCTCTTATTAAAAAAATGCAACTTGATCCTGAAGAATTAGTCAATAATAGACCGATCTCGAATCTACCTTTTCTGTCAAAAATACCAAAAAAGGCAGTATCCTCACATCTATGTTCCTTTTAGAAAGAAATTATATCTGCAAGAATTTCTAGTCAGGATTTAGACCGTATCATAGTACTGAGACTGCTCTCATTAGTGTCACAAATGATTTGCTCTTTTCATCAGATTGTGGTTTCATCCGATCACCTCTCTATTAGTGTTACTTGATCTTAGTTCTGCATTTGATACTATCGACCACAACATTCTTTTGAATAGACTTGAAAATTGCGTTGGCATTAGTGGAATTGCACTAGCATGGTTTAAGTCATACTTATCTGACCGTTATCGGTTTGTAGCAGTAAATAAAGAGATGTCTTATCGATCACAAGTTCAGTATGGTGTACCACAAGGCTCAGTACTAGGACTATTGCTTTTCACCCTGTACATGCTACCCTTGGGAGATATTATTAGAAAGCATGGCATTAGTTTTTCCTGTTATGCTGATGATACTAAGCTCTATATTTCTTTGCGCCTTGGCGAAACATACAAATTCACAAAATTAACGGAATGCTAAAAAATGTCCTACTAAATTCTTAAAAAAAAAAACCCAGAGGTTTTAATTATTGAACCAAAAAACTCCACACATAATAACCTAGAATACTGTCTAACACTTGATGGCTGCTCTGTCAAGTCTTCGTCGTCAGGAACCTGGGTTTGCTCTTTGATAGCAATCTTTCATTTGAAAGCCACATATCTACCATCTGTAAAACCACACTTTTCCATCTTAAAAAAATATATCTAAATTACGACATATGCTCTCAATGATAAATGCCGAAAAGTCAAGTCAAGTCAAGTCATCTTCATTTATATAGCGCTTTTAACAATGGATTGTTTCAAAGCAGCTTTACAGAGATAAACATATAATTTAAGGTAACAGATTGTTTTGGCGTTATAGCGGTTCTTGAATAATGTTACTTCCAGCTAAAGTTAACTTTGATTGATTCACCTCCGTCGAAATGATCAGACTTTAAACGCGAACCTGTGATTAACGCTGACGGCGTTCACATGCTCATTCAGAATTCTATAGTTATGTGCTTTTTTAAAATATGTGCGCAGGTTTGTAATTCATACAACCCAGCCTAAACAAACTACTTTTCTTGCCTATAAATTTAGAAAAGTTAGTTCATGCGTTCAAGGCTAGATTATTGTAATGCTCTTATGGGTGGTTGCTCTGCACACATAATAAACAAACTCCAGCTGGACCAAACAGCAGCAGCTCGAGTTCTTACCAGAACCAGGAAGTATGACCATATTAGCCCGGTTCTGTCTACACTGCATTGTTGCAGACACACTTTGTCAGTTTAAATCTAGACTAGAAACACATCTCTTTAACCTAGCATACACATAACACATTATCAATTTCTATTATTTAAATCAGTTAAATGATTGTTAGGCTGCATAAATTAGGTCAACCGGAACCAGGAACACTTCCTATAAAACCCAATGTACTTGTTACATTGTAAGAAGAATGGCATCCACAATAATATTAGTCTGTCTGTGTCGTCCTTATCCCGAGGTTACCGTAGTCAGCCGGATCCGGTCCATATCCAGATCAGATGGTGGACCTGCACCAAGACACGACCAAAACGCAGCCCTGAGTGTCAGCAGAGACCGTGTTTACTAGACAATCCCCTGTGAAGGCATGGTCGCCACGACACCCATCGGCACAGATCCTCAGCAAAGACCACGAGAACCAGACAGGTCCTCCGCACAGACCCTATGGCCAGCTTTGGCTCCATACCGGCGTGATGATTCGATCTTCAAGCAAAAGGAACTGGATGAATATTTGAATGCTACCCGTTACGTGGGAGTGTTCTAACCTGTGTTTTGTTGGAGTTACCTGGAAGCTCACCTGCAATCAACCGGTTAATTGGTATCACCTGATTGGGGCCATTTTAAATCCAGGACACAGTAGCAGTGTTGTTATCTCTACAGTCCCCTTTTTCTTTTATAATTCAATAAACTTTATTTTTGATTGGCAGACTTCAGTCTTTGTGTCCTTTATGTTGCTTCCCTAGAGCCAGGTTTGTAACACTACTGATCCCTATCTGAATTCTGACTTGTGATGCTGCCTGAATCATAATCACACCGTGTTTGTTCGTTGGCCAGGGGAGAACTGCCTCTGGCTTGCTTAGTTGGGACACTTAATATTCAACGATATTATTGATCTGACTGTACTGACACTATTATATGAGAACCGAACTGACACGGCTGTATGAGAACTGAACTGAACTGAACGATGACAATTTTTTCCAGAACTGCTTTATAGATGAAATTAACTAATTTAATAATTTATGATCTTTACAACGGAACTGAATCAACACTGCTGAACAATAACGAAAATGAGACATGTACTTCATAGACAGACTTCATTTTCCAATAGCAGTCCTTTTGAGCTTTAATATTCTCATTGCGTATTACACAGTAAACTGTATGTTTATGACTGTATTCCACAATTCTCAGCATTAGGGCTGGACTGGGTCCTGAACGATACTTTTTTTCAACAAGAATACATTACATATTACCTTAAAAAATGCTGATCTTATTTTTTCAGTTTTTTTTTCCACACTCAATGACTCAATGAAGTCCACTGCAAGTTTAATAAACTAGTGTATTCTGAGTCAGTGTTGGTGGCAAAGATGAAGATGACGATGCTGACTCGTCATCTCTGCAGTATAGTAAACGCACGCACACCTATAGAGAGAAATGCACCTTTCATTTGGATTACATAATCAGAGATTATTTGTTTTCAAATTGGTTTGTTTAAAGTAGACATTTCAAGCTTTCTATAGGCCTATTTCTCATGTCTGTGAGGCAAGTATCCTATACGCTGAGTTTCGGTTCATTTGTGACGCGCTCCAGTTCTTCTTGCTGTCGAAGACGGAGCAACTTTCTGCTTGTAAGTTTATTCCATGCACTGTCAAGTGCTTCATCAGATTTGACGTGTTTCCGGTCGTGTTTTGTGCTGTTGGCATCGACCCTGGTGAAATGTAGCCACACTTTTGATCTTTTCCACTTCTTTTACATCTATGTGGGTTGGGACGCTTACACACTACAGCATCACGTGTGAGCCACGTCTCTGTTGGCAACCGTGTAAACTAGTGTTTTTCCATGATGCCTCGCCACTCATTGGCTCACTGACGTTGACGAGATTAACCGCTTAGTCATCAAAATTTGGTACCAAACAACAAGATGTTTTTTGATACTCTATGGTATCAAGGCAATTGGGTTGGTGTCTAAAAAGTATCTAAAAAGTATAGAACACAATACCCTGTCCCACCCAGCATTTTCTGCTTTGCGGAAATCATAGGGCCCTACATTTTGATTAAAATTCTTTCCCTTAAAGTTGTTAAATTGTCATTGATTATTGGCATCAATGTTAGTGTTTGCAAAATGCCAATCGGTGGCTATGGCAATGACTATGTAAATCATAAATCATCAGGAGTCCATGAGTGACTGAAATGTGGCTGAACACACAAACCACTGCAGTTTCACTCAGACACTCACCACGGAGGCAGTTCAGCGATGTTGTTGTGACTGACATCTAGAACCTCCAGTTTCCTGCTGTCACTCAACCAATCGGGCAAAGACGTCATACAGTTCCTGTAAGACAGCGAACACACACAGCTGATGACACACGCAAGGAAACATCATGTCACGATGTGGGTTTGACCGCAGTGATCAGATCAGACACAAGTGAGAGAGATCAAACCCACCTGGAGATGTCCACGTACGTGAGGTTAGAGGCCACAGGACTCACGTCTAACTCTTGCAGCTCTGTGGAACAGATGTCGTAAGGCATCAAACGAGCGAATGGATGTTGTTGTTATGGTTTGGGGATGGGTTGGTTCACCCAAAAATGAAATTTAGCCCTTTGATTTACTCACCGTCAAGTCATCCTAGGTGTATAGGCCTATCACATTCTTCTTTCAGACGAATACAATCAGAGTTATATTTTAAAAAAATGGCTCTTCCAAGCTTTATAATGGCAGTGAATTGCTGTTTCTGTTTTAAAGTCCATAAAAGGGCATCTATCCATCATAAAAGTGCATCTATCCATCATAAAAGTGCATCTATCCATCATAATAGTGCATCTATCCATCATAACAGTGCATCTATCCATCATAAAAGTGCATCTATCCATCATAAAAGTGCATCTATCCATGATAAAAGTGCATCTATCCATGATAAAAGTGCATCTATCCATCATAAGTGCATCTATCCATGATAAAAGTGCATCTATCCATCATAATAGTGCATCTATCCATCATAAAAGTGCATCTATCCATCATAAGTGCATCTATCCATCATAAAAGTGCATCCATCCATGATAAAAGTGCATCCATCCATGATAAAAGTGCATCTATCCATCATAAGTGCATCTATTCATCATAAAAGTGCATCTATCCATGATAATAGTGCATCTATTCATCATAAAAGTGCATCCATCCATGATAAAAGTGCATCTATCCATCATAAAAGTGCATCTATCCATCATAATAGTGCATCTATCCATCATAAAAGTGCATCTATCCATCATAAAAGTGCATCTATCCATCATAATAGTGCATCTATCCATCATAATAGTGCATCTATCCATCATAATAGTGCATCTATCCATCATAAAAGTGCATCTATCCATCATAATAGTGCATCTATCCATCATAAAAGTGCATCTATCCATCATAATAGTGCATCTATCCATCATAAAAGTGCATCAGAAGGCCTTTATTAAGTTCCTTATTGAGTTTGTTTATGATGGACGGATGCACTTTTATGGACTTCAAAAACGGAAACAGCAATTCACTGCCATTATAAAGCTTGGAAGAGCCAGGACATTTATTAATATAACTCTGATTGTATTCGTCTGAAAGAAGAATGTCATAAACACCTAGGATGACTTGAGGGTGAGTAAATCATGGGCTAATTTTTATTTTTGGGTGAACTGTCCCTTTAATGTGAGGTAAAATGGTGTGTGCGCTACCGTTGTTGGAGGCGTAGAGAGCCTTGAGCGCGCAGCCACGCAGACGCAGCCGAGCGAGGCGGTTCCTCTGACAGTGCAGGACCTCCAGCCGCGGGAACACGGACACGTCCAGCTCAGACAGACGGTTATCGCGCACGTCCAGCTGCGTCACGTGACGCAGAAACTCTGGCTCGTCCGGCACCACGCTGGAGATCTGGTTCAGACTGAGGAGACGAAAAAATTCACCAAAGCTATTGTAAATACATTACCGACACTAAAAATGTGCAATCATGATCAACATGATTAAAAGTTTGCTGAAATATCTGATAGTTCATACTGTTTTAGCAAGTAAAAGGCGTTTTAGAATAAAAGCTTTTAGCTTGTGGTTCACGTGTCTTTTTGCTGTAAAACCTTTAGTGATTTTTATAAAGTGAATGTAAGAACTATTATATTGTTAGTAATATTTTAAGATTAATACTGACTGGACTGAAACAACTTAGCTTTACTTGATTATCTGTACATCATTTTTCAAACAAATCATGTTAAAATGTGAGTTCAAATATGTTCCATCAGCCTTCTGAGAAAGGGTCATTTGTTCATCTCTCATTCATGTTTTAAAACTACAGAGCTTTGATCATAAAACCAAGCATTAAATATCATCTTATTAAGACATATTATTGGCAGATATAGAGTGAACACTGCTGAAGTGTTGATTCATTCATTCAAATAGCATATTTTTGCCCTAAATATAATTGAGATGTTTTTTTCCTCCTCAAGTATGAGCTCCATATTCTCACTATAAGATACAATATGAGCCATAAGAGCCTGGCGTAGCAAACATTATCCTCAACAAAAGCTCCTATGCAAAACTTTTTGTTTCCTATTTTATATTGTATCTAAAGGTTCATTGAACTGTTACTTTAAAAAATAGATTTTTCTGACTTAATATGTCAGGCTTTACATGGTTAACATTAGATAATCCATTAGCTAACATGAAGTAATTTAATGAGCATTTAATGATTTTTGTAAATGCAGGTTAACTTACCACTGGGCATCACACACTATTAGACTGAGAATCACACATTAGTACACTTTCAAAACAAGCTCACGCAGAAAAATGGCCCTTGTTGCCAGGAGACCAATGACAAATGAAAACAACGTGTTCTGAAATGGGCTCAAAATATCAAACACGTTTGATTTCATCCGACTGAATGGAATCTCAGTCTGAACCTGATAATAGAGTCTCGGTGCTCATCACACACTACGGGATTTTCTGTCAAATCTGTCAACTCTGACTGCCAAATATAAGCAGACTGATTCTGACTAGCATTGACTCGTCCAGACTGCATATCAGGGCAATAAATCTGGGTAAAAGTGCTGTAGTGTATTCAAGCTTGTGATTGCAATACAGTTGCCCATTGTTTTTTCATGTTAATTCAAAGAGCATTAAAGGGATAGTTCACCCAAAAAATGAAAATGTTCTCTCCCCCAAGTTGTGTATGGAGTTTCTTTGTTCTGTTAAACACAAAAGAAGATGTTTGGAAGAATGTTGATAACCAGACAGTTGACGGCACCCATTAACTTCCATAGTAGGAAAAAAAACAATGTAAGTCGATGGCTACCATCATCCGACATTCTTAATTAAAACATCATCTTTTGTGTTCAACAGAACAGAGAAACTCATACAGGTTTGGAACAACTTGAGAGCGAGTAACTGATGACAACATTTTCATTTTTGGGGTGAACTGTCCCTCTAACTAATGTTACCAGACACAACTTTTGATTTGAAAACTGTAGCCTAAATGTTGAAATGAACATAAACTAATAATTTTATTGTTCATTGTTAGATAATGTTCACAAATTACTGTTGTGTTACCAATATACTGTATCTCTGATGCATTAAAGGAGGAAAAGTAACAGTGTTTGAATCTCTAAATCAAACGTAATATGATTTCAATTCACTGTAGATTTTCACAGCCACATGAGATACCAGACGAGTATTGGCCAAAAAACTTGCAGGAACATTTGAATTATTACACATTAAATTCAACTAATACGTTTACTAATTGAACAGACTTGAGGCGGTTCAGTGTGAAGTGTAGGCTACTAATGCTCTGCTGTCACAGCTAGTGTGTGTGATGTGCTTGTGCTCACCGGAGGTCGACGTGTTTGAGCGCCAGCAGACGGAAGGCCTGTAGCGTCAGCACCGGCACTTTATTTCCAGCCATGCAGAGTCTCTCGACGGCGGGCAGCCGCTCCAGCACCGACGGCACCTGTGTGAACTCATTGAAGGACAGGCCCAGGTAGGCCAGCCTCTGCAGAGAGCCCAGCTCCACGGGGAGAGCACACAGCAGGTTCCCGTCCAGAACAAACGTCTGCAGACTGACACAGACACGGACATGAGCAACGTCCACGGCACAGCACACAGAAATACGTTTTGCTAACATTCATTTTAAAAACATTTTGTTTTCTTGGTTAAGACAATGTTAAGGAAACATTCCATGGTTTCATTTCGCATACATTACGAGATTTGGAGGTTTTCTGAACCTTCAAGTAGTGACATTTAAAAAAATGTTAGATGAACATCCAACTAAAGCGCTTCAGGACAAAACGATGCATACGTTTTCAGTGCTAACATTTGGAGAGCATTATTAATAACCAGATAACCTTGAACGGACATTCTATTAATGTTACAGGAGAGCGTTTGTTCATAACTTTGAGAGAACGTGAGCTAACGTTTCCTGTTAGCTGGGTGTTACTGTGCAAAGCAAGGAGGTCATCTTTTATGGTTACCACAGTAAAACTCTGGAGACATGGCACTGGATGAGCACGAGTGTGTCCAGCAGGGGGCAGCAGTGCAGCGAGTGTCACATGACTGCCTGACTCCACATATCTACTGTAAGTTTGGCTGCTTTTAGATATACACACGCGAACTTTCCCTCGGGGGAATCCCTACTGTTCAACTTCGTGGAGGAGGGAAGCTTATTTGGACAGACCATCGATCCCTCGATTTTGGCCGAGGGAACGAGTCTACTCAACATGTACACTTCAGGCAGATCCACAGACCACAATGCACCATGATTGTGACGTCACAGCAGGCCAACTTAATTAAGCCCCACCCCACACAACTCTAGTGTATGATATTGGAGTTAATTTGACATTTAATCACGTTTAATACTTGTAAGCTGACTGTATTGTATTATAATTTTATTTTTTTAAATATTTTATATAAATAAATGAATTGCTTATATTTCATATTTTAACAGCCCAAGCATGCATTCTGTCCTACAGAGTGGTGCATGAAACAAATTCATAAGGAAAAACACTATAAATATTAAATCGGCTCCATTGCGGATTCCAAGTGATCAAGTAGTGATCAATCGTGCAAAGTAAGCAATGACGTACATCCGAGACGGAGAGAAGTTAGCGAAGGAAGGGCATTCTTCATTATTATGTTTAGTCTGTGTTATATTCATAAGTTTGAGTAGTTAAAAAAAAACACCTATGTTTGAACATTGTAAAACTGACATTACAATTAATTTAGAAGCAATATCTAAAAGTAGAAACTCGAAAGCAATTTGAAGGGAAAAAAAAACGTTTATGTACAATGTTTATGTGTGTTTTTCTTATTTCTATATACACCTGACATAGTTGGCTATATATACTCTTGTTTGTACAATATGATTTGTTTTCATTAAAAAATCTAAATAAAATAATGATAAAAAACGAATAAAATAAAAATTATTGTGACATTTTTCCTTGGTAAGCAAAACAGTCCACGTAAAATAATGTATTTTCACTGGACTGCGATCCTTAGACTTAAAATTATTGGTTAATATTGTTCATAACAGTAATACAAGGGAAGTAGCAAGTTATTACATATAACATGTAACATCTGACATTTTGCTTAGACAAAACTGCACTGATGAAACATCACGTGTTACATGGGGGGGGGGGGAATGGTTACAGAAGTCCAAGCCAAAATTTCGACCGTGAGAGAATAATAGGTCATGAACATGTCAAAGCGAACAGGGTGTCGGGATGCTACGCGATGCTACGATGGACGCTTCAGTACCATCCAGCGTCATCATCCACCCATTCAGAAAGACAAATGCACGAGTTTCTATGATGCTTGCGTTTGCTCTAGACAGAGTGTTAGGCTACTCAATTGCTTACTCGTGAATCATAGCAACACAGCTAAAAGTATTCCTAATATGTTGGACCTGTTAGTGAAAGTAGCCTGTTGAGACAAGCCTTCGCAACTTCGCAAGGTCGTTTGAAAACGACACGCTTCACCTTCACACACATCTGTGGCGGACACACTCACTTGGTCATCTTGCCCACGTCAGGATGGATGGAGGTCAGGTGGTTGCAGCTGAGGTTGACCTCCGTCAGGGTGCTAATGGAGCAGATGTGCAGCGGGAAGCTTCCCAGCTGGTTATTAGAGAGATTGAGACTCCGCAAACGGGAAAATCTGCAGGAGAAGAGAGGACATTTGGAGATATTAAGCAACTATTAACCTCACACAGTGTCCGCAGATCTTATAGAGGAACCATGAAACTTTAGCTTACTTCCTAAAATCATGTTTTCATCCACATAGACATACTGTCCTTAATAGTTTTAGCATGTATGGATAGTTCCAGTTCTTGATTTTGACCTCATTACATCAGTATTACATACAAAATAAATCAAAACAGAAAATGTTCATGTTCTCATTTGACAAAGCTGTTGATAGATACACTGATACTGACAGTTATATGAAAGTATATAAATCCTAAAGTGACCAAATATCTTCCTGGCCTAATCGTACAGAATCTCATCATTTACAAAATACTGGCTACAACCGTACAGTTAAACACGGTTTAATTAAAATCCTTTGCTGACACAAGTTATACGTTTCATCTCCGCTTCTGGTCAGCCGGGATGCATTTCCCATTTCCAACAGTAGATGACTGATTCTCCCGAGTGGGACGGCAAGTCATTTGATTATTATCCTCGACATGTATTCATTTAATTCACTTTAAACAATTACTTTCTGTACTTTTCATTTTACATGAATTGCACTGTATTTCTAACAATGTCTAAATGTCTGCATTAAAACACCTAGGGCACAATGAATTCAGTTTTATTTCCCAAATCCCGGATTTTAAATGGTTCTGGATTCTACTGTAATGGTTAAACTTAATTTTAATAATCCAAAAAATGTCCAATCGATTGAATTAACACAAAAAAAAAAAGTCCAATTGATTGAATCAATACAAATTTAACAATTTATTAAAATTGTAACAATAATAATGGCCTATGAAATGTATGGTTTTTAGGAATGCTCTATTTCCTGATTTAATACAAATGTATTATAGCTTGTTTTCATATGACGTCACGCCACTGCGTTGCCATGGTGCGAAATGCAAATGGAGGGCAGGAAGTGATTTGCTGTATTTAGAAAGCACTATAACAAACTCAAAATGCATGTTTTGGGTCGTTTATGGTTACTTAAATCGATCAAACCACGAGGAGTTTTTATCGTGTACCAAAAGTTGTTGTTCATAAGGGGAGGAAATGTAAGAAATTGACCGAAAAACTCCGGGAAAACGGCTTCCAAACCTACGTCTGCGGTCGGGAGGAGCCGAATGGGAAAATGCCCGTGTGTGCAGCGATCACTTCGTCAAAGGTGAGTTAATACAACTTAAGTGGCTATGTTTGAGTAACGTGTAACGTTTCCGAACTTTGTAAAGTCAAAATATGTCTGTAAGACGAGGTAGTTGCTGATATCTACCGCCTCGATGGCAGGAAAATCTTTCAATTCAATTGAAAAATCGCTCCTCTTCATAACGTAAGGATCACGTCCAACATATGTATGATTTTTTGTTTATATGTTTCTCTTGTAATAGCGTGTAAAGTAGTACAGTATGGACTTTCCTCCATCTCGTCCATTGCGCTCTTCATTCCCTGCCCTCCATCTGAATTTCGCGCGTCATCATAATCACATGACTGAAACCCAGCTATTAAAAATGCTGGAATTCACCAAACTTTAGATGAATAATCTTTAGAAATGTAATGAAATTAAAATGTGAAGAGTTTGAAGCGGGGGAAAGCTGATGTGTGAAACACACACTGACCTCTGGAGCTGCAGCAGCGTCTGGTCCGCAGGCAGAAAGTTGTGTTTGAGGTTGAGATGCGTCAGGTCTTGACTGTACAGCAGGTTGGGCGGCAGTTTCTCTAGACTACAGCAGGACAGATCCACCGAACTGATCCTCTGAGACACCATCTGACACACACACACATACACACAGAGACAGGTCATTCATCGAGGTATCATCACAGCAAGATCAACAAGGAATTGTGCATCTGTGGGATTTTCTTTCCCAGCTGTTTTCTGCAGGGTTATTATAGTTAACCGAAACTAGTTAATACAAGCATGTTTTGTTGCTTGAAATAAAATAAAATAGAACTATAGATAATTTCAATCAAATTATTTCTGTTAGTTGCCAAGACAGCATTTGCATTTTGTTTAACTTCATGAAAAAACCACAACACTTGTTTCCATCAAGAAGTGCATCAATATTTGGTCCAGATCTTGTGTTGTCGAAGCAAGAGTCCAGCGCTCTGTAGAGTCTCCTCCAGCGCGTCCCAAAGACTTTCAGTGAGTTCAAGATCTGGACTCAGAGGAGCAGATTCAAGTGTGAAAATGATTCTTCGTGCTCCTCTCAACCATTCTTTCACAGTTTGAGCCTGACGAATCTGGACATAGTCATCCTGGAATATGACCATGATGTGTCTTCATACATGGTTGTTTAAGAAATGAAACGCTACACACTCCATCAGTTAGGGTTAGAAGAGCTGTTGCCGAACATATAACATGCTAGACACACAATAATCACTGCAGTAATGATCCAGTCAATCATAGACTCTTAAGCATTTGCATATTTAAATCCAAACAGCGAGTTTGTTTGGGCCGGCCAGTGTATAACATCTCAATGATACTAAAATAACACTGGTTTTCTGGTCCAGCAGGTGAACATGGTCACTCAGTAAAGTAGCAGCACACTCTCCTCAACAACAAACTATCTTAGTGAACCAGCATTCATTAACACAGCACACGTCGCTCATAACATGACGCGATCACATTAACACACCAGCCTGAAACCTCTTGTGAGGTTTTTCTAATCTGAGGGTCCCGGTGGGCAGGACGGCTCTCACGGCACAAGGTTGTCTCTGGGAACGGCACAGTAAAATAGGCTGGCCAGGCTTGCCCTACTTGCGTTTGTTTAGGATGGTTTGTTCGTAGTAAAGTATGCTAAAGTAGGACTCCCAACTAGGGCTTTTCACACTCTTTCTGTGATGGAGTGATGAGGTGTCATTTCCAGGGCAAATATAGCTTAGATCAGAACAATGAGGAGCTCCATAGTATCTGAACAGCTGCGCTTCAACTATGTGAAGAGGTGAGGTGGTGTGTGTAAACGTGCTCCAGAAGCACAGAGGTCTGAAGTCCACGAGCAGAAAACACGCTGATTTACAGCAGGGGAACGAGTGCACTTCTGCCAGATCCAACCAGTTTATTTCTCATGAGCCCTTTACAGTATGTTCAGGGCTGAAACCAACGCACATCCGTAGATAAATGTTAACGGCAAGAAAAAATACTGGGTAAAGTTCACCGTACTGTGGGAACCGGGTCACATGGGTCACAACATAAATGTTTAACAAACATCCCCAGTCCAGGTGTGATTCAGACATACGTCAGGTGATAACGCTTGAAAGCTTAAAAAGAGGGTTGTGTTGCCAAGCTTAATGTAATCTATGTGAGTAAATGAGCCCTCATATTTCAATCGTTCAGTCTTCAAGTACACATCACAAGATTCTGTGCTTTGCTTCAGTTGTGTTCGGGTCTCACTACATTCCCCGTTCACACTGGTAACTGAATGCAGCCCATTACATGAATGGATTATTGCGCAGTCCCTCAGGATTTTTAACAGAAACACTAAATATAAATCATCTTATGTACATTATGTATTTTAACAAATGCCTGCAGAAGCTGTCAACGGCCTTGTGATTGTTGTTGTTGTAAATCATACATGATCAAATCCTTTAATATTTAACATTATTGGCCAAACAACATTTAACTCAAATGTCCATTTAATCTTTAATATTTGGCCACTTCTTTACGAAAGAAATGCTACAACCACTGTCAGTTCTTGAACAGGAATATAAAAATCAAAACATGTGAACTCAGAGCGAGAGTTTAAACTTCTATTTTGAAATGTTTTACGTTACAAATCTGATAAAATGGTGTACATTGCGTTCCCAGATGAGCGTTATAAGCAACCCAAACTCACAGCATATGCAGAGGTGGAGTCTGAGACGCTCCACACATGTAAATAATAAAAAGATCATGTTCATGAGAAGCAGCATTTACTGTGAACGGAGCCACTCTGAAACGCACATAACCTACACGCATGTAAATAAATACTTTCAGCTGTTTGCAATGAACAAATCAAACAAAAGTAATTGAAATAGCTCAACACAACAAATGTTTCAAGTGGTTTCACCAAATTCAACTGAAAATGCAACTTTTAATGACTTCTGCAGTCTCAAAATTATTCAACCCCTTCATGGCAAGCATCTTTAGTTCTTAGTAGAACACGCTTTTGCTGTTACGACCTTCTGGAAACGAGATGTATAACCAGACGCCAGCTTCTAAAGGAATCTGAGCCCGTTCCTCATGAGCAATGGCCTCCACTTCAGAAATATTCCTGGGTTTGCGTGCTGCAACCGCCTTCTTCAAATCCCACCGGAGATTTTCTATGGGTTTCAAGTCAGGCGACTCTGACGGCCACTGTAGAATCTTCCAGGACTTCTTCTGCAACCGAGCCTTGGTGCAATTTGAGGTATGCTGGGGATCATTGTCCTGTTGGAAGGCTCAATGACGTCCAAGCTTCAGCTTCCTCACTGACGGCATGATGTTTTCTCCTAGGATTTCCCAGTAGCACCTCATTGCAGTACACGAGATCCAGGGGGCGGAGTTGGATCCAGATCTAAGGGGTGGGAATGGGTAGAATTAGGGGTGGGGTTAGGGATCAGGGGGCGGAGATGGGTAGGATTAGGGGTGGGGTTAGGGATCAGGCGGTGGAGATGGGTAGAATTAGGGGTGGGGTTAGGGATCAGGCGGTGGAGATGGGTAGGGTTAGGGGTGGGGTTAGGGATCAGGGGGCGGAGTTGGGTAGGATTAGGGGTTGGGTTAGGGATCAGGGGGCGGAGATGGGTAGGATTAGGGGTGGGGTTAGGGATCAGGCGGTGGAGATGGGTAGGATTAGGGGTTGGGTTAGGGATCAGGGGCGGAGATGGGTAGGATTAGGGGTGGGGTTAGGGATCAGGGGGCGGAGTTGGGTAGGATTAGGGGTTGGGTTAGGGATCAGGGGGCGGAGATGGGTAGGATTAGGGGTGGGGTTAGGGATCAGGCGGTGGAGATGGGTAGGATTAGGGGTTGGGTTAGGGATCAGGGGCGGAGATGGGTAGGATTAGGGGTGGGGTTAGGGATCAGGGGGCGGAGATGGGTAGGATTAGGGGTAGGGTTAGGGATCAGGGAGTGGAGATGGGTAGGATTAGGGGTAGGGTTAGGGATCAGGGAGTGGAGATGGGTAGGATTAGGGGTGGGGTTAGGGATCAGGGGACAGAGATGGGTAGGATTAGGGGTGGGGTTAGGGATCAGGGGGCGGAGATGGGTAGGATTAGGGGTAGGGTTAGGGATCAGGGAGTGGAGATGGGTAGGATTAGGGGTAGGGTTAGGGATCAGGGAGTGGAGATGGGTAGGATTAGGGGTGGGGTTAGGGATCAGGGGACAGAGATGGGTAGGGTTAAGTATATATTAGGTGGGAGGAGTTGGATCTGGATCCAACTCCTCCCCCTGGATTTCGTGTTCTGCAGTGAGGACCATCTCGGATTTCCTGATACTTCAATGAATCTATCATGACTTCCACACACTGCAGTTTACCAGTGCCAGAGGATGTAAAGCAGCCGCAGAGCATCCCAGATCCACCACCATGCTTAACTGTAGACAGTGTGCTCATTTCATCGCTCCACAGGACAGAATCCCCAAACTTCTGTGGCTTATTTATATGATTTTGAGCAAAATGGAGCCGACTTTTCTTGTGCTTCTGGGTCAGTAGTGGTGTATGTCTTGGAGTTCTGGCATGGAAACTGCATGCGTTTAGTAAGTGCCTTACTGTGCAGCTGAAACCTCAGTGCCTGGTGCCACTAGGGGTGGGACAATATATCGATAGGGCGATATATCATTGTCCTTCTCCGTGCGATCCGAGAATCTATACGCTGGCGCCAAATATTGATATTGTAATTAATAAAATAAGGGGCTCTAAATAGATTTCCCTGCTCCCAGCGTCGCTACTTCATGGCTACGTGAACATAAGTTAAGTAGCCTAAGAAAAAGAGGTTTTTAAAGTGATGGCGGACAGCAGTGTGAGTAAAATAATATATTTAAGCCACGTTTAAGTCCAAAGTCTGGACGCGCTCAGCATACATGTCTGTGATTGGTTACAGTAGGTTACAGTGATCAGCGCTTCCAAAACATGTTGTAAATAGACATCTTTGACGCTCTTCATCGATCGCTTACACAGATACACACACGGGGGTGTTTGAAAACAGGCGTCTATCAGCGGATCCCTAATATATCCGCTGATAGACTCCTGCTTTCAAACGCTTCTGTGTGTGTATCTGTGTAAGCGATCGATGAAGAGCGTCAAAGATGTCTATTTACAACATGTTTTGGAAGCGCTGATCACTGTAAATATAACTTCTAAAATATCTTGGAAATAAGTTGAGAAATTGCACCATTGGCTAATCAAACGTCACTGTTTCGGATTTTTTTTTTTTGGTCAAATATTTTCAGTGGATGAAATTTTGGCGTATCACTAAATAAATACCTAATGATTATTTTATTGGTGCGATTTTACTGCAAATCTACACAAAAAAAATGGAGCACAATACCACATTACCACATTAAATCCATGGTTTTTGGACATTTACCAATGATAGAAAGATTCAGGATCATGGTCTGGTCTGTATAAAAGTCTAATCCCATCACTAAAGCACGGTACTTGCTTGCTTGAAAATATTGGCAAGTGAGGCAGCTCACTAGCGTTTGGATCAGCTATAGTGTGTCAGGTCGTATTATTTCTACAAGGTGGAAGGATAGAGGCGGTCACACACACACCTTAGCAGCCTGTCGATGCCAGCGCAGGTGTTCAGTGAAGCTGTCGAAGCTGATATAGTAGGTCTGACTCTGAGGTCCCGCTGAGCTGAAGGCCAAACAGTGACTGTGTTTCTTCACCTCTTCCACCTGAACACAACACAAACACACAAACTTACACATGAACGGGACACGCTCCCAATGGAGTGGGGTGGACACACATCATCTTCATCAGTGTCAGAGGTCTGTTTACATCAAGAACTCAAACTATGAGTGCGTGACGTGGCAGACAGCACTCAATATTTAGTCTAGCGGTCTAGAACATAAATGAACACTGACAGAGTACGAGGCTTTAAACGCACCTCTGTTTGTTTAGCACTTCATCAACTCTCAAAACCACTATAAAACTTTACAACTCACTAACCAATGTCCACTATGTCTGTCCTCTCACTGAACTCTTGTTTTAAGTGTTGCTCGTTGTTGAAGTAACTAGGATCTTGGGAAAGATGCTTTATAAACATAGCCTGGGGTTCAACACACACAGGCAATATAAAGTGTGAATGAACTCTGTGAAGATTGAAGTCACCTTAAACATCCCTTGCTTATTTTAATTATATTTATACTGTACACGTTCCTAGATAAAACATTTAAATTGACTTACACCATGGTCTATGTGAACATTCAGTTCTGATCAATCATTTTAACCCCTGCATACTGTCAAAATGCTGTAGAATATCAATCCTTTTTTGACTACTCTTGTCCAGTGTCCTTCAGGAGGGGTGACTGTAGGATCATTGGTTTGGGACTAGGGCTGCACGATTAATCGCAATGAAACCGCACGCGATTTGGCAAAGGCTGTGATTATTTTATGCGCAGCTTGCAGTGGCTGATCGGTAGTAAACACTGCTCCATCTGAACGCCAGAGGGCGACTCACAAACACACGCCAAATATGACCCTCCGCAGAAGTACGATAACACACATCATTCCGGGAAATCCCTATCGGGCATCATCTCACAGAAGGATGAGCTCAACTGTCGTTATGAAGTGAGTTTGGAGTAAAAGCATGTTATTAAATGTTGGACAAGAGGTTTCATAAGTGCTTCTCATGTTCGGAAAGATGTTTCACGCGTGTTGCTTTTTCAAATGCACGTTATAAGTGACTCAAACTCGCAGTGCTTTCAGATGGAGCAGCGTTTACAGTTATCAAAATCAGGGTTTTTTTCAAAATCGCGATAAGCCAAATCGGTTTAAGTGCGATTACATGGAAATTGCGATTAATCGTGCAGCCCTATTTGGGACAAACATTCAGCGCCTGGGTTCAGTACCTTTCCTCCGATCAGTGGCAGGATGTGCATCTTGCCCGTATGGCTGGCCTTCACCGAGGAGACCATGAGACAGGTGCCACATAAAATCACCTGCCGTCGACTCCAGCGGTTCACCGGAAGCTGCAGCTTTCCTTTCCGTACGTTATACGTCCCGGAGAGCTGGATGCGCTCGGAGCTCTCGATACTGTGAGGTTTTCCTGCAAAACAGAGAAAGATGTGAGCCTGACTTCTCCGCTCAACATATCCGGTGCAGCTTCTGAAGCACATCACATTTCACACTGAAAGTCAATTACTATCAGTCACAAATACTTACAGTAATTTCTAGTAAAGGTCAGATTTCAGAAGTCAGAACTAGGAAATATGGAGTGACGTTCAGCAGTCAGAACTAGTAAAGTACTAGTAAAGATAAAAAAATCGTCAGTCAGTACTAGATGAGATAAAGTGGAGTTCAGCCGTCACTACTAGTTGGAATTAAGCAGCCAGTGTTATTAAGAGTCAGTACTAGTAAAGATTACAATTGAGTAGAGATGGGCATGAGTACTCTCAACTGTAGCACCACTAATTATTGACCAAGGTTCTATACACTATATAAAATAACGTCAACATTTAACACCACGTACAACATGAATTACAGAACAGACCAGACACGGCTCAAATCACAATTAAAAGCAAAAGAGAAAAGGGTAGGTTTTGAGTTCTGCTTTAAACTCATGCAGTGTACAGAGGCTGTTCTAAAGTTTCGGTGCAGCGACGGCAAGCGCTCGATCTCCTCTCGATTTCAGTCTAGCCCGAGGAACATTCAACCGTCTCTGGATGGATGACCTAAGAGACCTTCCAGGATTGTGAACGGATAATAAATCGGAAATATATACGGGAGCTATTTAAAAACCAGCGACTTTCGAATCAATTCTGTAACGAATCGGGAGCCAATGCAGAGATATCAGAACAGGAGTGATGTGCTCTCGTTTACGCACACCAGTAAGCAGCCTAGCAGCTGTATTCTGTGCCATTTGCAGACGGTTACGAGATGCCTGGGAATTACAATTGTCAAGCCTTGTTGAAATTAAAGCATGAATCACCCTTTCAAAGTCCTTAAAAGAAAGAAATGATTTTACTTTAGCTAGGACTCTGAGATGAAAAACAAAACTGGTTATGACTACCATACTAATCTGTTTGTCAAATTTGAGACCACTATCGAAAAACACACCCACATTCTTCACTAGTGGTTTCACACACAGAGACAAATGGCCAAAATTTAAGCAAGGTGAGATAGCAGCTTCTGAAGATTCAAACCTTCATTGAGGTGAAGAAGACTTAAGGACATCCATCCAGGCCTTTACATCCGCTAGACGAGCCAGCAGAGTATCAAAACCCATGTTATTTGATCCCAGGGGCAAATAGATTTGGGTATCGTCAGCGTAACAGTGAAATGAGAAGCCGTGTTTCTTAAAAATCGACCCCAGGGTAAGCATATACGAGGAGAATAAAACCGGAGCAAGACCCCACACGAAAGGGAAGTAAATTCACCAATATTAACAGAGAACCTTCTACTATTGAAATAGGATTGAAACCATTTAAGAGTATTTCCCTGAACGCCCGCCCAGTGCTCCACACGAGAGATGAGGACAGAGTGGTCAATCGTGTCAAAGCTTGTACCAGTGCTGTGTTTGTGGAATGGGTTTTCCTAAAACCTGATTGGAACACTTCAGAAATCTTGCTTTTATTCAGAAAGCTCTGCCGTTGGTGAAACACTAATCTTTCTTTTATATATCTACAATTTTAGAGAGAATTAAGACTGGCCTAAAATTTGTCAGAACTGTCGGGTCTAAGTTTGGCTTTTTGAGGAGTGGATGGACAATGGCATGCTTCACGCCGTAGCCGTTTCAAGGCAGCGGTTCATAATCTTTTTGAACGGTAGACCTCAAAGATTTGTTTAAGAAACCGTGGGGGAAGATCCAGAAGGTTTGAGCTGGCCTACAATACCTCGTAAAGCAGGAAGAAAACTCGAGTACTCGGACGTGACAGCGATGATCGATCATGAAAACGACGATCACCCTGACTTTAAAAAATATATTTTCTCATTGGTAATTGTGGCATTTTGGACGTCACCTGAGGTCTGATTGGCTAGCATTAGTTTATTCACAGTTTCAGCTCAAATGCAATGCCCGATATTATTGACTGGGTTATTAGAGACGGTCAGTTTCTTTTATTTTTTTGATGCATCATAATCTAGCAGTGTTATTTTTTCTAGTCATATGTTCATGTTTTCATGTCATATTTTTATTTGTCAACATTACTTTCCATAACAACAGTCTTAAAATATTTTCATTATCTCCATGACAGACACGGCCCGCCCCCGAGTACTTGTTTTTTGAGACCTATCAATGCTTGAAATGAGAAATTAAGAAATGAGAGGAAAAAAAGAGACCAAAATACCCATCCCTACAATTAAGCAGAGGCTGCAAGAACGAGCATAATCCAGCAGTCAGTACTAGATAACAGATACGCAGTAAGTGTTGGAAAAGAGAAGAATAGAGTAGTTTAGATTGGGAACGACATTCGTGCAGATTCTTTGAATAATTCAGCAATGCTCCATATGGACTGAGTTTACATCCGCCATAGGGGTACAAATGTACAATATGTTATGAATCTTGACTAACTCTGCAACATCTCTGCTTTCGCCTCTGAGACAGAGCAAGCGAGATCTGACCCAAAAGCAGCAGTAGTACAGTATGTGGGTCAGGACCCCACGGTACGCCACATGGAGCGCCGAAGCCCACTTTACAGCACCACCGCCATCAGCAAAGGTGTAACACCACACCCAGTCCTATCCACAGACAACAACACCTCAGATCTGCAGAAGAACATCACAACACACACTGGGAAACACACACACTGATGTGTAGAAGTAGGGTAAGTGACAGTCAGCAGGAATCAGCCTTATGTTGGTGAACACACACTTATCACACCACTGTATTCGTGAAGGCGTCTATTGTTGTTGTTAAAAAAAATGACCAGCTACTTGATCAGATAATAATCTCACTCAAAAGCTTTAGTTACAGTGTTATCTCTAGTGACCTGTTACAGTGAAGGAAGTAATAGAACTAAAAAAAGGTTCTTACCAATCTTGATGCTATAGACAGACAGACATATTTATATATATATATATATATATATATATAGAGAGAGAGAGAGAGAGAGAGAGAGAGAGACCTCACATGGATCTTAGGCATGATTTAGGTGTGTTGTGCTTCTTCCATGGGCGAGAGGAAACCACAGCCCTTCCTTCACGAGAGCTCGTCTCTGACTGACATCCACCCTGAACTAGGGTTGTCACGCGTCACGCTACCAACATTTCAGCCGCCCGTCTCAATGCTAGTCAAATTTCAGTTCTCTGCAACAATTTTGCTACATGGCAAAAACTTTAGTAATTTTTTTGTTTTTTAAATTTAACTATTTGAAAATTAAATATGAAATTTGTTCATTTTTTAATGCTATTAATGAATATAAGTAAATAATACAGTAAAACAGCATGCGGTCTTTAAATTGCTCAGTTGAATAAACATTGCATTAAAAAAGTCAAATGAAAAGTTACAGTAGTAGTCAAATGAAAAACAAAGCAACACATTACAGGTAACAGAACAACCGGCAGGTATATTACACTTTAAAGGGTTAGTTGAAGCTAAAGATGACCACCACATGAGATGTGCCACACACAAAAAAAAACGAAATATTACAATAGCACAAAACAAAAGGCTGCTAATGCACAAGTGAGCGGTGTCATGAAGGTGTAACAGCAACATGCTAAAACACCGGTGTACAAAGAATGCACAACATTATTATACAGGAATGTTCTCATTATAATTGTACGTATATATGACGGACTTGCGCTGCACATAATGCAATCATATTTCATGAAATTCATAACCATCATGGCGAACAGTGCGCATCTGAAATGTCTCAGCTGAAGGAAATAATCCGATTATTTAATACATCGACCAAATTGACTTTTCGGGGCGATAAGATAACGTATTATCGGCCGATACCGGTATGGTTGCCGATATATCATGCATCCCTATTGTAAATAGAAAACCTTTGACGTGTTTGTTGCCGATCAGCGCGTACCAGATTGACCCGGTCGATGAATTCATATTCATTTTCTGCATTTTTGACAGTGAATCATTCCATGCCGCAGTAAACGGGACGTCCCACTAACTTGTCTCCCAGCCCTGTGGATAACTCCGAGAGTTTACACACCTCATCCTGTTTTGAGTGTTTGGGCAGATCCAGCGCTCTGGGTATCCGGCACAAAGCAGAAGAGGGTGTGTGTCCAGGCTATATTTGTCCACGTTCAGCTCGTGCGCTCGAATGCACTGGAGGAACCGCCTGTATGACATATTGGGGCTAAAAACTCCTGAATAATTTCTTTCAGGAGTTTAAAAGGCTCGTGACTACGAGTGACACGTTCTGGAGAGAATCGGCACACCAACGCAGAGGCATTACGCAATCTTAGAGCCGATGCCTCCATACTGTTAGTCCTTTGGATGAGATTCTAGATATATCTTGCTATTATTATCAGAGGAAGTATCATTTCAACCAAACAGTATATAGCTCAAGTCATGAGATTCAGAACGCAAGTGAAACACAGTAAGCTCATGGTCATATTTTCACAGTTTGTCACTAAATGCTCAGAATAAAAAGACAAACACACGACTGAGCTCATACCCAGTGGCATCAGATAAATAAAAGTTAACGTATGGCAAGTTCAGATTATGTCATCCAATCTAACAATACCACCTGACAATATCAATTCAATTGATCCTTTTTTTTAAAAAGTGATCTAATCTTTTCACTGAAAGATATTTATTTTTCTGACAGAAACTATGTTGTTGAATTTCAAATTGTTAATTCACAAGAACAACATTTCTCAAACCTTTACCTAGATTTGACATCTTTCTTTCTGAATATTCCCAAACTGTAAAATCTCTTAAACTCATAAACAATAGTAAGAATAACACATTCCTTAAGAACAGACTGATATTTCCTTTGTACTTATTTCCCCCCTTCCCTTTCCTTTCATGATCTTTGTATTTTAAATGCAGTGCTGTTTCTTCTTTGGAATATATATAAAAAAAACTTGGTCAAATTTGATTTTGATGGTGCACTGTAGACCTTTTACTAACTAGAAGTAACTGTG